TGCACTTTTTTGTCCGTAATAGTGTACAGGTAAATCAGTGTTTTTGACTGCCCGTGGTTTATTAGATTTCCCAATGACCATCATCTTAAGCGCGTGTGTGCCCGCAGCGTTAGCACATGGTAGTATGGTTACACGCTCTTTACTTACTCTTCGTCCAGGTACGGATTTTTCGTTACAAGAAACGAAAGTTTTGTTGGGCATCACACGCCAAAAAATCCCCGATTCGTCTGCATTGTACACCTGTGACGGGTCAAGATTTATATCGTTAACCTTTTGCAAAAATCTTAATTTAAAGGGCTCTATGCAGGTGGCATCGTTAGAAAGTTTCTCTCCTGTAATAGTCATTAAACGTATGCCACGACTTTTAAAACGTTCTAGCTATCCTTTGCTGGCCACAAAATCATCTTTTTTTCTTATTTCCTTATAACAAAACTTAGGTTTCATGGCCAACGTGGGTCCTGAAATTGGTGCATGCCTATTTCTTTCCTGAAGAAACGACATGTACAAAGCTTCTTCCACTTCTGGACGTTCAGCTTTCTTGAGTGTATGTCTCTGGCCTGGCCCGCAGTCAGTAGTTGACACGAACTTCTTGATCTTTTCGTGGTTTCTTTTAATGTCATAAATTGTAGATCGGCCTACGCCGTATTCACTTGCTAAATTACTGAAAGTTTCATTACGATTTAAGCGGTCTAAAGTATCACCTTTTTCTTTAATTGTCAATGTTTTGTGCTTTCGCTTCTGCGTTTGTGATGACATTACTAGGTACTATACTTAATACACCATGAATAAATAGTAAACAATGAACTCACGCTAGGTCGTACCGCTATCCCCAGTAGTCAAATTCAAACTAAGTAAAACAATGCTTACGCGTCGAACACGATAGCGGTGGCGCGTACAAGTTGTAACCTGTTCAAACCTGTGTGATCTACATAAGCGAAGATTGTCAAATACGTATGTATGTAATACATATTCAAAGACATGTCGGATTACAGGGGACGCCGGATTAGACAGGGGCCGGATTATCGAGGGTCCACTGTATTACTTATTATCGTATAAAATCATTGAAACAGTATTATTTTATGTAATTGATGGAAACATATTGATGATGTAGCATATTCCTAAGCACATTTTATATGTGCCATATCTAAGCCGCTGCACACATCTTGCAAAACAAATATTAACCTACGGCTGAGGTGTCATGTGAAGCGCCTCGGAACACAACTTCTGTAGCATCCTCACGAAAGTTAGTACAGAAGGGTTTTTGAGGTCGCTGATTTCATATCTGCTGCCAAAAAACAGAAATTCAATATGGCGTATCCAATTTGCTGCCGATATTATGATGTTTGATATGAGATACGATCATTGTAATATTATAGTGATTGCGGAAGACAGATATATTATATTTTAAACATAAAAAGCAAGAAAATACGAGCACCTCTAAAAAATTTGGTATCTAAAAGAACGAAAGGTTAAATAGAACTAACAACATAACAAATTAAACTATTCTGAGACTGAGCTGTCAGAAGCAGGATCGTGTTTATAAATATGGAGACTGGACGTTAGTAGGTCAATTGCATCAGAAATAATAACTAATTTTTTTTGTTTTTTTTTTGTTTTGGCATTTTGCTAAAGCTGGAGAGGTAGGGGTCTGAGGAAACCAGAAGGCGATTGAACAGATTAAACCGTAATTTCGGGAAGTTTTGCGTGAAAACTGTTAGCAAATTCAACAGATGCGTATAAAGAAATTGGAATATTTTTGCGGCATGGATCAAAAATTTGTGAACTGTGGCAGGCAGTGAATGCCACGTGTATAAAGAAGCATATAGTTCTGCTGTTTGAAAACGAAACTTTCTAAGTTTTTTGAAATACATGTCAGATCCAGATGATAATATATATGTATGTGACTTTGAAGTTGAGTCATTAATTTTCAGATAATAATTGTAGAAGGAAGATAAACCAAAATATGTGTGTAAAAATAAAAAAAAAATAAAAAAAAAATGTTGCCTTTTTTATAAAGTATCATCCCGACAAGTATTTCAGTGCGGACCTGTGCGCCCAAAAGTATGTCACAAAAACTGTTCGAAATGATTTCCGTTTTGCTCGATGCAGAGCTGGGCTTGTTGCCAAGCACGAACACATAATATTATTATTGAGACAGGGCGGTACTCAAACTTTTAAAGGGCTATAACTTTGTTACTTTAATTTTACCAGAAAAATGTTATAGGAAAAAGACAATTCTTTTGATCAGATCTTCTCACTGTTAAAATAAATGACTCAACTTCGAAGTCACTCTGTATATACAGGGTGGCACATCCATGTGTGAACGGAATATTACTCATAAACAAATACATTTTGGGAAAATCTATTCATGGAGGTTATACATGACATTTGAGGGCACATTTCTAAAATATTGGCAATTATACAGGGTGTCCCAATTTTGACCTACGTATCAAAGTTGTGATTTCTTAAATGGAATGCCTCAAGTTTTATTGCATATTTGGATAAACCAATTCAAAAGAATGATATAACATACTATGGGGTTTTGGTAATTAGCTACTGAGATGTAAGGTGTTTCGTCCAGGATAACCGTCCACTCCTCAATAGGCCATTTTGAAATTTGGACTGCTGAATTTTGTATCAAAAAAAAACTTACACACCTCAGCTTTTATCTTAGTTAATACTTTTTCGAATTTTCATTTTTGCTCATACAGGGTGGTCAAAAACGCGAATTGTACTTTTTCTCAAAAATTTCAAATGCATCACCCTGTATATTTGTGCAAGTTTGGATTCGATTTTTTATAAGCTTTTTTGATATAGGGTTAGATAAAATCACTAGATTTTGAGTTATCAAGCTTAAAATAGAACAACACACCAAAATTAAGGAAAAAAATCACATCATCCATGGAAACAACAGACAAACAGTGGGCTAGTTCGATATTGCCACTAAGAGTACAAATTTGACGTAAAAACTAATAACAATCAGAACAGTATAAATCAGCTTCAAGCGTAATAGAGAAAAACAACTGTAACAACATAAACAAACAACTATCACTACTCAAGACCTAATCTACAAAAACTGCTCGAAAATATCTTCACCATAGTGAAGCAGCCGTAGTCTTTGGATAAATGACCGTTGCACATCCCTCAGCATGTGTTCCCTTAAGTTCAGAAAAGCATCCTTAATCCTTTCCTTCATATTTTCCGGGGTAGATGGTGGATTTATAAGCCTCTTGCTTAACGTAGACCCATAGAAAGAAGTCCATCGGTGTCATATATGGTGATCTAGGAGGCCAAGATATAGGCCCATCAACACCGATCCAACGATTGTTACTCCAGGTGTCCATTACGGACAGGATTATGATAATGCGCAGATGCGCCGTCATGTTGGAAGTACATATGCATCCGAATTTACAGGTTGACAGAAGTTCTGCATATATCAGTTTCTGCTCCAATTTGCCGTTCACTTAAATGGGGATTTTCCTGCAACGTTAATAGAACTCCCAGCTGATTCGCCTCATTGGTGACACTTGGATTATTTATACATTTTTTAATATATTCCACTTCTCCACTTGATTCAAAACGTTCTCGTAGTGTGGAAAATGTTTCCGGCTTTGGATGTCGCATATTAGGGTACCGTTGCTTATAAATGCGAGATGCTAGGAAGCTATTTCTTTGGGCTTCGCCCAGAACGAACACCATGTTCACCATTTCTTTTAAATTTCCACAACTTGTTTATAGGCCAAAGAAAAGCCACTATTAACTCCACAGCAAAAGAAAAATCGGCTTAGATGGGCTAAAGAACATAGACAATGGACACGTCAACAATGGTGTGCAATACAATGGAGTGATGAGGCCCAATTCGAAATTTGTGTTGGTGACAGTCGCAGTAGAGTTATTCGCAAAAAAAATGAAGCATTCCATGTTGACTGTCTGAAGGGAAAAGAGAATTTTCCAGCATCCATTATGGTCTGGGGCAGTATGTCATCAAAAGGAGTAGGAAAACTTCATTTTATTGATGGAAATGTGGATACAAACAAATATTTGGCAATTTTAGAAGAATCGCTTTTACCAGTGATGGAAGAATGTTTGACATCCGGCCAAGATTTTGTGTTTCATCACGATGGTGCAGCGTGCCATACCTCAAAAAAGGCTATAAAATGGATGGAAGAAAATAATTTACCACTTTTGAAATGGTTTTAAAGCAGTCCAGATCTGTCACCTATTGAAACTTTGTGGCATTATAATTGGTATGGATTCATTAGGTCTATATTTCTAAAAGGTTTGTGAAAGTTAGCAAAATCCGATTCTAGGTTTTATCTGGCTCGACTTTAAAGTTATCAAACATAATTAACCCCAATGGAGACAACGTGCGGAATCTTGTTAAAAACTCTTAGGAATAATAGTAACAGAAAAAGTGTCCGAAAATTAATGATACGTTCAACTACGGTGCGCGTGAATACAGCAATCATATCATATACCAGATGAGAGATTTTTGCTTCCTTTGTAGAATCCATATTGAAATATTTTGGATTTTTTATAACACACGGTGCTTTTTTCTGCTTTTTGGGAGACGACTGTGCATTGTGCTAAAATAACGCTTGTTGTAATCGATAAATGGGCATATTATCTGAAAGTCCTAAACACGCTTCTCAAAAACTGAAGCATTGGTGATTTAATCGGATAAACATCATTTTCAAAGAGAATATTAGTTTTTGGAGTACACTGATTGTATGAAATATTTTTCAAATCAGAGTTCTCTCTATTCACCTGTGCAAAAATCCAATATGGTATCTACAAGAAAAAATCGAGAACACGTTAATCAATGTGTCCGTTACAAGAAGAGATCTGATTTAACTGTTATCAGCTCTCAGTCTATTGCTGACTATTAGGTTCTACCATCTCTCTGTCTATCGTCTTGTCGATAACAAATCACGTATAATGAGTTGTCTATATCCTAGCAAACGTTGAAATGTTGTTTGTACAACAATTATTATTTGAAGATAACAAATCAAAACAGCATTTGAAAATCACAAGAACAAGACGGGTCAAACAACTGACCAAAAGTTATCGCTATCTCTAAACCAACTTGCGCGGAGCACGATATCAAACCATATCTTTAGAATTTTATGATAGCTCCATCAGAGCAAACTCCTTTGAACCAGTCTGAATCTTTTGCTTTTTCGACACACACATTCATGTTTCTTGAGGCTCCGCATCGCAAAAATATCAACTTTGGTATAGAGACTCGCGGGTTTTCTCATTAATAGTGCAAATAATGGCCGGGGTTGTGTTCATAGTTTGTATCCCAACAGAAAACCACGAGAAAAATCTTAGGAAAAAGAAGAAAGTTCTCATTGATGATAATCCTAGAATACTGAGTAGTGTCAATGGTAGTCACTATAATTCCTATAACTATCAGGAGTACAATGGAGTGGGTGGTAAGAAAAAAGCTAACAAAGGAAATGGAAATGGAAGTGGGAATGATTATCAACAAACTATGGAAAAGGTATGGCAAACTATGGATAGCAAAAATAAAAAGGATAAACCTATAAGATAGTAACGATTTTTTTCTGAAAACATATCATTATGCAGGATATCCCCGATTAACATACTTATAGAGCAGAAACAAATAATGTTGCAAGTTTCTATATAAGTTTTTCGTAGCGAATAAGCAGACGTATTTTCCACATATTTTCTAAGACCTTGTATGTGTATGCTTTTATTGCATGATTGTTATGGTTCTAATGGGCACAATGTGGAAGACCTCTGGACGCCTTTTTACCAATCGGTCAGCTATATATCACCCTAAGATTACGAGTTACTCCTTATTTTGATCTAGATATTCAGTCGAATAGATTCATTTAAAGCTAATTTTCAATAAGTGAAAAAACGCATGTTTATAATTATTATAGCATAAAATACGACATATTTTAGTATAGATAAATAATACACTTTCTACGTCGATATTGAATTATATAATATTGTTCCATGAATTTTTTGAATTTTTCCAATGGACAAGAAATATATATAGTTATTTCGTTGACCAATCTAGAATCCTCAAACACTTGTTAACTTCCTTGTAACGTTGACGGTAATTTGGTATATAAGTGTTACTTTCAATGCTTTCAATGATTAGACCAGTCTATACTGTCATATGAAACTCACTTTGCAAATATATGTATAGAAAGTAAGTATGTAACACGTTTCATATTAGACTGTCAAATTAATTCCAATAGCTGTCATAGTTATAAGCAAGATGCTGAAAAATAAACACATATGCAACTGGACATACATTTCTTAACCCAGCGTACTCTGGTTGTCCCTTCTAGTTCGTAGTCATAGTTTACATTTTAGTTATGAATGCTAGTAAATTAGGATATTTTTTGAGAAATCACTGTATTTATTTATCAAAATGTGATTACTACAATCTTGAATACTGTGTCACATATTCTTTTGATATTTTATATATACTAAGTGACATATAAACCCGAACACCCAGTTTAAATGGTTTTATTTTAATAAAAGTTGGTGAATGTATTTATCTTATCTAAATAACAAGTGAAAAAATTTTCAGCCTTATCAGTTGGATATTCTGGTTTTTATACTGCTTTTTTTTAAATCACTAACGCTCTAAAAATGAATATTTCAGCAGCAGTAAAGAATCAACGTTGGCGGATTTTGGTTCTTGACATCCTTTACGATCGGTTACGATGCCTAGAGTACGGAGACCTGTACGATTTCGTCAACTTAGTGAGTTTGATAGGGGCCGTATAGTGGGACTTCGGGAAGCTGGACTTTCTTTTCGAGCAATTGCAGATAGAGTGCAAAAAAGTGTAGACACTGTGGTTAGGTGTTGTCAGGCATGGCTTCGAGAAGGCCGTACGCAAAGAGCAAGGGGTACTGGACGCCGCCGTAGAACAACAGACCCTGAAGGTCGCCGCCTAAGATTATTGGCCTTAAGGGACCGTTTCTCCACTACCAGCTCCATTGCAAATGAATGGTTTGCAGAACACGGAAGACCTATTGGCATGTGAAGTGTTTACCGACGAATGAGAAGTTTTGGCTTGTTTTCATACCGGCCACAATGGGTCCTCCCTTTAACTCGAGAACACCGACGTAATCGCCTTGAGTGGTGCAGACAACGGTCACTCTGGGATCAGAAATGGGACAGTATTGTCTTTAGTGACGAGTATCGATTTTGTTTAGGCATGCACGATGGTCGTGCCAGGGTTAGAAGGCGACGTGGTGAAAGGAGGAATCCACAGTTTTTTGTTGAAAGACATGTTCATCACACTGTTGGAGTTATGGTTTGGGGTGCTATAGCTTATGGTTCCAGGTCACCTTTAATCTTCATCAGAGGTAACATGAACGCGCAGCGTTATATCCACGAAGTTCTAGAACCCCATCTTTTACCCTATCTTGATACCCTGGCAGATCCAACTTTCCAACAAGATAATGCCCGACCACATGTTGCAAGAGTCACAATAGACTTCTTTCAACATAATGATGTCACATTGTTACCATGGCCACCAAGATCTCTCGCCTTATCCCCAATTGAGCACGTCGTGTGGGATATGATGGGTAGGAGATTGCTCAATTTGCAACGTCCTCCTCAGAGTCTAGAAGCACTTCGAGAGGAGTTGGTGGTTGCCTGGAATGAGATACCACAGGAGGACATTGACCACCTGATCAGAAGCATGCCTAGGCGCGTTGGAGAATGCGTAGCACATCAGGGTGCATCCACACATTATTAAAGGTCAAAGGGCTTTTTAAAGCAGTGCAATCATTTTGAAATTTTTATCATTTACTTATTATGCTTCATTAAGTACTTATACAAAATTTTATTAAAATAAAACCATTTAAACTGGGTGTTCGGATTTATATGTCACTTAGTATATATGGTATATGATGTATTATGGGAAATTGCGAACGGGTGTATCATCAAATGTTACGTTATTACCAAATGATAACGTAGTCCAAATATCATGACATTAGGGGGCTTTCCAAGTATCCTTTTTATCTTAATCTTCGACCTAAAATGGAATTGCAACGTTTAACAATACATTGCCGTTACTGTCAAATGTATAACAATAAAAAGTCATTGTTATCCATTATTAAACATATACAGCGACATTTCACGAACTTTCTAGATATTTCTTGGGGGTAATAAAAATAATGACGTCTTTGGCTGTTTATCGATTTATTTGCGACATACATAGATTTGTGGAACAGCCTCAGATAACTATTTTCCTTCTCGATGACAAATATACTTTTACACGCTTACTTACTCTAGTATAGATATGGCGAAAATCTCCCATTCGTCCGAGGAATCCTCCGAGTCAATATTCTTCATAATCACATTTTTTGGGTATCCTTAAACATGAATCAAAAAGGTTGTCGGGAAGTAAGCATTTTCTTAAACAATTGGTGAACAATTGTTTCTTTTTTTCGCCCTAGTCAAAGCTTTTTCAGATTATATCATCGCTCAACATGAACAAAGGTTCTGGTCCGGACTTGATTCCTGCTGTTGCAGTCCGTCCCAACAAAAGGATCTAACACCGGCCATTTCAACTACAGACCTATAAATTTGCTTTCTCTTATAAGAAATGTGGTGGAGAGGTGCATCAATCAGAAGCGTCTGAAGTATCTTGAACATCACGGCTTGATTAACGACGGTACGGTTTCCGGCGCCGGCGATCAACGGGGACGTGCTACCTAACGTTACGCAACACTCACGAAAGCAGAAGCCTAAATGCCAGGGTAACCGCGGCTGCTGTGAGAATCCCAAAGTAGCTTTATTAATCCGAATTTTAAACTGCCTAAGATTAGTAGTACTGTGAAAGGCCTCCTCATGTAGATTGTTCCACAAACTACACCCTGGGGACAAAGGAGCAGTCGTATCGGCCAGTTTTGGATGTACGAAGTTATACACGGTTAGGATGAGAGCCCGACGTAAGGCGGGCCTGCCCGGTAGGCACATCGCGCGGCGGCATCATGAATGAGAGCTCTGAGGAGCAAAGCCAATTAGTGTAGCGGTGGAAAAGTGCTGGATCGCCGACAACCCGCCAGCGCCGATGCGAAAGTGTTCCGACACTGTCTGTTAGAGAATAGTCATCCATCAGTGGGACAGTCTTCCTCTGAACAGATCGAGCATGAATAATAGAGTCGGGGCGGCAAGTACTTCTTAGTCTAAAGAAATAGCCTAGCTTTTTCCCAGCAGCTGCCGCTATTGACGAAATGTGTTCGTGCCAGATCAAGTCCTCGCTGATGTGAAGTCCGACCAGCTGAAATGAACGGTTCTTCAGAAGAACTTGGCCGTCCATCGAAACCCGATGAGCGCTAGGACGCTTGTTCTGCGTCAAGGTACAGTACTGTGTTTTGGAAGCTTTGAACTGTACAAGATTGTTACATCCCCAAGCAGAGATAACCTCCAGGTCTCAGAGGAAATCGCTGCTAGTCTTTTTTCTTCCAGCTCACCGGCAGAGATCGACTTGTCACTCTGAGTTCCTGCATAAAGAGAGCAGTCCTCAGCAAAGCTGTGGATTAGACTGGTCGTACAGGAAAGGAGGTCATTGATATGCAATTGCCCTCTTATGCAAATTCTATCCTATCCTACCCCCAGTTGAAAATGGCCATTGAAAATGATTGACGATTTTTCAGACTTTCAGATGGTTGAATTTATAATTTTATATTTGTGCATCATATGAGTCCACCTACTTGATCTTTTGTTACAGATTGTACAAGATATTCTGCAAATGTTCCACATAACGAACTCGACATGGTGCAAAAGGGACCAAGACAACTACCAGCACGTTATCTTTTCGGTAGATTCAACGGATAGATGCGATGATATTTTGGAAATTCTGAAAGATAATTACATTGGACAAAAATATGATTCTACTGTCAACGTTCTTCCTTGCAGTATACAGTACAAGTCGGATAATGAATATAGTGGATATTCTGAAGAGGACTGTCCAGCTAGTCCAGAGTTAGTAGAATGATTAACTTTTAGAAGTATTCCATGTGATTGAGTAGAATAAAAATGTAAATGTTTAAAAATGTTCAGTGATATTGCATTTAGCTGAGAATATAGTCCGAATGAAATTCGTCACAAATGCTATAGCCACAACAACCATTTATTACGCTCAGAATACAATAGGTAATTATGGACGAAATGATACTTGTATAATATACTTTTATGACTTTCTGTATCACAACATAAATTATTTTTACAAATATTACAAATAATATCAAAAATGAACTACTTATCAGAAGAAATTTTCGAATTTAAGATTCAGATAAAAAAATTAACATGAAATGGTATGAAGGGCTGATTTAAAATATCTTTCTCAGATCTTGATATTTTTTATACCTGAACCACCACGAAGGCCTAAGGCTTAAACACACCTATGGGTAACGTAGGGCGATAGGGGATGCAGGGGAAAGGGAAAACGAGTCAGGGACTATAGCGAGGGAACACGTACGCAACATGCACACATTCTGGCCCCGCCTTAGAAATCCGCCGGATGGTACCTCTGCGTTCGACAGAGACCTTCTAACACCTACGGAGAATTACAACGTCCAAAGCCAAGAGACAAATTTCTCTTGGGATGGAATTTGAACCCGTAATAGCAGTGGCGTACGATTAGTTTCGCTACTGTCATCAATTTTGGTATTTTACTATATATATGAGAACCTATCCATCGTAGAGGCTTGTTTCAAAAGCGGTTGTTACTAAAAAGGCCAAGAGAAGAACCTGAAAAATCTTTTCAAGTCTCTGAAATGGCCGCTAGAGGCGTAACTGCAATCCTGAATCTCAAAAGTGATGTTTCTGTAAATTCCGCTATATTATCCGAACAACAAAATACCTCATCTTTAAATTCGAGGATAATCTGAACCTTTTTTGTTTGACATTTTTTGTTGTATCGCTAAAAATGAAGTGGTGAGGGGTATTCCGTAAAAAAAACAACTGAGCCGATTTTAACAGACTTGAGCTAGTTGAAAAAAGCTATTCTTGAGCTTGTCCTGGCTTTGTTAGTTTAAATGGTTAATTTTCTCAAAACAATTAAATACATTGGTAAGTTTCTTTGTGAAAAAGTAGCTAAATCATGTCTAAACCAACAGCCGCATCTCAATATCTCGTTTCTAACCTAAAATTTGGGCCTAAGAAAATTTTATACCAAAATCCGTTTAATTTTTATATTTTTTCATGCATTCCTGAGCCTCTCATGGGTAGAAAACTGCAGCTCAATTTTGGCTTCGAAATATTACGCATTGCATTACGAATTCGGTTTCTCATATCTTTGGTTGTAGGTTGAGTCTGAAACACGATGTCTGGTGATCGCGAAGACCATGGAAATAGACTTCCTCTTCTAATCCACCGCTGTCGAAATACTGCAGTAATATTCTCTCGCCGTGTTTCCAGTGGCACATCTTCCAACAACAACGGTAATTGATTGTCCAAAAAATCAAGAAAGAGATTGCCATTTAGATTGATCGAAAAAATATGGCTCAATAATTATGCCTCCGCGTTTGCCACAGGCCCTTGGTGCTGAACTTCACACAACCATTGCGGATTTTCTGCAGACCAATAATTCATATTGTGCAGATTGACTTTCCCGTCACTGTTAAGGGAGGCTTCATCGATCCAAAGAACTTGAAATAAAAATTCTCTATTTTCGTGTATCATGCCTAACATCCAATGGCAATAGTCCAACTTCCGATCAAAGTCTTCCTCTTTCAACGCCTGCTACAAAACGACATGATATGGGTGCATTCTAAAAATAATTAAAAAAATCAAATTGAAATAAATCCATATATTTTGATGGTCATTAGAACTTACTTATGGTCGTTCAGATTATTTTGAGCCGTTGTTCGTGATATGCCCAACTCAAGGGATAATGCCCAGTAGGCGGTTAATATTTTCTGTGTTCTTCCAAGTCTTGTTTAAACGTAGGCCCAAAACTAAACTTGGCTCGTAAGCTCACCACTAATCGGGGAAAGGCTCTGACATTGCAAAGACGCCGATTTGGATATCGAGTCACGCTTTTTGCTACTGCGGCATTTTGAAGACATTCAAAATAAGCTGCAAGCATATCAACAGCTTCATCGTTAGTAAAACGCATTTGGTAAGCATAAAAAATGCTCAAAGTAACGCGAAACTATTGTCAACTATTGACACTTTGAGGATTATTTGTTTTGTTGTATTCCATGGCCTGCTTTTATTAACTGCCTCTTAGGTATATACCCATAGAGAATATGCATTTAAACAAAAAATATGCTCTTCCTGCAGACATTCGTCAAAAAATGTCTGACAAAAAAGGTGCAATTAAGCAAGCGAAGAGGTCTTGTCATCCAGATGACATTCGCAGAGCGACGAATCTTGTTCATGAAGTGAGAAATGATCATCATAAATTTCGTAATGAGCAATGGAGCGACTTTCTGTCGGTGATGCTTGACTCAAGTATTCCTCTCTGGAAAGTTGCAAAGTCGCTCAGAAACGGAAAGCGAGAGCAACTCCCGCACATCGACGGTCCTGGGGCACAGTCTGTAGGACAGAGGAAAAGGTCGAGGTTTTCGCTGATGCAATGGAAAGTCAGTTCTCTCCCAACTGTGACCTTGGTAATGACCTCGATGAGGAGCAACACATTGTAAGAGCCGTCAGGAGATATTTAAGAGCCAACGGCGTCAGAAGCAGTAGCGCCTCCCTTAGTGATTTTTCGCATTGCGCACCAGCAGAGCTTCAAGGTCATATTAAAGACCTCAAGGTGCGTAAAGCACTTGGAGAGGATCGAATCACTAATAAGTATCTGAAGCTGCTTTCGTGGAAGTCCTTAACATCTCGTGGCAATAATCAATAGCATGCTAAGGACCCAGCACTTCCCAGCGGCGTGGAATACTGCTGATGCTGTAATGCTTCCAAAGAAGGGTGGGTTTGATATTACCACCCCATTAGTTTACTGTCATCTCCTTCTAAGCTCGCTGAAAAGGTGATTCTACATCAACTTGAAAACTTCTCGTCAGACCACAATGTGATTCCTGACGTGCAATTTGACTGTCGCTCTGAGCATACTACCGGCGGTTAGGCTTGTTGAACGAGTAACCAAGGGGTTCACCCGTAACGAAAGTACTGGGATATTGCTTCTGGATCTCTCAAAGGCATTTGACAAGGAGTGGCACAAGGACCTCCTCTACAAATTGATCCATAAGAGCTTGCCCTTTGGCTCCTGAAACTTTAAAATCCTTCCTTGAGGGTAGAAAATTACTGATCAAAATGAATAAGGTACTGTCGACAGCACGGCCCATCAAAGCGGGTGTCCCTCAGGGTTCGGTTCTTGAACCAGTCCTTTATTCACTTTTTAATCATCACTTCCCTTGTCCCAGCAACTTTAGAATCTATCTCTATACTAATGACACTGCCCTGGTGGCCCAGTCGTGTTCTGGGAATCTAGTTCACGACAGGCTGCAAAGTGCACTGGACGATGTATTGGAATGGGCGAATCGGTGGCTGATCAAAATTAATCATTCGAAAACGCAGGCTATCTACTGTACTAAAAAACGTAGCGGCGGCCCGTCAGAGGTTTCAGTGAATGGAGCTTGGGTACCAGGTGAAAGTTCTGCTAAGTATCTCGGTGTCACTCTTGACAAGGGAATGACCTGGCAGAAGCACACTGAAGCGTTAAAATCTAAATTCCAAATCTTGTTTCGGCAACTCTACCCTATGCTATGTTGAACATCAAAGTTATGTTTGATCAACAAAGTTCGACCATACAAGATGGTTATTAGACCAGTGATCACTTGTGCAAGTGCGGCTTGGTGTTTTCTCGCCAAAACTCACTTGCGTAGCCTGCAGGTTTTGCAGAACAGAATCTTGCGTACAATAACTAGCGCCCCGTGGTATGTCTCCAATGAGACCCTTCACAGAGACCTTGATTCCCCTTACCTAACGGACTACATCAAACAACAAGCGCAGCTACGTTATAGTCAAGCGGAATCGCGTAGCAACCTCTTGTTGCCGAGTCAGTAGACGACACAGTGGAGCAAGCTCGCAAGCAGCCCCAGACCTGACATACCTACTGACTTACAAGACTTTAACCACGAGCAAAGGTCCTACGGACCGCTCTGACAGACAATGACAAATATAAAGAAATATATACGTTTTGTTATTAGCATTACTTACTTACCTTTTAGGTATATTTTGTAATATTTCCAAAAACGGTCATTTTGTTCTAATGAACAAAAAAGAATTCCACAAAAATTAGATTAAAAAAAATAAAAATTTCAAGGACTTCCATATAAAATTTTCTTTGGCCTAAACTTTAGGTTACGAACATGATATCGAGATGCGGCTGTTGGTTTAAACATGATTTAGCTACTTTTTCTTAAACAAAAATCATACCAATGCATTTAATTTTTCTGAGAAAAAAACCATCTAGCGGCCAGATGTGAAACTAACAACACTTCAAATATTATAACGTTTGTAGCCCAAGAATAGTTCTTTTCAACTAGCCCAAGTTTGCTAAAATCGGCTCAGCCGTTTAGAAGATATTTACGGAAATCTTTGAATACCCCGACCACTTTTCTTTTAGAGATACAGCAAAAATTGTCGAACAAAAAGTTTATCCTCTACCTTAAAGATCAGGTATTTTTTTGTTAGGTTAATATAGATTCAAAATTGAAGTTACGCCCCCTAGCGGAAAATATTTTCCAGGTATTTCTCTTGAGCGTTTTTAGTAAGAACTTTTTTTGCCACAAGCCTCTACGATAGATATGTTTCCAGATGCAGTAGCTCGCATTCTTAGTTGGCCACTCTGTACTAATAAGAAAGGGGAAATAACGGTAAAAGATTCATACTCAACAACTAAATTATATATACAACAGGTGTATTATTCCGTTATATAGGTGTTACAGTATTCCATATTGTTTTTCCAAGACGGGCCTTAGACGTTTGCTTTGATTTTGATATAAATGTGTAAACATCTGTAAAGTCATTGACGAAGAAAGATTTTCAAAACCAATATATGCCCTTTTCACAAGTTTTTAGTTATATAACATCGATTACTTTCCGATTAGCAAATAAATCTGATTTAAAATATTTAATTGCAGATATGAGAAACACCACACAGCTTGGGATCGGTTCCTGAGTTCAGTAAGGGCACGATTGACAGTTGCGCAAGTGGTCGAAAACGTGAAAATCCATGCCTCCCTAACATTCGATTTTCTTCTACTTATCTTCATGTCAACGTAAGACTTAACTTAACCTCCCTCAAATCTCTTTACTAGTAACATAGACAGTAACTAGTCACTCTTCTCTTCGACTTAACTTATGGTCTACGTCTTTTTCATCAGGAATCGGCCAATATGACTGTATCAGCATTGGCCGATTATCGTTATCTCTCCTGTTTATTCATCGATTTTTTATATGCCAAATATGTCGGCAATAGATAAATACAAAAAGAAATCTAGTTAAGTGTGAAAGTATATTAGGAAAACCAAATTTGTCTGACGACTTGAGTTCAATGTGTACGAGAGAGAAGCGTGAGACGCTATGTTAGAAAGAGATAGAAGTCGGCTGGCCAGCAAAGCTCATTACCACGCCTAGCAACACTGGGTCGTTGAATTAAGATGCATGTTGAAAAGATGTGTTAGTTTATTCTCTATGCCCAAATAACGGTTTTATTTTGTGCGTAAAAATTTTTGAATTGTAAATTGTCACGAACCTGTTTAGAATCGATTCTAAAGCGGTCCAACGACACTCCATTTTAGATTTAGATTATTGGTTTGAATGACAACACCGCATTTCGTACAAAGGAAGGATTCCACATCCATGATCATAGATGAGGCATTTTGGTCAGTACCATCTCGCGCTCATACTTGAGCATCGTCCTGCTTCGAAATGGTTTTTACGTGCGTATACGCGTAAAAAAGATGTTTGTTAATACATGATAAAAAACGTGTTTTATCACACTTTAACATCAACGCATCCTCACTGGACAACCCTTTATTTAGACAGCCATGAACGAAAATAATATTTTATCTTAATTTTCAGAGTTATGTGCGCCGTGGGCCTAGTAGAAAATAGCAACGTGTACTTACTTTCCAGTATGGTTATGTGTCCAATGATGGCAAGTTTCATATTTTTAGTCTGTTTATCATTTGGACTGCATATGAATAAGATGATTCTTTGTGGCTATACTACAATAGTTTCGATTTCTTCATCCATTATTATTAATATTTTATCAGGCATATTTGTTGTTTTTTTATACATTATAATATATTTCTATTTGAGTAGAAACCGAAATAGCAACGGCTGAATATTGGGAAGTAACTCAAGTGAACGTATTTTCGAAAATGGTGACCATCTAATAGGTGATACTTTTCCACAGGGTCCTGTTCTAGCTGGTACTTTTGGATTTGTGATCCAGCACCGACATCTGATGAAAATGGGTGTTCAAAACGAGCTGATTGGTTTAGGGATCGCTAATCTTGTCGGCTTTTCTTATGGCTGTGTTATTTCCTCCATCACAGAATGGTACGGAAGTCTTGGAGGGACCCATGACTGGCCCACCTATGAAATGACATCCAGGTATCATACAGGGTTTGTCCGGAAAGTAATAGGACTTATTTTCTTTCGCCATGACTGTACTTCGGAGCGTACGCGCACCGACTGGATTCGGTAGAGGGCGTTCCTAGCTAACGAATGAGCGGCTGGTCAGTTATCTCCGAGCACTTGGAGAGTCAGGACAGGCATTTTCGCGCGACATGTTTATGTGAGTGGTGCAAGCCGAAAATGCAGCGTTCGTTAGAGCAGAGGTACGCGATTAAATTCTGTGTGAAACTCGGTAAATCTGCGACAGAGACGTGTGATATGATTAAGCAGGCTTACCCAGGTGTTGCTTTAGCAAGAAGTGGTGTGTTTCGGTGGCACCAGGCCTTTTTGGAGGGCCGGGAAGAGGTCGCTGATGAAGACCGTGCTGGTAGACCTTCGACTTCAACAAACACCGATAATGTGACTCGTGTGCGCAAAGTTTTGAACTAGGACCATCAACTAAGTATTCGTTTAATTGCCCAGATGTTAAATTTACCAAAATCTGTGGATCATGACATTGTGACACAGCATTTGGTGGAAGATGGTCCCTCCTGGACCGTCAACGCCAAGTTTTACGTGAAAGTGCTCAGGAGACTCAAACGAAGGGACAGTCGGGCCCGACAAGACATCGCAGCCGACTGGAAGTTGCACCACGACAACGCCCCGGCTCACACCGCCTTTCTTGTGAACAGCTACCTGATCCAGGCCGGCATTTCAACGCTTCCGCAGCCGCCCTACAGCCCAGATGTGGCCCCCCGGACTTTTTTGTGTTTCCTCGCCTGAAAAGGCCAATGAAAGGCAAGCATTTTGAGACCACAGAGGGGATCCAAGCAGCATGCACCGCGGCTCTCAAGGCTATTCCGGAGAATGCCTTCCGTGACGCCTTCAATGCTTGGAAATCGCGCTGGCAGCGGGCAGCGCTGCATCGACGCAGAAGGAGCCTGTTTTGAAAGTTTTTAAAGAATTGTAACGATTGGCTCGATAATTTTTTTAAATCGATTCAGTCCTATTACTTTCCGGACAAAACCTGTATATTAAAATACAGAGAAGACCATGATAAAATCCACTCTTGTATCTGAGAGAAAAACTGTTCTATATTTAACTTGCTATATATTACAGAGGTGAGCTTAGAGGCCTGTGGGTTGGTAGCCTGACAGCCCTACTTTCTGGAGCCGTAGTAGCATTAGGAATATTAAGTGACAACATCGCATCACTTGTTGGTGTTGCCATATCAACTTCACTCACTGTACCTGCTGTCAACGCTGTAAGTCTACATACTCTATATTTAAAAAAAAATCAGATGTACTCTGCCTCACCTCGCACAAGCTCCTACCCCTTATATTTGACCATCACAAACATTTTTCTGAAAACGATCAAGAGACAAAAAATGGCATGAAGTAGGTTGACAATGCCCTTCCTACGCAACGCAGTCACCAGTTTATGAAGGATTAAGTTTAGCACAAGTTAGACTGTCTGAGAAAAGAATTCGTTACGGATATGTATAACAGAGAAATTGAATGGATCAAGTCAGTCAAACAAGCCGAAACATAGACATCAATGTCCTCTCCTACCGGTAGTACCCGCTCATCTGGCAACGTCGCCTCTCCTGAACACCTGTGCGCACCACGTGGCCGCGCAGAACAGCGGTAGTAACAGACAAGAGACTCAGAGCAGTAAAATCAAAGACACGAATCGAAAAGGTTGCTCTATCATTCTAAGTCTTAGGGACAAATGAACGGGGAAATATATGATGTGTGGAATATGTCCAATAGGTGCGTAGAAGGATCGGGGCTCGGAGCATATAAAAATAACAACATCAAAAAATTGAGGTATTCCCTCCGCTACCCCTTAAATCCCTTACTCATTTTTTTCTGAAAATGATCAAAGGAGCTTCTGAAACGTAAAAAAATGAATTTTGAACGATATTTATATCCTTCGTGTTTTACCCCTGCCTCCGCGGCTACTGGACCGATTTTAAAAAACTAGAAGGCCTTTTCGTCCTTCGCATAGTAGTAACCTTGTGTAGAAATTTAATCAAAATCCGAACGGTACTTCTCCTGTGATAGACGGCCAAGGTTTAGCGAATAGACAGAGACAGACAGGCAGACCGACAGACAGACAGAGGGAAATTAGTGACATGATTTTCAGGATATACATGACACATATAACACCCAAAAAACGAAATATCTATCTTTTTACAATAGTTCTTTGCCAGTAGGCGTGAGAAGTAAAAACGAAGTTTCAGCGATTTTTTTGCCTTTTGCCCATAGACCCACTGCCAATTTACAAACTACAAAGCTTTTTCGTCCTTGGCGTAGTAGTAACCTTGTGTGAAAGTTTCATTAAGATCCAAGCAGTAATTTACAAGTTATAAACGAGCCAAGGATTAGCGGACAGAGCCACAGACAGACCTACAATCACACAGACCGACAGATAAATCGACAGACAGGCCGAGAGAGAGACCGACAGATAGACAAACCGAGAAAATGATGACATCAAAAAGACATAATGTACCATTTTCTAAATTTTTCGTGCTTACAATACGGCCTCGCCAGTGGCGTGTGAAGTAAAAAGCAGAGATTCGAGTATCTGTAGATTCAGGCCTCAGTAGTCTTAAGGCCGATTTACATTTCAATAAGTACAGTAGCGAGTTAACTTGCGTCATCGCCGAGTTAAGTTGTTATTGTCATTTGAACGGCGAAAGCGAGTTAAGTTATAAGTTGTTAATTAAGTTGACTTGAATAGATCGTCATCCTATTTTTCGGTGAGTTCAGTGCGAAGTGGCCCCCTCCCTCGCGTCTCCCGCACCCCCGTGGACTGACGTGTAGACGGCTGAGTTTAGTACAGTCCATAAGTTTGCGCACTGCGGCCGCGCGCGACCACGTGTTATTATTTTGTCGTGTTAAAATGAAGTGGTCTGATAATACTACCTTTGCATTTGTAGAAGAATACCTTAAACATGAGTGTTTATTTAATACAAAATGCAATAATTACCACAATAAACTAGCTAGAGATGCGGCAATTATTAAAATTTGTGTGGTCATGAAAATAAGTGATTTAGGCCCGAAGGAGGCTATCTCTAAAATAAAAAGTATCAGATCGACATACAGCTAAGAACTTGTAAAAGTATTGATAATATTTCTCTTATTATAGCACGCACATTGGTATTAAATAAATCAACGTCCATTTTCTGGATTTCCCGTTTCGAATGAGAAAAACTATCGAAGTCCTATACTTGGAACGGCAACTTATGACTACTTAACTCGCGTACATTTGGACGCCACTTAATACTTATTACTTAATACTTAACTGACTGATTTCTTAACTCGCTACTGTACTTATTGAAATGTAAATCGGCCTTTAGCTCAAGCCTTATGATATTTCCGATATTCATATTCAACACCGAAATTACCCAAATGTACCAAGCTTGGCTTGTAACGACGGAACATGAAAATGGAAATTTTGCTTGACAAAGTCATCTAGAGCAGTGGTCGACAACGTTTGAGAGCCAGGGGCCAGTTGCAACTTAAAGAACAAGTGGGCCACCACTCGTATATATACAGGGTGTTCCTTAATGATATGCGAATATTTAAGGGTGTGAGTCTACATGAAAAATTAATGTTAGTTTGCTCTATAAACTATGATCCAAAAATGTTTCCTTACAAAAACTCGGGGTGTTGGAGTTTCAGGAAAAACGTGGAAATTAATATTTTCAGAACCGCTGATATTAGTAGTGAAAGTTAATAAAATTGCATATTTTTCAATGCAAAAATAATTTTTAGCTTTAATAGTGGCGTGCGTACGGGTATTGACGTCGATATTTTTTAAGAAAAAAATGGTACGCCAATGGTTTTTTGCCAAATAAAATCATTTTTGAATTCCCTGCTCAATTTAAAACAAATGATCTATCTTGAATTGTTGTTTTGTCGATGCGCCATTTTTGGGTAAAAATAAATCCGTTAATTGTCCGAGAAAATTAATATAATAACTGAAGAATGCAATTTAGCAATAAATATCTAGTTGCTCTGGAATATGTCACTGGATTTTGACATCTGACAAGTCTCTGTTATTCAAATCTGTTCGCTGTGACATCTTTTTCATTATTTAGTTTTTACAATCTTGTTAATAATGGTGAATTATTCAAATGCAGAAATGGCGGAAATGCAAATGCGGACGGTAATGGTGAGCAAGCCAGACGGATTTATCACCAGAGATATCCCGATCGTTCTTTGCCAGATAGTCGAACATTTTTTAATATTCATCGTCGTCTTGTTGAAACTAGTTCTGTTCGAAAAGGAACATCTGAAGGTAGACCTCTAAGTGTGAGAACACCTGAAATTGAGGAAGCAGTGCTGCACGAAGGGCATCTTGAAATGAGTATGAGGAAGGTCGCTAGACACTTAAATATTTGCCATCAAATTGTATGGAGAATTGTAGTGGATTTATTGTTAGATCCTTACCATATTTTAAGAGTACAGGCATTACTTCCCATTGCTTTTCCAAGGCGTGTGAGCTTTTGTCAGTGGTAACCCTAACCGAAACCCATTTCCAACACCAATTTTCGGTTATCATATGGGCTGGAATTATTGGCAACCACTTTATTGGCCCATTCTTCTTGCCGGGACGACTTGACGGACAGACTTACCTCAATTTTCTTCAACAACAGTTTCCTTTGCTGCTTGATGATGTTCCGTTAGTAATAAGAAACAATATGTGGTACATGCATGATGGTGCACCAGCGCATTTCAGTGTAGCGGTTCGTAATTATTTACAAACTGTTTATCCAAATCGTTGGATTGGCAGCGGTGGGTCCCAATAATGGCCGCCAAGGTTCCCAGACCTCAACAGTTTAGATTTCTTTTTGTGGGGCTATCTTAAGACACTAGTGTACACAAGTTCCATTAACACTGTAGAGGAATTAAGAGAAAGAAAAGTTGCAGCTTGTGATAGAATAAAAAACACTCCAAGGATATTTCAACGAGTGCGCAATTCCAAGAGAAGGAGGGCGGACGCATGCATACTAAGTGAAGAGGGCCATGTTTAACAATGTTTGTAAACATTTCGTTGGTTTTAATGTTGTTTATGTTGTCAGTTATTGTTGTTCATTACCCCTAATGTGTTTAATTTTTCCAATTAAATTAATAATAATTTTGCAAGTTAGATATTAGAACGGTTTTTATTTTTTTTACTCAAAAATGGCGGACCGAAGGGAAAAATTCAAGAGAGGTCATTTGTTTTAAATTAAACGGGAAATTGAAAAATAATTTTTATTTGGAAAAAGCCATATATATATATATATATATACACGGTGACTTCGAAGTTGAGTCATTTATTTTAACAGTGAGTAGATCTGATCAAAAGAAATGTTTGTTTCCTTTACCATTTTTCTGGTAAAATTAAAGTAACAAAGTTATAGCCCCTTGGAAGTTTGAGTACCGCCCTGTCTCAATAATAATATTATGTGCTCGTGTTTGGCAACAACGGATATAATCCGCCTTATCGGTTCATCGCATCGGAAACAAAAAAGCGAAAGAATTTGGAACGATGTTTTTACAATTTTATTCAGTTGTATTCATTCAATGTGTCAGTCGGTAACGCGTGCGTGAATAGTGGTGTTTGTTGCGTGGCTCAAACGAAATAAAAAATGGCACATGTTTACGAAAATGCTGAACTTGTGGACAAGATTCTTATTCTTAATCGAGTGCAACCAACCCCTCGTGCCTTTGTTAATATAGTACAAAGGGCTCGTGAATCAGGTGACTTAAGACCTCACAGGGGAGGGCATGCCGGTGCTCCAAGACCGCACGATCAAATACAGGTCCGCACTGAAATACTTGTCGGGAGGATACTTTATAAAACAAGGTAACATTTTTTTTTAATTTTTTTTTATTTTTACACACATATTTTGGTTTATCTTCCTTCTACAATCATTATCTGAAAATTAATGACTCAACTTCAAAGTCACCCTGTATATATATATATGTGTGTGTGTGTATAAATATATATACAGGGAAATTAATATTTTCAGAACCGCTTCAGATATTCCACTGATATTTAGTACATAATGAAAGTTAATAACGCTGCATATTTTTCAATGCACAAATAATGTTAAGCTTTAACAGTGGCGTGCGTACGGGTATTGACTTCGATATTTTTTAAGAAAAAAATGGTACGCCAATGGTTTTGTGCCAAATAAAAATCATTTTTGAATTCCCCGTTCAATTTAAAACAAATGATCTATTTTGAATTGTTTTCCTTCGATGCGCCATTTTTGAGTAAACAATATAAAAACCGTTCTATTGTCCGAGAGAATTAATGTAATAATTGAAGAATGCAATTTAGCAATAAATATCTAGTTGCTCTGGAATATGCCACTGGCTTTTGACATCTGACAAGTCTCTCTCTCGTGATTCGAATTTTTCTTTGACTCTATAATGTTACTGAGAGAAAATTAACTGCACTAATTGAAATTCCAATTAAGCCGATTAAAAAGTTTAACTAACTATATGGCACCTAACAAGTTTAATTAGCTTAACCAAACTCAGATTTCCGAAAATGTTTATTTGAATCTACGAAACTAGTTTGATTAAAATGCAGTCGTTTTTATTAAATCGTTTACTCAGATTGAGTACACCAATTTACATTTACATTTACCAATAAATATGTTAACTGTTTTTATTAAAATGTTTAATTGTACTTTTTCTACACAAACTCAATTACCTAAGCTAATTTAACAGTATAATTAAACAGTTTAATAAAACAAATAGTTTGCTAGTAGCAAATTACTAAAGTACTTTCAATTATACTGATTCCAGAATATTTAATTAAACTGAATAAACCAAATTATTCATTATAATTATTAACCTAGAATAACTAAAATAATCATTACGGTTAATGAAAATTGTACATAAAAACTGTTTAATTGACGTCTTCTCAGTAATTTTAAGGATCACTTTCAAATGTACATGCATATCTGAGGAGTGAATAGTCTTATTAATGAGATTCCGAATGCGCTGGTCTGCTGGATTGATTGTAGGACCCGCCGGGCTCCCAAGGACAAAAGAATTTTATATTTTGATCTACGTTTTCAAGGAAGGTGGCACGCTAGCGTTATCCTTGCATAGCATTGCATATTGCAAACAGATGAATTTGCCTCTGACGTTGTCGGAAGAGAGTCAAATCCCCGACTACTAATTCTCGGTTTCAAACACGTTTGATTTTCAGGCGTCGCCACGCGAGTCGTGGCGACGCCGACATGTGATAATAATCACCATGCGATAGTAATCCAGCGACGCTTTTCCTTCCGATTTTTTAACTCGCCACGTGACTTCCTCAACCTTTTCACTAACATAGCACTAAAAACTGAGTTCAAAACTTTACAACTTTCTACCAGAAGTTCCTTTATGGTCGGCTTCAAGGACTGAATTATGACCGTGTGAACAGTCCACGACCCTCGCTAGTTCACTTTTCACTTCCCATTCACGAAAGGGAGAACGCTGTCGTCTCTATGAGTTTTTGCCCCGCGAGAACGTAACTTCAAGAATAGCCATCATTTTAGATATGATTTGATGCAATTTCAACATTTGGCTCATCTATTTCAGGGATTATTTTGGGCTCTATCCACAGTGTATTATATCAAGGGGCCTGAATTTGTCGCAAAACAGAACTTAAAGCTTTACAATTACTATTCGAATGACCCCATATACGAGCTCTTGTCTTACGGAGCTATAAGCATATGCCTTTCTTTTCTGAATATCATATGCATCTTTGCAGCTGGCATAATAGTATTCAAGGTAAGTCATAAAACAAAATATTTACAAAGCTGAAAAATAACTTCCCCAATTGATCATAAAAACTAAAAGTTTGAGCCGACTTCAAGTCATCATTGCTTTATCCATGCCTAACAATCTTTGTGCATTAACCTGTTAAGTGGCCCAGGATAAACAACCATAGGCTTTTCTAGATGGCCCGTAATTTTATCGCATCCGGACATATCCGTCATCAGCACTGACTATATTCACTAGCGTATATATACGTCAATAGCATTAAAATTCGACAATAAAACTGAAAGGCGTATATTATCGTCAAAACAACATAAAAATATTGAACTGGTATCTAAAGAAAAGTAAAGGTGAAGGCTAACTTATAACATTGCATTGAAGGTGCACCAGTTTTCTCATTCCATTCTTCATACCTAGTAAGAAGAGTTGCTGTTAAAATGATAGATAAAGAATAAATTAAAACTTACTTATTTTTTTAGCTTTTTTGTTACTTGGTATGGAAAATCTCAAAACACGGTGCTGGACACAGACCAGTATGGCATTTTTGGCACCAGTAACGGCTTTCCTTTCTGATTTTCTTTTCAGCACATATTGCACACCTAAAAAACTGATTTAAAAAAAATGCCTTCTGTGGTACAATAGCTTACCTTTTTGTTGGTTTTTGTTTCGTAGTAGGTGGTATAACCGACGGAAAGTGACGTTCAATAAATCTTGATGGCATTGGTGTCCTTGATCTCCTTGTTCCGAAAGTTATTTGTGAGCTATATTTTCTAACTATTTGTTCTCCCAATTCTAACAAGAAATTTACCCTTTCCAGTCGGCCTCCATTTCGTTTGTATATATGAAATGAGTTTAGCGTTGTTACACTCAAAAAGTGCCAGAACATTTTCATGTAGTATTTTTTTACTCTACTCCTTGCCGTTCCATATTAGTGCAAATAATTATCGGCTAAGTCCACCCCGCCCATTTTTTTATTGTACTCTAGTACACAAGTGGGTTTCTCAATTTCACCCTTTTTGGTTAAGACCTTTTCCATAGTTTTATCGTGAAGGGTAGTTATCATTAACACATCCTTCTTGTCATGCCATTTTTGTATCATAATTTTTCTATTGTATCTAGCAACAGACTGTCCTTTAGATAATTTCACTTGTAAATCTTTAGGGATACCTTTTCTGTTTGCTTGAATTGTTCCCACACAGTCTGTTCTTCGTTTTACTAATTTGTGAACCAAGTCAACACTTGTGTAGTAATTGTCTAGAAAAAGTCCATACCCTTTGTCAAGTAGCGAATCAACAAGGGATAAAACTATCCTTGATGTAACTGGTTCCTGAGAATGCTGTGCTTCATAAATCGTATCAGCACCTGTATAGATGATAAAATTATACATATAACCAGAAGTTTCACATAAAGCGAAGTTTGATGCCAAACCTCTTTCGTTTAGAAGGTATGTATTGTTTCCAGCCCAATCTCCCTTTCCAGCCAATCAAAGACTCGTCTATCGCGATGTCCCTTTCTGGCACATAACTGGTCATAAATTTCTCCCTTAAATGGTTTAGAAGTTTAGAAGTACTTTGGCAAGTTTGCGATTTTTTGTGTTGGCATTTATTGTTGAATTATCAACAAAATGCAAAAATTTCAATAACAAGTGAAATCTTTTCTCGGAAATAATTATCGAAAAAAATGGAGTTTCTATGCTCTCTCTCCGAGAGAAATACATTTTGTATTCAGGCTTAGGACATAATCCCTGTAATATCAATAGGCCTATAAGCGTCCTAATTTCGTTGGTATTCGTTTCTTTCCATTGGCGTACTCTAGAGTGCGGTCTTATGTTTTCTCCATTTTTTATAATATATTGGATAGCAAATCTTGAATCTCTTTTTGAAGCCTCTCAATGTCTATTTTAATTGGGTATCTTCATTAATCAATTCCTGAAGATACCCGGTTGAAATAAATGCTAGAGGCGCCAAAAAAGGATTGAAGGCATAAGCGCCATCCATGAAACAGTAGCAAAACCAAAGACTAACTCTTTTCAAAGTGGATTTTTGTGTTCTGCTACTCTTATAAATGGCTCTAGGATATTTCATAACATTTTTGAGCGCTGGAATACAGTATATAGTTGGCTATCTTCAGGTAGAATACTTTACTCAATGCTATGTATCTACTAACTACTTTAATCAATTTTTTGAGTTGTACAAAAATGTAAACCTTGTTCTGTTTTTAGATCAAGGAAGTAGCTCCAATGTCTCTAAGAGACCACGCTAGAAGAACATTTTGGAAACACGATATTCGTGTTGCCAGAGACTATAACAGAACTGTGCACAGTGACCAAGGCAGTTGTATGTTGAAAAAAATCAGAGAAGATCTCACACATTATCACACTATGGGATATGATCATATCTACCAGTCTACAGGTAATCTAAAAGTCAAAAGAAAGTTCACGGGAGTCGTCTCAAATGAAGGTTAACGCAAACTTTAAAATCGACCACTACGATAAGAGCAATCTTTATTCACCAAATTTAGGAACAATTGAAACACTTTTCAAAAGGTGTTAAGGATGATTACGATAGACGAATATGGGTTTTTAGTCCGCTGTGCCAGTGTACTATTTTGCCAGATGTTCAATCCTGCGGGGAAAACATAGAAGTTTACTATATGGTGTCGGTATTCTTTGGCTTTTAGACCTATTAGTGTTCGCCTCATAATTATCGTGGAAATGGGCTTTGTCTATTTAAAATTTAACTCTAGCATTCAAATCGTCAGTTTGCTTTAAAAAGTGACTGTATTTCATAAGTAGTTCTGTGAATGTGAAACTCTATTTTCTTTTGCAAGTAAAGTTGTTTGTTGTAAATTTAATATTGGATTTAAGTATCGCATTGTTTTCATTGCCAGAGGCATACACATATATCTGAAAAGACACAATTTCAGGATTCGATTTAGTTCGGAAAATACTTTGGATTGTAATTTTGTGTGTCATTTTCTGACATACTTGTATATGCTTGCTTAAGTTGGACTAACGTATCTCTTACCGTACTATTTGCTGTAACAGCAGTCCACATTTTTGATTAACTAACCATCCGGTTCCGAGTTCGGCCAAGTAAACCTTCGTTAGGAACGTTCCTGAAGTTAGCTTCAGATTTAGATTCGAATATGATGAAATTATAGTCGACCAGTTCAGTAGTGAGCTCAAATCGCCGACATGCTAGAAAACTGGTGTTTTCAGCCACTGAAGGTTGCTTCATGTTAAATAAGGCTTTTACACAAATTATTCTAGTGAACATCCCAAAATTCGATATTACCAGTAGTGGAGTGAACGGGAAAACGAGAACAGGCACTAGTGTGCTATCTTAATAGGGAAAATACCAAAAATGGTTTCTTACTTGACTACTATAATTAGACCTAATTGTCCTACCGCTGTTATTACCGCATACATGTTAAACTAAATTAGGGTTATACAAAGTGACTTCGACAAACGACACGTTTGTGTCGGGAGTACATATAAAACTAAAAAAATCGCAGAACCCAAAAGAAGAATTGTGCCACCAACAGACTCATACATGTTGTAGAGACCTTATAGGATTACATCTTTATGACATAGCTTTGCAAAAAATCAGGGGACTACAGGGTGATAATGCGCATACAAGGGTTAACCCCTTAAAACAGAAAAAATCGCAGAACCCAAACGAAGACTTATATATGTTGTAGAGAACTCATCTTTATGGCATAGCTTGTTTGCTCATATTCACCCTGTAGTCCCCTGATTTTTCGCAAAGCTATGCCATAAAGATGTACTCCAATAAGGTCTCTACAACATACATGAATCTCTTGGTGGCACAACTATTCGTTTGGCTTCTGCGATTTTTTTCGTTTTTAGGAATCAGCCCTTGTATACCTAGATTCACCCTGGTAGTCCCCTGATTTTTTGCAAAGCTATGCCATAAAGATTTACTCCAATGAGGTCTCTACAACGTATAGGAACCTGTTGGTGGCACAATTCTTGGTTTGGGTACTGCGATTTTTTTCTGTTTTAAGCAATGAAGCCTTGTACACGCACAATCACCCTGTAGTCCCCTGATTTTTCGCACAGCTATGCCATAAATATGTACTCCTGTAAGGTCTCTAAAACAAGTATGAGTCTGTTGGTAGCACAATTCTTCGTTTGGGTTCTGCGATTTTTTTAGTTTTATATGTATGTACTCCCGAGACAGACGTGTCGTTTGTCGAAGCGGTAATACAATTAGGTCTAATAATAGTAGTCATGTAAGGAATCATTTTTGATATTTTTCCTATCAAGATAGCACTCTAGTGCCTGTTCTCGTTTTCCCATTCACTCCACCACTGGTAATATCGAATTTTGGGGTATTATCTAGAATAATTTGTGTAAAAGCCTTATTTAACATAAAGCAGCACTCAGTAGCTGAAAACACCAGTTTTCTGGCATATCGGCGATTTGAGCTCACTACTGTATGGCAGGTCCCTGTTTCACTGTTGCTCGCATCAATAAAATGATCAAAAAAATGTGCGTGAACTATAACTTACGTTTGAACCTAATCTATAGTAAGCCACCTGCATTAAATAAAAGTTTCTGTGATATGTTTTTTCAGTATCTAAGGACATTCATCTAGGCAACGTAAAACGCCCAGAGTATACGTGGTCACCCCATATGGATCCAAAAGGAAATGACGTCAGAAAAGTCACTGATCTGTATGATATGCTTATGAAGAAAACGTCTAGTTTATCTTCAAAACCCATACAGACAGTCAGTTCACCAAAAACCGGCAGGTACCTGTTACTGAGTAATAACTGCTTTGTGATTTTACACACACCGCGGAATGGGCAGGAGAAAGCAGAGAATTTTTCTCAAGGGACGGGAGGGCGACAATACATCGACTGGAGAAAAGAATCATGCCAAACGTAAATGGGGTTTTGAAATTGAAAATTGAAGGTTCTCTAAGAGAATTTATCTCAAAGGTGCTAAAGTTCTCAAGCGTGATATTATTACTGAGTTTGCTAATCACCAGGTTTAATATTTGTTATTGAGTGTTTGATATACGAGTATGACTAATAAATAGTATACGATTGGTTAATTTCATTTTTTAGGAACTATAGTAGTGAAAGATGTCATGGTAAATATAAATAAATACAGAGTTGCGGAAACGCACGATAATTTATGAACTAATAATGGTAGGAAGAAACGAAGTCCCGCGATTGATAGGAGTTTAATCCAGCTATTCAATGGTGACTATGAATTTAACATTGACCATGACATTCAAGGTCATTTGAAAGCAAAGTTGATTATTTAAAATGGCACCGTCATTTTTGACCGTAGGTAGAAAGAGCAGAAAATTTTACGTTCAAATCTTGACCATTCTTAAATTTTACTTTAGGAGGTCATGGTCAAGGTCAAACTCAGGTACGATAATATAATTTGAAAGTCATAATTTTTCCCAGAATATCCAATGGTATCCTTGGATCTAACCTTGACCATGACTTTCAAGGTCATTTGAAAGTCAACTCTTTTTTAATGGAACCTTATAATTTTGACCACGGAAATATAGAGAAGAATATGACCATTTTTGGAACTTGTCCATCAAGGTCTTCACAAGTTTACCTTAATTTCTTAATAATTCAGAAAACTGACTAATTCCCAGATAAAAAGACTCACTCTTCTTTCGCGGCTGTTGTCGACTTGACGTTCAATCATGGTCAAGGTCAAATCCAATCACCACTGGATTTCTGTAGAAAACTCCTTCCAATCACGTGGCTTATTTTTTTCATACCCTTATTAGTTATCAAATCGGAATTCCTGAACTTCTACATCAATAATTATATTCGTCTTCTTCGGGGAGTGATTTTATTGTTTCTTGACATTGTTCATATGCCAGGAACCAAATAAGTCATAATATTAGCACCATACCGTACCGTTTGGACAACAATATTAAAGAATAACGAGTTGGTATCCTTACGGTTCCTATCATTAGCAATCGCTAGACAGGAATCTCAAGAAAGCCAGGTAGAACTGTGGTGTCATTTCAGGAAGCAGCCAGATTTTCAGGGAGGGGAGTCTCGGCCTCTCTGGCCTCCCCCATACGGCCGCACATGTTTCCATTTACACAAATTTACACTCACTCTGATGGTTAAAATAGTCCACTAGAAGATACCCAGTCTGACTGAAAGTCGTTCCTGCACGAAAATAAGCATGCGTGCCGTGATGGTGCCAACTATTTACACAACTATATCCATGTTAATCAGTGTCTTTAGAGGTCAACGTTGCCACCTGTGGGACTGACAGCTAATTTGTGAGAATACGGATTCTTAGCAATATTCATAGGCGGATTTATCCACTACATACTCAAGCTTGCCACTTTTTTCAAAAAATGGTAGTATATATTGTATCTTAGTATGCTTACCCTGCTATACCGTAAGCTATATTCGATATAGAGAGGGGCGTGAGACGTACACGTCCCTCTCTTCAATTGTCACAAGGGTAACATCTGTTGTCAGAAGCGTTTCATACAGCCGCCTCCCCCTCCTTTCCAATTTTCAATCATTGGTAACGCAACCTCCCGCAGAGATGAACATATTAATCCTGGGGATGAATCCTGGGACCACCACCGTCGCCGCCGGCGGCAATTTTTATTATGTCTAAAGACCGTCTGCCACTGTACGAAATTTTGTGCTAAATTCTAACTGTCATTTATCATGTCAAAGTCATTCTAACCACACTTTCCTTTGCGGTTGATACTGCCCACCTTATGAGAAAACGAAACCGTAAAATAATTTGGTGCCGAAAATGGATCAGGGAGAGCGATCAGGGCATATGTGTGCTCCATATGCTGAATAAAGAACTTCTAGTGTAGGATCCACTGGCTTATAAGCCTAATTGGTTCTTAAGTCAGTCTGATTTTATCCAACCCAGCTTATTTGTCTTTTCTGTTTTTATAAGCCTTGCTTTTTACAGCATATAAACAATCATATCTCTCGTACTCGTTTAGTAATATGTCACACTACTACTTTTGATCATGACATCTTTTAAGTTTTCAATCGATAAGTAGAACAGCACAAGCAGGAGAGTTTCGCGAAACTGATGAATACAACTGATAACATCAACTAATGTCGCAGTAGTCGTCTGCGCACTTTTAGTATATTATTATTTATAACAGTTTCTACAAAATTTAGCACTAAACTTGTTCATACAAAATTATGTACTAAATGCTTTCTGACACTATCCTTAATTTTGTACAAAATTTAGCACAGTCGGTATTAAGGCACTGGACTACTAGAAAGTGGTCTAAAGAAATCACTACAAACCTACTTGGCCACAATGCTATGCCGATAAAATTGTAGGTTAGGCAACCTATGGAAAAATACGTTAATTAATGACTCTATCTAGCTATACTATGTTTTAGGTATAGAAGACTATCACAGATTTTCGTGAAAGATGATAAGCTGGATTCTATCAACGAATATCACGGAAATAGATTAGCTGAAATTCATTCAAACTCTGCTAGTTCTACGGAAGGAACTAATACTTTAGAAAAAAAGAGGTTTACAGTGACACCTTGTAAAACTGATCCCTTGTTAGCGTGACATTCATTTGTGATATGTAATTTTTTATGATAATGTCTCCTGGATTGTGATGTGTATTTATACGTATTTTTAATAAATAAAGTTTTTTAACAAAATTTCTGCCAATAGTTTTATTTGCAACAGCCTGCTATCATGGAATACTTGCTGGCGAACTCAACTGGTTGTCATTTCCATCGAGTAAGGATTACGCAGTTGCTTAGCGGCTGTTTTCAGTGATTGTAAAAGCAGCTCGACTAAAGTCGAAATCGGGTTGAAGTCGAGTTTCAGTATGGTGAGAGTTACTTATGGATACGACAATTTTAAGTAAAATAAATACTTTTTCTAAGATTGATACGCCCATTCACCTCTAAAAACGTCATTTGTGCATGTCGGCCTCCTCGCTACATAATAACATATATATATATATATATATATATATATATATATATATATATATATATATATATATATATATATATATAACAAAAAAGAGGAAAATAATGGGCACAATCCGCAACTAGGAGTAATGTGGATTCGAGCAGAAAATAGGATAGGTAACCCGAGCGATTTCTGCTGGTTGGCTTCATAAGGCCCGAAATCAATGCACATATGCAACTACAAAAGTAGAAACACATGCCCACACATCCGGATACAGGTGTAGCCTGAGGAAACGCAGATGGAGAGGGAAAAAATCGACACACGAAGTCCACAACAAGAGCCAAACTACACATTGTAGTATAAAATGGCTAGAAGACCTCGATTTTTCAAGGAGACATCTAACCACACATCGGTATGTAGTGACCAAACACATTGTATATATAATATTATAATATTTTTTACTTCCCACGCCTACTGGCGGGAAGTATTGTAGTCGCGATAATTTTCTAAAATGAGATATGTTTTTTGGATGTTATATGACATGCACATCACAAGAAACCATGTCACTCATTTCTGTCGGTCTGTGCGTCGGTTTATCTCAATTTTTTATGCTGCTTCTGCCGCGCAACAGCATAGTGCTATCTAGCTCTGACCACGCTACCAGGGTGCCACGTCTGCCCGAGTTAGGTATAGGGGAGTGGCGACGTTTCCAGATGCACTACTTGTAGGGTAGGGAGAAAGAATATGGTCTAATTGTATAGACCTGTTTGACTGACTATATATTGATATTTCTTTATGTACTGATAAGAGCGTTGCAGTGCTACTTGACGCCATTTTTATTATAATAATCATATTTTTAATATGGTGTATGTATTACAGGTATATATATATATACATAATCCCAAATATGTATCGCTCTTCAATTCCCCTTTTGTGGGAACAGTACAAAACGTTCAAAACTGAACTTCAGAAGATTAATATAATTTTCACGTTTTCTTTATCCGTTTTTCAGTTTCTGCTATCAGAGCATCGATATCCTCTATACTGAATACTTTTTTCTTAATAGGCTTTCCAGCTAGTGACTTATCCTGAAAAAAATAAAATAAAAAAATACAATAGCCTAAATAAAAAAGTATTTTTTTATTTGGGCGAAATTGAACTTAACCCACACAAAAATAAATACAAACTCTGATAAATGAATAAATACTATTTTTATTAGCAGAAGTAAAAGATAAGTATTTTCAATTGTTGCACTGTAAAAGAAAATTCTTGATATGTTTTTTAAAGTTATCAAAATTGAGAAATTTAATCTCAGGAGGTAATGAATTACATATATTGTTAGATGAAGCAAGAATTTAGATTTTTTTAAGCGCTTCATAGATACCGAATCTGAAAACGAATGGTAAACAATATCGCAGTATCTGATTTTTGAAACGATCAATGATTCGCATAGAATTTTTTTAGTCTTGTAGTCTAAAATTTCATTATGGAGGTTTCACATGTAGAATGAAATTTAGAATTTCGTCAAAAAAAATACTCAAGTTTTCAATGATCATTTTATCTAAATAAGACAGCACATAGTGCCATCTATTGCGAGAATCGGCCACTGCGAAAGCGAAAACAGCGCGCTGTTAGTTAGAACTGCGCTATAGTAGAGATGGTCTATTAGCCATTGATCAAACTATTAATGTAGCTTCCGTTCGTCCGACCACAGACGGCCAACCATGGAGAGCTGTTCGTTGTTATTTGGTTACTCTTCAGCATAGTGTAGACTTGGTCTCGAATGAACGCAGAGCAACTCTATTCAGAGCATAAGGTCTACCAAAATAAGACAGCACAAAGTACCACAGTGGTGACCGACAGGGTTATAACGTAAATAAACCGCTAACATGTCAACTTGCTGACTAGGTTCTTCCTAGTGTTTGCTCGCTGTGAGCGCTGTGAGGGTCACCAGAAGCGTCATTTATAGAGGAATGACTCAACGGCACGATCAATGACTCTGCAAGTTAGTTCCCCAGCATGATTTGTTGGTTGCAGAATGCCGAGTCTGTAAAAATCTGTTGAGTAGCAAGACCGCATGTGTGTATTTTGGTCTACATGTATATATACAATCAGTGATATTTGCTATTTGAGAAAATGCTGCCCATTAAGTAAATCTATTAGCAGCATCAGACGGGTCATTTGTTATCCTTTCTGAAAAGAGGTTATGTTCAAAGTTATATTTATTAATATATTCATTACTAAATATAACTCTATTACTGCTTTGATAGATTTATCTTACCCAAAATTGGATATACTCTGGGGATATGGACTCCAACTTCATCAATCCATCTTCTACTCGTCTCAATCTTTGGTAGATAGTTCTTGGTACTGGTGATCTTAGATTCAACTGGAATTCAACATTTTCCAACCTTTCTTCTATTCCATTTTTTGGTAAATATTTTGTAAGATAGCTCGAATTCATTTGATCTCTGTGTTGATATGAATTCAAGACTCTGTTCACTTAAAAAATTAAAAGAACATTTTATTCATTATTTGTACTTACAATGGAACAGAGATTCCCACAAATGTGCATTTAATAATCTAATAACCATCAATATCCATTATACACGCAAATCTAAAGAAATTCTATTATATTTAGTTATAAACGTTGCGTCGGAAACAAAGCATTAAATATTATTTTTTTTAAGTCAACTGGATTCCTATAGTTTCGTAGACAAATCGGAAAACGTACAATATACGAAGCGAAAACATTGTTTTTTGTTTTTAAGCAATGTTTTTTAACAAATTACAAAACATTGCTTTTTCATCCGGATTAAGTTTTTTAGGTTTTTTATATCATTTAGAACAAAAAAGGATCATAGTGACTCTTCTCTGAAATTGGCCGCTTTCGCAATCTAGGCAACTTAAAATCTAAAAAACCCTAAAAATGATCATTTTCAATGCTCAAAAATTATAATGTTTAAATGAACATGATGTTGCAAAGTGTTTTAAGTAGTTATCAGCCTCTCTCTACAATACTTCGAAGAATATTTACGGCTTAGGTTATTTTACAGCAATATTATTAAAGTGTTATCGATATGCGCGACCCCCGAATGGACCGAATATCAATAATGTATGCTAACTTGTGAGCTCTATTTGACTATACATTTTGAATCTGTAACGCGAAAATCGAGTCTATCGGTTAAAAATGCTATCAAGGTTCAGTTTACTACTGGTTGCTAAGCGAAATCGACCTTATACTCCTTTCCAAGGTCTACTAGACTAGCCGCCATTTTTCAAATACCTGCGTGGTTACGAACATTTTCATGTACATCACATTGTTGGCTTTGACTCAGACTACTACCACAGCTTAGATAACAATTAGCTATGAAGCTCTCCTGTCAATGTCAAAAACCGACTTTCTATCAGCCGATAGTTTGGTCGGCTTCTTAATCAGTATAAAGGTAATGGATTGGTAATCTGGTCTTTTGGAAGTTAAGAGTTAGGCATTTATGCCTGGACCAGTCTGCAATTGTTATTAAGTATCTTTCACCTTCACCTTTGGATGATCCCACGAGTCGTTATCCGAATAAATAATAGCAGTATCATCTGCAGATCATATGAATGTCCCTTCAGATTTTAAGCCCAGCAGGCTATTAATGTAAAGTGTAAGTAATAAGGGGCCTAACACGGTCCCTTGTGGGACACCATACGTTACCAATTTGTTTGTGCTTAAGGAATTATTTATTTGTACGCACTGTTCTGTTGGAAAGGTAACTTTCCATGAGGTTGTGAGCCTTGCGTCTGATTCCTGAATCGTGTAAGATTTCTAATAGATGCAAGTGGGCTAATGTGTCGAATACTTTTGCTACACATTGGTCTAATAAAATTCGTATAATTTTGATGTCAAAAAAGAAATTGCGTCTTGTATAGACTTGGTTTTCTGGAATCCAAATTCGTCTTCATTAATCAGATTATGTTTATCAAAAAAATTTAGAAGTCAGGTTTTTACAATTTTCTCAATAATTTTTGCAAAGCTGGATATTAGAGTTATAGGCCTGTAATTGTTATTATGTGTTTTTTCACGGGATTTGTGGATGGGTTTTACTACTACTACTTTATAATCATATGGGAATTATCCGCTATATACGTCAAGGGTGTGCTGCTTTCGGATGAAATCTTCATTAACCCATTCGGGACGTACCGATTTATCGCGCGCCTCTGTCTAGCACGGCGTCGGGAATCCAAGGGTGGGGGACGGCCGCCGTACTCTAATACCGGGTTTACATGCAGCCCACTTGCATGGCAGTGAGCAGGGAATTGGGCAGGGAAGTGGGCGAGTATGTAAATACGCAGCTCGCATTGCCAATGCTACATGCCGCTGCCCCATGCTCCCTTCGTTCGCGGTTTTTTGGACGGAAGTCAAACGACCAGCAGCTCGTGTGGCAGCACGAGCGGCAGCGACCGTTTACATGCTGCCCGCTGTACCAACAGTCAGTCCTGTCCTTACCACGTGGACGTGGGCTATCTTAACCTAATTTATTCCTTTTTTGGCAAATTATTCCTTTTAAAATACACTTGGACCATGATTGAGTGGAGCAATGATCAAGTATTGAAGTTTTTAAAGCTATATGCGGCTGAAAGATTATTATGGTAGGATTGAAAAAAAATCCCAATACAAGAGCTTAAGTCGAAAAAACATCGCTAATGGCCGCTATTAAAAAAGAAAAACGCTTCGTTTAGATGCAGGAGCGGGTGCAGATGAGGTGTGTAAGTCCATTTGGTTTGCATTTGATGTAATGGAAAGTTTTTTAGAAGCTATTTATGGTAGGTTAGAAGGGTGACTGCATGTAAACAGTCACTTGCTCCAAATGCTGCCGTGGAATTATTTACGGCAGGACAGTGGGCAGGGCGAGTGGCAACAGCAGTGGCTGCATGTAAACCCCGTATAACGGCAGGTAAGCATGGCAAGCTCAGTCGCTTGTGCCGCAGCAAATCGATTATGGCAATAAAAAATACGAAAACTGGATTTGCGTCGAAAGCTTTCACAGCGAGAATTAGAACGTGAGGTGCAAAGAATAATGGATGAAGAATCTGGCCTGAATAGCGGTGACGAAGACTCCATCGATGAGTATAAAACAAATGATAGTGAGCACTACACATCTTCCGATGTATGTTTCAGCAAGAAATATAGACAATGATCAGCAAACTGACGATATTGGCACTAAAGGTCCATCCCTAAAAAAAACAGCTACGGAGTTTATTTGGAAATTTGGTGAAGAATGTACACCAAAAATATTGGAGTTCAATGTCTTGAGTTCAGGTATAACCGATAAGTGTTTATTTACTGAAACGTCTTGCGAACTAGATTTATTCATTCACTTTTTTAATGAAACCCTAATAAGTTTAGTTATCAAAGAAACAAATATCTATGGTAAGAAGAAAAACAAAAATAAGTCATCATGGAAGGATGTAGAGTTAGCAGAGCTTTATCGATTTTTTGGATTCTGTATCTTTATGGGCATTGTTGAAAAACCAAAACTAAAGGATTACTGGTCATCATCTTACTACAACACCATTTTTTTCATCAGTGTTTTCTAAAGATCGTTTTCTGGACATACCATATTCCCTTCATTTTTCCAGTAGTGAAAATCCAGAGGATGGTTCGTTACGAAAAATCAGCCCCGTAGTGGAACTAATCAAAGTAAAGTTTAGCTCCAGTTTTTACACGTTTCAAAATCTGTGTATTGACGAAAGTCAAATTTTATGGAAGGGTAGACTTTCTTTGAAACAATATATTCCGTCAAAAGACATAGATTTGGTATCAAGCTTTTTGAAATTTGTGACGTGGAAAGTGTTTACATTTTGGGGTTTATCATATACACTGGTTCAACCACTATATTGGATCAGAAAATGCAAAGTTTGGGGAAATCTGGACCGGTATTCTCGTTCTTTCGCGTGAAAGCGATACGTTTTCAAAACGCTTAGCGCCTCATGTCGTACGGCAAAGCGCTAAGCCTTCGGTTTTGGTATTCACGTTGCTGTGCGAACGCTTCGGGTTCAAAACGCTTGGCACATATTGGCAACGGTGGTTGTTCCAGTGTTACCAACATATTTGTCTCCAATGTCACCAATGTTATATAACCACAGTACTAAAAAAGTTTCTATTTCTGGCATTATGTTATGATGGTTGTCACTTGTCAGATGCGTTTTGTCAGTGTCACTCGAGTTTCGAAATGTCTCGTAAACAAATTTCCATTTTACAAAAAACTATGCTAATTGATTTCCTGGAAGACCACCCGGAATTGGTGTCTCAAAAACAAACAAACCAATACACCAGCGCAGACGCCCGCAAGTTATGGGTGGAGTTGAGCGAAAAGTTAAATGCAATTCCTGGGGCCACTAAGCAATGGACTGAATGGAGAAAGGTACATGTAACATATTTGCAACTTTGTATTGAATTAATATGCTATTGACGGACATAGATCCATAGTTAGGAATGGTACTTCTGTTGTAATAACGAATTCACTAGAATACTAGGATCTATCGTTAAAACACGGCAATAGAGACTCGAGTCAGTTTGATTGTTACTCAGAATATTTGTTGTATATGAAGAGGGTCGGTTTTTAATACTCCAGTTTTCCTTTTCTAGACCTGGACAGATATGAAAACCAGAGCAAAAAGGAAGAAGTCAGAAAATAAAAAGGAAGCTAGCCAGACCGGAGGTGGACCAAGCTCGGCAGAGAGCTTGAATGAAATCGATGACAAAGTCTTGGAAATAATGGGTATGGTCATAATTCTTATATGGGTGACTAATATTTTAGTCATTCGTTAAATGTTTTTATTAGATGACAGTTTTTTTCTTAATATTGATACTCAAAGTATGGATCTACTGTGATTTAAGTGTTGATGAGATTTATTATTCATTTAAACAATGTAAATGATCTACATAGTTGTGCCTATCTTGCTCCATTGTAGTATCTCCATTACTTTCAGTAAATGTAAAAGCTCTTTTGTATTCTAGGGGGAGAAATCTTAATTGAAGGGCTCCAAGTGCCAGAATTAGGATTATTATACACCTTACCGAAAGAAGCTGAGGTTGTCGAAGTGCCTGTATGCAAAAGTTATCCTGTACATGATAATGATGACAAGGACAAGGAAAACCTGTGTCCAAATAATATTAAAGAAAAGAACCTTAAACGCGTGAGACCACCACATGGCACTAAAAGGTGTAGGCAGACAAATTCAATACCATCATCAGTCCAGGCCGCAAACGATTTAGTTGCAGCACAACTGCAACTAAATCAAATAAAGGAAAATTATTATAAAAAAAAAATTGAAGTTTTAGAAAGAATTGCTTCTAGTTCAGAAACAATTGCTAAAAAATATGCATCATAGCTTCTTTTGTTTGTTTTTGTCTGTATTTTTATTTTATATATTTTTTATGATCAGAGTATAAGGTTTTGTTGTGATGAGATGTGTGGTATAGTTAAAAATAAAGTTATCTTTTTTCTAGACTACTCTTTTATTGTGATAAATATACTATAGTGTATCCATTCATTTATTTCAAAAATAAGTTCTCGCTAGGAAATTTCGTATGTGTCGACCCCTCTCCAAAAAATTATTATGTGGCAAGTTGCCCCTCTCTTCTGCCAAGGCATCACTGAAGTTGTTACCATCACCTACATCTTCCTGATCATTATATAATGGAATATTATTTTCTAAGCATAAGTTGTGCAACACGGCACAACTGTTTACGATTTTTGCACAAGTTTTTGGTGCATAATGTAAAACTCTATCTTTCAGTAGACACCTAAATCTGTTTTTTAATAACCCAAAGCATTGTTCTATGGAAACCCGGATATGCTTAATTTTTTTATTGAATCTTGATTCTGGAGTGTCTTGAGGTGGTTCTGGTAGGTAAGGGGTTATCAACCAGGGGCGTAGAGGGTATCCAGAGTCACCTTAAAAGAAAATACTATCTTTTAGTAGATCCAAGGGTACAACATATAGACATATTTCACCTAGTAAGTAGAAGCTGCCCATATATTCTTCAGACAATGTTCTCAAAAATTCCCCAACTCGTGACTGACTCCATATAAAACTATCATGGGTGCTGCCAGGAAAGCGACTGTTTACGTTCATTATTTTCAAATTTTCATCACATATCTGCAATAAACAAGTGTCAAGTATGCAGGTTGACTTTGGTGCAAAATTTCAGTTGTAATCTATGCAGAGTCAGAGAAAATTTGATTAGGGGTTGACGCTTTGTGCATTGAAAGTTTCTTTATATGAGAAATTAAAATTATTCCATGCATTTATGGATGTAAGGGTAGCTTACCATCTGTACATTGAGGGAATGGTAATGTTTCCTATTGATATATATATGTTCATTTTCGATTGGGCACACAATACCTATGTGAGTGCAATCAATACAGCCTATAATTCCAGGTACCTGGTACTTTGCGAAAAATCTAGACAAAATAAAATCAATATAGGTACAGCTTGACCATCAAATTTTGATCATCTTATTGAATAGCTTTGAAGAAACATAGTGTAGGACAACATCATGATAGTTCCTCATATATATTTATAATTCTAAATTGAAATATACCTTTCTCTGGTGTTGGTTAACTCTTGAATTGTGTTTGGAAAATGGACATATCTATTCAATATTTCTGGAGTGTTGAATGCTCCCAACACCTCATGTAAAGTTCTAGAAATCGATGGCTGGCTGAGAGTTACTGTATGATTTCTGCCTACATCCAGCTGGTAGCTTCCACTTGCAAAGAAACGCAAGGCAGACAGTATCTAAAACATTAATGTACACTAGGTTGTTATAATGCAAATATCACTATTTTATCAATCGTATATATAAGATTTTTTGTCAATCTTGGAAGTACAAGTACTTCATTATTATTGTTACTTACCTTCGTGCGATTACTTATCGCGTGCGATCTAGGATGTACTGGTAAAAATGGCTGTAACATTTCTTCCAAATTTTGCACGTCCTGTTTTCGCAGACGATATAATTTCACAAAATTAAAGTCAGAGAATTCGAACGGATCATCGGCATTGAATCTTTGCCTCTCCACATGCTCAATAATCCGGATTAAATTAACCCCAGCAAACTGATATGCCATTACTAGGTATACTTTGGATATAATTATCTAAATATGAGGGCCACAGTAGCCTCAATTACAACAAAAATCACGATCTAAATAAGAATTCTGACAGCAGTGTCAGTACTCATAACGAAAGCGATAAGCAAAACACCGACCACTTGGTAGTCGTTTTGAAAGCGACAAGCGCTTTTCAAAAAGCTGAGCGTTCGGGCAACGGGAATACCATATTTTGGCAGGTGCTTCGAAAGCAAGTGCAAATGACGTCATATTCGCTGAGCGACTGGAAAACGCTTAGCGTTTTGGGGAACGAGAATACCGGTCCTGGACATATTGTTGATACTCTTATGAAAGAATACTACAAAAAAAACATATCTTGCATGTAGATAACTGGTATACCAGTCCAGAATTATTCGAATATTTAGTGAAACAACAAACCGGAGGATGTGGAACTGTGGAAGCCACCAGAAACGGAATGCCAGAATTTCGTAAGCCAATGAAAAAAGGAGACGTTGAGAGTGCATGCACTGAAAACTTGTTAGCCGTCAAGTGGCATGATAAGAAATTTGTACACATGTTAACCTCAGTCTCAAAGGAATCTCAAGGAAACTGGAAATCACATTATAAATAATGTTCCGTCCTCGTCGAAGTAAATATTTAGAATACATATCGTAGTACCCTCGTAGTAGTACCCAACCGCCACGATTTCAAAGCGCACAGGCAGAGAAGGAAAGCGGCACCGCGCCCCCTACCTCCCTCTGGCCGCCTATAAACCTTCATTCCTTGTTCTCGTGTCCGACCGTCAAGACGTTAATCGGCGTGCGTCGTTTACGTGCAGTGCAGTGAGGAGGATCCGCTGAACTTTTAGACTTAGAAAACAGGAGAGAAGGTTGGCCGATCGATGTGCATTGTCAAACGAGATACTGACCGACGGTCGCCTGTGGCGTGCAGCCCTCTTTTTCTGAAGGGGCGTCACCATCAGGTAACTGTCAACTAACCGATCTGTTTTGGGTGCAAGTTAAATGAATATTAATATGGAATAACGTTCTGACACTGTTGCTTGGGATAGCAACCTGGACCTAGCTTGTAATAGCCAACTTCATACCTAGGACGAACAAAGGCGTTTGGGATAACATTGGACTCGGTTGCTTGGGATAGCAACGTAGATCTGGCTTGGGATAGTCAGCTCCACACCAAGGACGAACGAAGACGTTTGGGATAATGTGGAAGCACTAGACTCGGTTGCTTGGGATAGCAGCATGGACCTGGCTTGGGATAGTCAGCTCCACACCAAGGATGAATGAAGACATTTGGGATAACGTTGTAATATTGGACTCGGTTGCTTGGGATGGCAACATGGGCCTAGCTTGTGATAGTCCACACCAAGGACGAATGAAGCTGTTTGGAAAAATGGCTCAATACTGAACTTCGATGCACCAATAACAACACTGAAAGCGTTTGGGACAACGTAGCAACAAGGTATGGTCAACAATCTTTTCTCATTTGATTGTGATAGCAAATTTCATCTGGTTTGTGATAACCATGGAACAGGACTGTAAGTTTGAACATGGCAGGCTAGGAAGTTGTTAAGATATATTTTATCCTTATTACCAGATAGAGATTAGGTATGTTATGTGCGGTTAGCGTTACATTTTGCTTGTGATGGCAAATTCCATCTGGTTTGTGATAACCCTGGAACAGCATAATAAGAATGCACAAGACAGTTTAGGAAACTGCCGAAGAACCATTTTTCATTAATAACGAATAGGGATTGGGTTCATATATGCGAGACTAGCGTTACATTTTGTTTGAGATAGCAAATCCCATCTAGTTTGTAATAGCAATGTATCAATATAGCATTTTTCAATTATAACAGACAAAAATTGGGTACATTTATGTGATACTAGAGCGGTACATTTTACTTGGGATAGCAAATTATATCTGGTTTGTGATAGCAATATAGCAATATAACATTTTTCATTTATAACAGACAAAAATTGGGTACATCTATGTGACACTAGCGGTACATTTTGCTTGTTATAGCAAATTCCATATAGTTTGGAATAGCCATCGAACAGATCAATGATATGAACATGACAGGTTACGAGACAGCTGAAATACTATTTTTCATCAAGAACATATAGAAATTAGGTACATCTATGGTAGACTAGCGTTACATTTTGCTTGTGATAGCAAATTCTATAGGGCTGGTGATAACTATGGAACAGGACTGTCCGAAGACATCTCCGGTTAGGAAACCTCCGAAAAGTTCTAATGTTCAGAAAAAACATAAGTTAAATATCATTATGCCCGATTAACGTTACATTTTGCATAGGTGGCACTCGAACAGCAGGTCTCTCTGGGTTGTGTTGTCTTAAAGGCCATCTGGTCTGTTTCAATAGATGACGCATCACCACGATGATGCGGTGACCTTATTATAATTAATGTTCGCGCATTGTTCCAAGACTGACATTACGAGGGCAGATCTTGTTGATGACGATAGATGAATAAATTCAGTTCTATTCTAACCACCCAAGGTGAACCCTGGGGTAACGGAAGCTATAATATAAATTGTCGCACGAAGGGATGCGTGCTTGGACTGTGTACAGCAACATGTGAGCTGTTCATTAATTGCAAGTGGCAATACTCTATCCTCTAGATTCAAAGAAAGGAGAGGAGTGCATGCTGGCACATATTCACATTAAAGCAAAGAACTCAGGAGTACTCTGACAGAGGCTTCCAGTGATATCTTGCTCTTCGGTATAGGCCTGACCAAGTAAGTCAATTCTAAATAGAAATCAGTCAAAACAGAACAGCAACTGAAGGCCAAAAGGCCAGACAACGTACTGACAACATCAACCCACTATTGCAGATGAGGTGTGTAGATCAGCATGGACATTAACGCATATTCATCATCAATGGCAGAGCTTCATGAGTGGCGCTAAAGTCCTGAGTTGGACTCAAGTGGTCACTTGCCATTCAGATGCCGACTGCTTCAGCACTTTACCATAACTGAATCTCATTAGTCCATCTATGAATTGCTTAGCTGCGGTGCTATCAGTAAAAATGTTGAGCTAACTAAAATTCAGCACCTATCCAACTTTTTCTTGTCCCCAAGTCTGATGGGTCAACACGTTTGATTCCTTACCTCAAGACACTTTGTCTGTTTATGGGGATAGAACACTTAAGTCTAGGCTATTGAACTGGGATCAGAGTTCTCCGCAGAGATACTTTTTTAACGAACCTGGATTTGGAATATGCAGGGATTTTGGTACCCGTTAGGGAGAGTGATAGAATATATTTCAGATTCATATTCAAGGGACAGCTCTTCCAATACAATGCTGTACCGTTTAGGGTAAATTATACCCCTTATGTGTTCACAAAGTTAATAAAACCATATCTGGAATACCATAGGAAAAAATTGAGCACTTTCAGGCTCAGTATTAAATTGTGTGCGAAAGAAACTTTACTTGAGCGGACGATGCAGACATTACTAACCCTAATAAGGGCAATAATAGACAGCCACCAAGACAGAGTCCGAAACTTTGCGGTGAATGTCGGGATCTTGGTGTCAGCTTGTCTTTCATTTCGTTACAGCCGACTATACACTAACGAGTGAAATTTCTTGCCTTGTAAAATTCTCAAGGGAATTTTAACGCTACTATGCCACTAACATAATATAACTTAAGGTCTACCTCGGCTGGGGCTCAAAGAAACTGGCAGATGCGGTCAGAGGTATTGAGTTATCCGAACGCGGAGGTACCACCCGGTGGATCTCGTACGCGGAGCCAAAATGTGTGCATGTTGCATGCACACTGGTTCCCTCGCCAGAGTCCGTGTGGCGTTCCCCCGTTCCCCTGTATCCCCCTATAGCCCCACGGTACTCAATGGATGTTTAGGCCTTAGGCCTTCATGGTAGTTGGAGTATACAAAAATGTACTGTGGGTTGTCAATTGTGACACTCTCTGCTAAAACCGACTTCATCCATCTGGGAGCCGAGGCACCATGATAAAGTTACTGTACAGTGCCATACAACTGTTTTGCACAGATATTTGGGCGTAAAATACGGTAAAACGTAAGTGGTTGCCACATGAGTGACCCCGAGACTTTTAAAAACTCAGAACTCCCAATTTCAGTATTATTCAACCCAATCCGGATGATGTCTGTTTCAATTAGTTTGCACACTCTGACCTGAGGTTAGAGCTAGCAGTGTTGCTGATTTCCTCATCCAAATATCTACAGAGCTTACCAGCAACCCCTTTGGTTGGTTGAGAACAACCACAGTATCTATATTTCAGTAGAGATGGCCTCAGCCTTTAAATGCCATTTAAAAAAAATCTTATGTCTGCATCGTTAGTAACATTTTGGGAAAAGACTGATAGCTCAAACAATTATATCTTGATCCCTTATCACCTGTAAGGTGAGGAAATTTCAAAGTAGGAAACCAGACATGTATTTCTTCCCGACAAAGGTCCTACCGTAATCTAAGTCCACAATACGTGATGGATTATCGATGTTGATTGGAATGACAGCTTTCCAGTGACGATAACCAGGGTAAGCTTACGAATTAGTGGGAGCGGCGTCCTGGGTCCCTCCATCCGATCCTTGCGTTACTTCTAGAAGTGAAATTTCAGAAACACCGAATACTTGAACCAAAATCAGGACGGTGACAGGTGCAGCTCCCACTCCGTTCCCACGTCCCACTGAAGCAAAAGCTCATCTGTACTAGTATTGCTCCTAGATTTTAAATTTGACGTGAGGGCAGTAAGATTCCTCTCTTTACACAATTACCGTAGTTTTCCCGCAACCTGGTTCAGACGTGGAAAGCAGAAGCTCTCCATTCTATTGATGTAGGATGGGGTATAATATGCGACAGCCCATCAATTCCGTAGCAAAGCATTCACCACAGAAGAAAACTACCAGTTGTCGGGTGACCAACAACTAGAGACTCCTCCCTGGCCAACGAATGCCCCAGTCCGAGAAATTATACAACAAAAAATTGGATAACTCAATACCTCTTACCGCATCTGCCAATTTCTTTGAGTCCCAGCCGAGGTAGACCTTAAGTTATATTATGTTAGTGGCATAATAGCGTTCGTTTGATCATGTAATTATTATTATGCTATAGTAGCTTTAAAAAAGCTAAGAAATGGACGACTAACTATAATTGAATAATATGTTACCCAATAAGTTTTGTTTTTATTTTTATGATGTCAGGTTAACCCATATTCAACATGATACCACAGCTTAGAGAACAATCAGCTATGAAACTCTGGTATCAGTATCAAAAACAGCCACCATTTCGGCGGAGATTGTCAAATGTAAATTCCCCCAGTGAAAGAGGTTTCAGCGTTCCACACGGGCATCATGTAAAAAACCTATAAAACGTCAAAAAACCTATAAGATGTCAACTTGCGTGGTTGCATATGTTTTGTGAGGATGAGTGGTCCGAGTCTGTAGTGTTTATCTCTGAGAAGAAAGTTGGTTGAATAGCAAGACCGCATGTGGATGATTATATGTATTGGTTTGAATGTGTATAAAATCAGTGATATTTGCTGTGTGAGAAAATTACTGAATATGCTGAATATGATGGGTTATTTATATGTTGTGCTTTCTGAAGAGAGGTTATGTTCAAAGTTATAAATTACGAAAATCTGAGGAGAATTACGGGAAATCATCACCGCGCCCGCGTTGTGTGTAATTACTGTTAGCATATGGCTTGTACTTCGACAGAGTACAGTGAATATAATTATTTCTTATCTGTCTCATTTTTGAAATTCAGTAAATTTGTATATGTAATTTCCAGAATGGATAAGAAAAAGTAGCTGCACAACTGATTTCTAGGTTTGAATCTCAAGGAAGTGTATTCGAGACAAGAATCGAATGGAATTATCATCAACACATACAACTTACAGCTTACACCTCCAGTAATGCCATCTCTGCAACAGATTTTAAATAACATCAGAGACAAACATTGATAACTAAAGCCTCATGTCATTTAGGCAACACGTACAACTTAGCCTAAGTTAACATCTTGTAGAAACACCTATAAATCTATATAACGTCACATTTCAAGATAGGTACATGACACCCGTGCCGTAATGAGTACCATGCTACCTGCCACAGATATGCGTTGCAATCGTAAAAACGAAGCGAATAAAGAGAAATTCAAATTACTGGTTAATGATCAAAACAGTAAAAAGAAGGTTACCTGATTTTGGCACACAATTTATATAAACTCGTAATTATGAATACAAAGTATTAAATGTTTTAGCGATTTTGTATTTATGCTTACAATAGAGCGGTAAATATAGAGCACTGATCATTAGCATTACCAGTTTCGAATCTATTATGTTGCCTCATTCATATAGTACGCTGATAAATGAGATGAAATAGTTTTATGCTTTTTAATTGTTCAGGCAGTGTTCTCATAGTAGTAGGCTTATATGTTTGCCATAGATGTATTATATAAGCCATTTTAGGAATAAAATAAAGCATTTTATAGATACCAATTTTATTGAAATTTCCAGTCTCGTGATCTAGTCTGTCTAACAAGTTTTGAGCATATATTATAATTTTTAGGATTGAAACGCATATCTGTCGCCGCTAGCATGGTAAGCGGCAATACCGCCTAGACTGTTAAACAGCGGATTTGTGGAACAAATTACACCAATTTGTTAAAAAAATATAAACACCAAATGCTATAAACTAATAAATATTCATACGAGTTGATCTTGAAATAGGTCACAATAAAATAATTCAACAAAAAAAAAATCGTTGGATACGAATGGAATTTGAACCGCTAACCAAAAAATGTAATAGAAACGCGTAATTAACAGCCGGTGCACACGGACGGTGTGGCGACGGTCGACGGTAACGCACCGTTGAAAACCCTCCGTGCAACTCTCCTGTGAACTTCTCTCAAAAACACTGTCTGCATCGACGCAACGTCACAGTCGCGTTAACGCACCGTCAAAATATGTACGTGTGCGCCGGCTGTAAGGGTTCGTACGCCTCGGGACGCTAGGCTACAGACACTAATATTCAAATTGGCAAAAGTGTCATCATATTCCAAGGACGGGCCACTCCTATGATAATAAGGAATAATAATAACGTGTCTCAAGACTTTCAGTAAATGTTCATATGGTCTAAAAATCAAATGCCAAAATAGCATCATTTTAAAGAAATGGTACTGCCGTTTTCGTCTGATTTCCTTAATTTCTTCTACTTAAATATATCAAACAAACGTAAATATTTTTCCGTTTATCGTAAATACTGATGATCGCCTGCCACCATTACTTTATTCTGAAGCTTTTTCATAAATGAATAATCATCAATACTCCTTCGCTTCGTTTTGGAAAAACATGCTCTTTTTTTATTACTGGTTCACATAAACTGCTCATTAGCTAATATCGCAATTAAATAATTTTTACGATTGCAACGCATATCTGCGGCCGCTAACAGGATACGCGACAACACCGCCTAGGACTACTCAGTATGGAACGATAAAACCTCTTTCATCGTTGTACTTTCGACATTCTTTATGACAGTAACAGGTGAGTTTCATAGCTGATTGGTGACGTGAACAGCTGATCAGCAAGTGACATTTTTGTGTTAGTCTGCAACGTTTGCAATGATGAATCGGTTGTAAATCTAGTAAAACTTGTTTGTAGTGTTTTGATTTTTGTATGCAAATGGAGTTTTTAAAAAAAAAGATTTTAGCAAGTACAAAATGATTCTGTAGCGTACAAAAAGCCAAAACAAAATATGGCTTTGTCTACCTGGCATTGAAGGATCCGTCAGAATTATGTGTCCTTTAAAGATATGGGGAAATTTTAAATATAACAAGATATTCAGCTGTCAGCTGTCATTCTACCGTAATGTGTAGCAGCTTCATGTGGTGAACTCTGCCTTGTGGTTTTCGTTTGTATATATTGTCATAAGATGCATTATTATGTTATATAATGGAGAATAAAACGTACTATTATTATTATTTACCAAGTAAATGACTTTTAGAATCTTTCCTCTTCTGGAAGACTGCATCTATTCTAGCACAGCTATATTCAGGGTCCTTAGCCCCATCGCAAAATTCCTTTATATTATTCAAATTTATTTCTTGGCGTTTTCTCATCATGAATTTGTCTATTCTTCCATTAAGTTGTTTATTATTAGCACGAATCTGAATCAGATGTGGAGGTACAAGTGAGGTATCTACTTTTTGTTTAATTTCCAGTTTTCGCTTCTTTGGGTTGGGTTTGCTATCACCTAAAAAAACACGGTTATCTTATATTCTTTATTCAATAAATCATCAATTGAACCGTTGGAAACCAGCATGGTGTAAGGCCATATATCAGCAAAATTACGTTAATATGTGCGTTGAGTTACTGAACAAGTTCCCTATATTGGCGTCTTTGTACGGTGCATTTACCATAGCAACTGAGGGAGAGATGGCACCACAAAAATATGCAGTGTAACGCAATTTCATAGATCTTTATAGGCAAAATGCTGTAAGTCCATTTTAACCGGCAACGTTGTTAGTGTAGAGGTTTGAGGTTAGATATTTAGGAGAAAATAGTAACGTTCAGACGCTACGAGTGACGATACAGAAGGAAGTATCGAGAATGATGATTTTCTGCAAGTGGGAGAGAATATGAGCACAGAGAACAGGTAAGCTATATAGTTTTGTTCTGAGTAAGTTGTGCTTCTAAATAGAACTGTGTGCATAGATTTTGAGACAAACGAAGATACTTCGACAGCAAAAAGGCATGGTCGGAAGCGCTTCAGAGAACCACTAAAGCAAATAGCAGCAATTCGAAAGGAAATGCGGAATGCTGGTTTGGGATATACCGCGACACGGAACAAACTAGTACCAGCGAAAAGGTTTGAAAACGTCAATTGCAAGTGTAGGAAAAAATGCTTTAGTAAAATTACCGAAGAAGAAAGACGTTCGGCGTTCAACAAATTCTGGCAAATTGGACATTTTTCGTCACAAAATTCTTTTATAAGCGGTCTGGTCAAGCAATAAAGTATCAAACGAGTGCGGCCACGCAACAATACAATTCAAATGTACCATGAAGTTTCATAAACAAATTTTACATTCAGTGTTCCACTAAATGCAATGAGGTCTGCAAATAGTACTTTTTACGAACATATGCTATCTGAGACGGGCGTCTGACCAGAGCCTTAAAAAAGGATAGGAATAGTTCACCCGGTGAAGACCTACGAGGCAAACATCCGGCTGCAAATAAGTCACCAAAGGAGCGACGCAAATTTGTTCAAAACCATATAAATTCTTTTCCTGCCTATGAGTCACATTATATCCGTAAGAATAACCCCAACAAAAAAATCTGAACCATCATCTTAATATTCGTCTTATGTTTAAGTTGTATTGGCAAATGTGAACGGAAAAAGGTGAGACACCAGTTTCGGAAGCAATGTACCGACACATTTTTAACAAAGATTTTAACCTTCATTTTCATTCTCCCAGGAAGGATACTTGTACCAAATGTGACACTTTCAAAATGAAATTTGCATGCGAAGATCCAGAAGATAAACAGCAGTACCGAATAGAACATGAGATTCATCTGAGAAAGGCAGAAAAGCCAGGACAAGCATGTCTGCTGATAAAGATCTTGATGTAGTGGACCCTATAATGTACACATTTAGTTTTGATCTGGCAAACGCTCTTCCGTTTCCTATATTGATTTGTTCACTAGCTTACTACAAACGGAACTGCTATGTGTAACATACAATTTTGGCTGTCATGAATTGGCTACTGATGACTGTTGGGACGAAACCATAGCTTCTCGTGGATTCCAGGAGATATCATCATGTACCGGCCAAAATCGGAATATCAAAACAAGCCTGATGTGGATTCGTTTGATGGGAGAAAATAAGAGTATTAAAGTTATGGACCACAAATTTTTGGAGTCTGGTCACTCATATCTACCAAATGATCGAGGATTTGGCCAGATTGAGCTTCAAGCCAAAAACAAAATTATGTATGTTCCAGATAACTGGTACAGTGTCATTAAAAAAGCAAGATCTAAACATGCCTTTCATGTCTACCAAAAGCAACGCGATGACCTTTTTTCGACATCTAATCTAGAGAATATGATAACCCATAGAAAGAAAAACACAGACGGTCAACCAGTCAACTGGCTTAAAATCCAGTGGCTGCGCTTCCAACGGGTTTCTCCTTAGACAGTCTTACAAAGAAACTCTCAACGAGGATATCCAATGTTCCATTAATATTACACCAGCCATCAAAGGTAGACCTACAACTATTCATGCCATAAAATGTGAACCCTTGAACAAAGATGTCTTACCAGTGTCGGATTTAAAAAAAAGGATATGCTATCACTACTTCAGTTTATTCCTCCCGTTTACCACCTTTTTTTCAAAAAAATAAAGGCTAAAAAAGATATGGTTGACATCGGATTTCCTGAGGATGTGGAGGAGGATGAAGAAGTGGAATAACAGAGGCTGTTTTTGTTGTCTACTCCAAAAATAAAACTTAAGTGATATGAACAGTGTTTTATTTTTTAATCTAAGTCACCATGTCTAGTTTCTCTTTTCATTGCATAGTGGTGTGAGTCCTTTGAGGTTTATTTTTGTAAGCTCAGTGTTGTTCCACATAATCGTCGAATGCTAAACTTCTGAGAGTCATCACCTGTTCAGATAGCACATATCATTTTTTATATCATCTAGGCACATTTTTCAAATTGTACTCATCTTTGCACTCAAATATCTCAGTTTGCATGAAAAGCGACTTACACCATTCTGGTTTTCAGCGGCTCTTTTAATACAGGTTAACGTAGAAAGCACATCTTAAAGAATTTTAAACTGACTTATTCTACTATAAAATTATTGTAAAATTAAAGATTACTATCAAATTAGTAATAAATGCATCTGAAATTCCAATGTTTGACAAGTACAAAAAATTACAATTTCTAGGAAAACTTTGGCGTAAAAAATATTTGAGCGATGTTTTTCAAATAACTAATAAAAATCTACTCCCATTATCTACCAGTTATGTGAAAAGCGGACTATACTTTAGCGCATATCGCAAATATTTCATTTCTTGTTTTAAAGTGAAAGATCAGGATGTAACTTGCAAGAAAGTATCATTTTTTCTTTAAGGAACCCTCTGCTTGCTATTTTATGGAACTTCAAAGTTGCATTTTGGGTGGTATTACCGTGGTATAGAATACTGCTTTATAAGCTGTTTTTTTTTTCTTCTTTACACCAAAGATTGCTCAAAATTATATGAATGTAACATACACTGTGAATTACTGTGACACTGCTCATCGCAATTTTGCATTAATTTAATGATGAAAACAGTTCATTGTTAGGTAGTCATTTCTATTATTTCAGATAAATATTCCCATCTAGTTGCAATGTTGCCAAATCATGGATAGTAATATACCTTAATTTGTTTTGTCAAATTCTTACTTACATACTAGCGCAAAAATGTGCAATCGGCACAGGATTGTCATGCGAATGCGATTTGGAGGATATTTTGATGAAATGATCGTTGATCTTTATTCAACTATAATGTTGGACGATGATGTGTTGGGTGGACCTGGCGAGGTGGTCCAAATCGACGAATCGAAGTTGGGTATTTTTATATGCAATGACCGCTTGTGCCTTTTGTATTCCTTATGTCACGCGAGCCGCTGGTGAATTTTCCACTGTTTAGACACATATTGTTCAAAATTTCATCTAGTTTTCGGTAAATATTGGGACAACTCTCATAAAATAAGCCATTAACAATTAGGACTTTTATTTTGCAAATAACCTCATTTTTTATTACGTATTTCGCCCAAAAAAGGTACAACTTGGCAACAATGGACATCATCTATCTTATCTGTCAAGAAATGAACGTTATAAAATCGCCATTGAGAATTGTTTCTACTTAATATTTCTTATTAACGCAGAAACTTTGATCCCATTGAAAATACGCGAAAAAAATGGTTAAGGAATTTCAAGAAGACATTGAAAAATCACAACACAACACTATACAGTTTACCATCATTTACGTATGTGTTTTGTGCTGTGATTTTAGCTAGTAAGCTAATGTGTAATAACACGGCTGGTTTTGAACCTTTTTTTGCAAAAAAAAAAGATTTTTTACAGTTTCACATCTATTTTCCTTAGTACTATACAGTGTATGCCATATTCTTATAATTTAGATTTAGAGTATCCTTTTGTGCAAAAAACAAAAAAAGACAGCGTATAAACCAGTATTCTATTCTAGAGTATTACCACCAAAAATGCAACTTTAGAAATCAACGCAAAAAAACTCAAATTCATTTTTTTGTCCATCCGTCAACTTTGCAGGCCGGTAAAAAAATTGAGGTTGTATTTCATTATTCATTTTATTGTAAAAACTATTTCAATCTATGTAGAATAACCCTGAAAATTTCAGCTTGCTACGATAAGGGCCTCAATATAAAAAATCTGTAGGTTTGACGCAGGTGGGTATCTATACATGTAAACAAGAAATCCTACTTTACGAGCTACAGTCCAAACGACTTGATGGATTTTTACATATGAGGTACTGTTAGATTCATCCTAGCAGTGCGAGTGATACTTTTTTATGCAAATAGCCAAATCAGCTTAATGAGCTTGGGCATTCAGCTCGGCATTCCAGGTGCGGAAGCGTTCAATCTTCGGTCCGACCGAAATTACTAAGTCAGGCAATGGTCCAGCGCGAAATTTGTATCTAACGTTTGGCATCTGAGTACAATCATGTCATATTCTCCGCGAGATTATGCCGAAATGCATTACCATTATGGTGCTGCCCTAGGAAATGGTCGAGCAGCTGCTCGCATGTATCGGGAGTGTGTGGTTAGACGAGTTGGACCACAACCGGCAATATATCCCAACTACCGCGTTTTTCTACGCGTCCATAATGCGTATATAGAGTGCCGCATACTAGGCACTCATCGTCGGCTAGGAGCGCCGAGGATACGCCCAGAAGAAATAGAAGATATAATAGAAGCAGCCGAGAGAGATCCCTCTATAAGCACCAGAGCCATTGCCCGAAGCAGAAACATATCCCATACTTCAGTGCACACAATACTACGCTCGGAGAACATGCATCCTTACCATGTACAAAAATTACAAGAACTGCTTCCAAGTAACTATGCACAGCGGGTTGAATTTTGTGAGAATATGTTGAGGAGGTGCGAAGAGGATGAAACTTTTTTCGACAGCATCTTATGGACAGATGAATCCAACTTTAACCGAAATGGAATATTCAACATGCTCAATTTCCATTCACGGAGCGTCGAAAATCCACACGCTATTCGCCGACACAGCTTTCAACGTCAGTTCGGCGTTAATTTATTGGCTGAAGTACTTAACAAAAAATTAATTGGACCATATGAATTGCTCGCCAGGTTGAATGGTCAGTCATATCTTGCTTTTCTACAAAGCGGTTTGCATGAGCTACTAGAAGATGTATCTTTGGACGTTCGAAGCCGCATGTATTTTCTATGCGATGGTGCCCCATGCCACTTTGCACGAGATGTACGGCATCACTTAGACAGTGCCTTTCCTGGGCGTTGGATAGGTAGAGGTGGACACATACGATGGCCTCCAAGGTCACCCGATTTAAATCCTTTATAAGGGGATAATCTATAAATATGAATATACAAATGTCAACCAACTGCGCCAGAAAATTGATGAAGCAAAAATAAAGATTATGGAAAACGCAAATTCATTTCAAAGACTAAATGACAATTTTATTAGGCATCGCTTGAGTATAAAAAATAATGGAGGCCATTTAAAACATATTCTTTAAAAGTTAGTTGAACTAATTTATCTTGCACATTTGTCGGAAAATCGCCATAAGGAGCGGCTAAACACAATAGGTTCTGTACTCGTAGGAGGTAAGGATTCTATTGCGTTTCTTATGTTTATCGCATGACAACGACATGATACACTCATTGTAGCAAGCTGAAATTTTCAGGATTTATTGAACATGGATTGAAATAGTTTTTACAATAAAATGAATAATGAATTACAACCTATTTTTTTACCGCCCTCCAAAGTTGAGGGATGGAAGAGATTTTTCACAAAAAAATGAATTTAAGATTTTTTCGTTGATTTATAATAAGCTCTGTTAAAAAGTGACATAACCATTGCTAAAACTAACCATTTAGCTCATCTCGGAAAAAAATCACAGCCCTAAACCTAAGTGTTCAGTTGTAATTGCTATTGAAAGTTCATTATCCCGTTTTTTTTCGAAATTTCACAAAATTGTAAATATCTCCTGAACTATAAAATTTCAGACCACACATATAGGGGTTCATTCGGTTTTGAGGCCCTCTATAACCTGACTTCCGTTGACCCACTCTAACTTTACACCATGTATACATATACATAGATCATATTTAATTATGTGTATTTTGCGACATCAGCTTCACTTTGAATAATTCTTCAAGTACATACATACAAAAAGTAAATAGATTATAACTATAATATATGAAAAACAATAACCTAAGAATGTTTGTGAAGGGTGTCTTTAGCTAACGTTATCGTGGGGCACGAGGTAGATTTAGTACAGGAAAACCTGCCTGAAATTCCTCGAAATCGCATGTTCATTGCAATCCTGTGCCGATTGCACAAGTTTGCCCTATACCCTCTTCGTAGTTCATTTACGTCCCGACACAACAAAGATGCAGCGCGGCAAAGCGGCAGCCGCCTAAGCGTTGCAATAGCTGTTGGACATTCGGCCATAAAACTACGAACAAGTGCAGGATTCGACAAGATAGAACTCAGACTCGTGGTATAGCCGGCACGCCGACGCTGGCAGTTGCTGTTCATATTCGGTGCATACATACCCGTGTGTTTATACGTTAGCATGTCGTCTACGGATACAGCAGATGAAACTGAGAATATTTCTCCCAATGCTTCAATCAGTGATGTCTCCTCCCCGAAAACGTGACATGAAGGGACATTTGAATATTCAGGCAAAAGAAATTGTCCTTAACATTTATAAGGGCGAAATTTTAAAGCAGCCTGAAATAAAAATTCATGATATTTAAAGAGGTGTGGCGAACAAAACAGGCTTATGCCCTAAGACAATTTTCAACATTGTTAAAGAATATATAAGAAAATGTCTCCAACACAGAAGAGGCTGCATTACACGAAGCTGTTGGATATAGTTGATAACTTTGGTCGGAATGACATCCGACGCAAAGTCCATCAATTTCTTGAAAGGCAGGAACTTCCCACCATAGGCAAAGTATTACAGGAGGTTAATAGTGATGTATACTTACCTACTTTCAAAAGAACCACATTCTATAGTATTCTCAAAGAACTTAATTTTGAGTATAGAAAACGGGACAGAAATAGTATATTGATGGACAGCCAAGAGATTATTTTAAGGAAAATAGATTATTTAAAATCAAAGTAGAAATACCGCGACCAGGGCAGGAAGATTTCTTACTTGGATGAAACCTGAATAAATGCAGGACATACAAAACCTAAAGTATGGGCTGACTCTACAATTAAATCGGCAAGACAAGCCATATTACGAGTAGATGGACTAACCACTGGCCTAAAGAATCCGCAGGTAAGTGTATTCGTCATTTGTGTTGTGAAAATGGTATCAAGTAGGCTGAATCTATGAGCCCACGCTGAAAATTTAGCTGCACTAAACTTAGCTATATCTGGTAAAATTATAACCAACACCTGTTACACTGCTTGTATTATTATTAGTTTTCTTGAATACTATATGAAATAATTATTTTCAGGAAAAGGAAAGCGATTTGTTATATGTCACATTGACAGTGAAGATGGCTTTGTGCCCACTGCCCTAAGGGCATTTGAGTCAAAGAAAACGACCGACTACCATGAAGACATGGACGGGAGTTCATTTGAACGATGGTTTGAAGAAATGCTTCCAAATCTTGACGACAATGACGTCCTTTTACTTGATAATGATGCATACGACATTAGAAAACTAGAAAAAATTCCCACAATGTCCACAAGAAAGGCAGAAATTCACAAAAGCTCCTATCAAAAGACATTAGTTTAAACGAAAATATGGTCAAAGCAGAACTTATCCATCTAGTCAGGCAGCACAAATATAAATATAATCTTAATGTTATTGACGAAATGGCTAAAAACCAAAATAAGATTGTTTTAACGCTACCCCCGTATCACTGCGAATTAAATTCCATTGAAATGATTTGGGCAAATATAAAAAACTATGTGGCTTCAAGCGATAGAAAATTCAAATTCTCCGACGTGAAAAATTTGTTTTATGAAGCTGTCGACAGAGTGACGGCAAACCATTGGAAAGATTGCATCCGTCACATTCAAGAGACAATCGAAACAAAGATGTGGGATCTGGAGAATATGATCCATATTCAAATTGAACCTGAATAATTAATATTAACCATTCGGACGATGATTCAAGTACTTCCAGCGAATAAAGAATGTAAAAAATATGTGCACTTCTTTCTATAACAATAATCATTTTTGTTAGACTATTCAAGACCATTGAGGGAAATAAGGACCTGCACAATCTTGCTTTTGGGCATGTTGTGTTTTGTCTGGGCGTAAATGGACTACGAATGGGGTAGTAGTAGTATAGTTTATTCTCTGAATCAAAGCAGTTACGTCACAACGTAATGACAGTGACAAACATGGTCGCCACATAAATTAAAACTACTACATCATAGGACGTTTTACAAAATCTACTTTAATGTCTTCGATGCCTTACCGCAACCAACATTATGAAGCGTATGTTTTGTAAACACTAGAGCTAATTTAAATTCTATCAGTGATGGGCGCATTGTATACATCATGTATAATATACACCATTGTATACGCTTATACAATGGTGAATATATCCGTCTCGATATTCACGTATACAATGTACACAATAGCAAATCATAGTTAAACTACTTGCATACAATACTGGCGAAAGTTTCTTTTCCTTTCAGATTTCGATGTGTACGAGGAAGAGAGAGAGGGGGAGAAGCGGGCACCACTTATGTAGAAAGAGTGTGCCACACTCCACGTTACCTGGCACAACCGTGATGAAGGCCACAGAACACGACTGTAACTTGCTGCAATGTCTTGTTTTCTACGCGCAAATACACATTTCTGTCGAACCTGTTTAGGATCAATTCCGGATCGATCCTAATATGGAACTGAAAGTTCAGAATCGCTACAAATTCTGCAACATTGCATTATTGGTTTGACTGTGAAAGCAGTTTATGAATAATGAGAATGGGCATAAATATATAACATCTATTTATATACGTATGCAAAGATACAGTTTTAAATAAATTAGGACCATGTCTTAAGTAAAATACAATAAAATACTTGTGTGATTTCAATCGAGATATAACAGTATTGGACAACTTTTTTTGCACACTCTACAGAATATGTCTTTCCATTTTTAAACAAAATGAACCCTAGTTCAACTATTTCTTTGTTCTTGGAGCGTCCAACTATATTTTTTAAAGTTGCCGGTTCACTGTTCACGAACTTTCTGACGTTTGCGAATAAACCTAACCTCACTTATGCTATTCTATACATTGTCTTCATCATTGTATACGCAATGTATACATTGTATACGCATTGTAAACACTTTATACGCATTGTATACATTTTATACGTATTGTATACATCGGGATGTAGACAATTAATGTATACGCGGAAACGCCCATCACTGAATTCTATTTACTACCTAATACCTTCTTACGGACTGTAGAGGCAATAATGGAGCTCCATGATCTCGTTCGGTCTCAAAATATTTCGTCAAAGAAATGACGAATTCTTTTGCTTGTCGACCCAGAGGTTTCGCCATTTTAGCAAAATACTTACAAGGACACCTCAAAGTTTTGGAAATTACTGTTTTTATAAAATAACAATACAAATATTGAGGCAAAAGGAATGGAAATAAACCACAAATAAACAACAGCCGCTGGCGTAATTACCTAACAAGCTTTGCAAAAATCTTACAACACAGAAAACTGTTACCAATATAAATGTACCCGGGAAATTCAAACTATACGTACCAATTTAGGATCTATTTTGCATCAAGGTTGGCATTCAAATTGACTAAATATGACGTAACTGCTTTATTTCAGTGAATAAACTACTTATATACAAATAAGAATTTGACAAACCAAATCAAGGTATATTACTATCCAAGATTTGGCAACATCGCGTCTAGATAGAGAAATTATGATAGTGATGGTGGTGAAGAGATGGGAACATTTATCTGAAATAAAAGAAATGACTACTCGACAATGATCTATTTTCATTATTAAAATAATGCAAAATTGCATTATTGCGATGAACAATGTCACAGTAATATACAGTGTATGTTATATTCATTGAGCAATCTTTTGTGTAAACAAGAAAAAAACAGCTTATAAAGCAGTATTCTATACCACAGTATTACCATCCAAAATGCAACTTTGAAGATCTATAAAATAGTAAGCATAAGGTTCCTTGAAGAAAAAAATGATATTTTCGTACAAGTTACATCCTAAACTTTCATTTTAAAATAAGAAATGAAATATTTGCGATATGCTCTAAAGTATAGTTGAGCCTGAAAAACTTATAGGATGCAGGTTTTACTATTCAACAACCAATCATTACATGTGTTCGATAAAAAAACAATTGAGTATCACGAAAATGTAAATATCTTAACATCCGATAACATAATTGAAATTTTAGAGTTTTTGAGTATTTTTTAGCCAACCCATCACCTACACTAGACTTTTTCATATAAAAGAGGAAAAATTTGAAGCCTAAACAATTATACTACTAAACAAAAATATGAATAAGCAAGGCTGTTTCTACAACATTTCATAATAGTGGATTCAAAAAGCAGCTCAAATATAAACAAAAAACATGAAATAAGAAATGTTTACAAGTCGAGAAAAGATAATTGCTATATTGGAATTCAGAACAAGGAAATTTTAAATACAGGGCAAATTTGGCATGACAAAATAAAAATTTCGGCTAAGTTGATGTTAACCACTATGTTTAGGATTTAAGGAACTTTTTGACCACATGCATTCTTTATTTTCTTTCCATTCACCTTCAGAGTTATCAGCGTAAATTTCCTTTTTCCAAACAGTAGCAGACCTTTTCACGCTATTGATACAAAACTCAACAGCTTTTAGGGCATCTTCTCTATGTGGTGAAGAAATTGCAATAACAATGCTGGCTTCTTTCACAGGCACCACACCCAATCTGGAAAAAAATAAAAATACATAAAAAAACACAAAAAAAAGAAAGAGCCCTAAACAGCAGATTAGTTATGTGTTACTTATTTGCTCACAATTATGATTTTATTAACCTTCTGTCCCGTAATATTACCCGCGGAACGTGTAGGTGACGCCACTAATAAAGTAACCAAATCTCCTAAGCATGGTGCAAAATAAAATGTTGGAGATTTTGGTACTTGCCACGACAGTTAATTATCAAATCGACAATGAGTTGATGAAACCATGCCTATAATGTAACACACTAAAACTTATCCGGTGGTTTACATTTCTGCAAGCCCCCATTCTTGTATGGCGAATAAAACCACATGTATTGACAAATCTTCTTTACTGTAGTAAATATTTCAATCACAAATGTGATCTTTTTCAGTACAATGACGATACTGTCATAAACAACCAAATTATAGAGAATGTTAGTATCTTTAAATATTTAGACTGTATAACTGATGATAACCTGACATCCATTGGACATTACAATTAAATAATAAACAAAATTGCAATAAAAGTTACACTAATGGGTCGTCTTTCTAAAAATTTGAGTGTGTGGGCTAAGCCAACTGTGAGAGCTGACACTGACAGAGAAAAGTAGAAATCTAGAAATACCCTCGCCTTTCTGAATGAGAGAAAAGACTATCAAAATCAAGAAAGCCATAAAGGCATCCTACAATTGTAGGAACAAACTACTTATACAAGAAGGATGGATACGTTAACCTGTGCTAATGTGTTAAGTGTAAGACAAACAATAATTTACAATAGAATATTGTTCAACTATAAAATGTTGAACCCTTTAGTTCCAAGATAGTTGTAAGTTTTTTAAGAGACAGTCACCAACATGAATAAACAATTTTTACATAGATAGGGTAGGTACTGACTCAGGTCAAAACAGTCTACATTACAAGAGATTGAAACAGTACCTATGATGAATTGCTTGAGTATATCAAGAACTAAAGCAATGTCAATAGTTTTAACAGATAATGTAAGGACTATCTTGAGATGATTATTTTGTAGTTCACATGTGATGTTGTGAATTTACTGCTTGCCTAGTGGAAGTTTTAGTTGCCTAAGCCTACTATCCACTATTTCTCTAAGATACCTTTTCAGGTTTGAAAAAGATAATGGGAAAAACTAATATGAGGATATAATGTCCTTCTAGAATAGCTGGAACTACTGATCCATTTTGGAATAAGATGGTTGGGAAGAAGGCAAAGATTAAAATGTCTGAATTTTCTCTAATGAATTAAGGATTATGTATCAGTTTAATTATATTTTATATATATGCTTCTTGTAATTAATTTTCAACTATGATTTACACAAGTGTTAAATAACATACTTTAACAATTTACATTTTTTTTTTAAATAAATACCAGAAGATGGTCCAAGTTTATGCACTTTCCTTGATAAATATCTACAAAATGTTATAGAACTTATGCAAACTCAGTAAATTTTAGAGTCATTGAAGATCTAAACAAAATCATTAATTTCATTATTATAGAAAATCTAAAATCAAATCCAAGCAAATAACCAAAATTTCTGTGTTATGTACCTCTGTTATAAAATTGGTTAAGATGACACATGGACTGATGACGTTAGTTACTCGAATCGCTTAAATGCGTTGGTTTTAAAAGCTATTTTCTTGCAGGTTGCTTAGTTTAGAAAAGTGCATATATAATTTCTGATTATTTTTATTATAACTTAATAATTGGTGCTTTTTCATCTAAAAAAGAAACCTGTCATAATATTAATGGGAGAAAGGTTTTTTTTCAGAAAATAATTTTTAATGATGAAACCATGGCTTTGTAGGGATGATAACTTTTAATTCTCTAAACTTTTTCTCATGTCAAAGAAAACATTTATTGATTTAGGAATGATAGAAAAAAGCAAAAGATATTAGCAAAACCGACTGCAGGTGGACATTATCCAGTGAGTTTATACAGCAATATTTTAATATTCTTGTGGTAGTATATGGCTACAGAGCATACCTTGTTAAGTATAGGAACTAGATTTAAAACAACAGTAATGAGTATAACTAATAAGGTGCTCCACTTTATGTTACAACTGAAGTCAGCCTATATCAAGTTTCCCAAAAATGCAGCTGAAGTACAACAAAAATATCCAATTCTCCGCAAAATTATAACTTGTCACATTTCAGATAACCAGAAATATAAAACTACTCCTGAGTTGGGTAATTACCACAATTTTGCGGTGATAACTATGACATACACTCATTTGAACAAATCAGTAAATACCAATCCAAAATGGTAAATACCATTTTCATTTGGTTAGTTGAATTTGATTCAAGTGTTTTTTTCTTAGTTTTCTCATTGTCAGAGCTGACATTTTCATTATATTTATAGGTCATTCGTTTTCACAACAAAACTGAAATGAAATATGTTGCTTTTTAGCTTACCTACCTATGAATAACAATAATATTCTCAACAGAAGGCCACTTTGCTCTAATTTCTTGACATATCTCTGCAATCATCTTTTTAGCCATAGATTCATATGCTTCATATTCAAGTCTTATCACAGTTTTACCATCAAAGTTATCCCTTGTGGTTCCAATAAACATAGAAACAGCACCACAAGATGAGGTTCTTGCAAGGTCTGACACAGCATCTATAGAAATCTTCTCCTTAACCAAATCGATATGATTCATTTTGTTGAAAATCTATCCACCACTTAGAGGTGGTATCACAGCTATCTCGTCAGCAGGCTTCAAATTCAATATTTCCTGATCCCAAACCCAGTCTGAATTTAGAGCCAAAATTAGGTGGTCTTGTAGTTCAGTCAAAGAAAATTCATCAACAATGCGTTTTACAAGATCGCTGTATGCTATTGGAGTTTCAATAGTAAATTCCGCTTCAGATTTACCAGCTAATTCTCGAGCCTGGGCAAAAAAAAGTATATTAACGGTTACAGGCATTAGACGCTCTATTTTTCGAAATACCTTCTTTTCAGATAGAGTATCTGCAAACAAAAGAGCAAATTACAAAAAAACGGAAACATCAAGTGGGCTAGTTTTTGTTTATTCAGAAAAATTTAAGCAACATACCATCATATTCGTATAACTGCTCTCTGATGAATTCTTAGTAGGTTATATAAGTACTTAAATTCGAAAACAAAAACACGTATTAGAAGAATAAATAAAAGATTAAAATATATAATGTAAATAATAAACACGTAACCTCAAAATGACAAGAATAAGATAAGATAATCTAAACTGAAAACCATTAAAACGACGTGTCTGCATTTCTGCAGTAGCGGCTGAGAAATATTTCATGCTGCTTCTTCAGGAGTCAACTTGGACATAATAATTACCTGTCCGAGTAAAGATAACATGGCCACGCAAGACAACTGTTGAAATGTATTCTAGTAGACTCTAGAAGAATATCCGTAGCGAATTTTTTCCCGAAATCGTTTCACAACATTTAAAAAAATGCAAATAAAAATTGGAAAATTGCCGCTTTGACGTTATAAATGAAAGTGACAGTGTCAGTATCGGTAGCCCGGGATAGACATGCGTTTTGATGTTGACCTTGTCATTCTTGTCACCTGGATTGCGGTATTGCCAGCTGATCGGACGATTTGGCTACCCCTGCTATTTTGCTAGAATGTTATAAAAAAAGAAATTTTGAATAAAATTATAATATTATTGAGGAATACCAATGGAGATACATAAAATGTGAGGCGTAGCAATGTCTGTCAAAGAGCTAAAGGTGTTTCTGATAAAATACAAACCTCTAAGACTGGTGGTGTTTATGTTTTATGCAAATTTGTATTTTATTACTAATATTTGTTATCAAATTTTTAATCATCTATATATCGTGTCCACAGTTTGCACATAAACATAAAACAATTATTTATATTGTAGATTTTCATGTGTATAAATAATGTGTGTCTAGATATTTTGGAGTAACATCAAGGATAGCATAGGATTGTTATTTAAATTACAGTAAAATACTATTCCCAATAATAAAAATAGTTCATTTAACAAAATATTTAACTTTTTGAAGGTGAATATGGTGAAAAAACTGAAAAAATATATTTTTGTTTTTTGTATGAATTTATTGTAGATGCCTACCTACTAACATAATCTTATAATACCTACCTAACAATAATATTGTCAAGACATTTTGTAATCTACAATTTATCAATCAGTACCAAAATTCAATGAATTTTATTCCGCAATTTTGTCTTCCGATTATGATTTTGTAAGACTTGCCGAAACTTGGTTGTGTAGTGATGTGAGAAATTCGTAACTATTTCATTTCCTCCGGAGTATATGGTCTACCGTTGTAACCGCGATTTCTTAAAAACAAACACTTCATGCGGAAGATGGGTTTTGCTCACTGGGGTTTTATAGGGTGGCGCGGGGTCGCAACCCCCCCCCCTAATAGATGCCTTTGCAATCTAACACCATTGTGTTACTTTCTGTCACATCATGGTGACAGAGGCATACTAACTATAAGTTATAGCTATAGAAACTGAGCATTATGATTTTTTGGTATCCTTTGGTATTCCAAATCTGTCCCTCTTTGACATCACTTGTTCACAGCACAACTCTTACGATTTATACGTATATACCTACGAGTATTCTGACTTGTGACAAATCTAAGTCTGGGCAATATATTAGCTAGATTAGATTCCACTTAAAAAAAGATTTATGTTCTGTTTGTTGCTCAATAGTAATTTGAAAAGTGTGTAGAGCTTGACTGATTTTGTTCGGAGTTGGTCTTGCAGCGAAGCACTATTAGTCTAATCATATTAGATAAAACTACCCCTGGTTCGCGAAATAATTGTAAAGCCCGGTATTAAAAAGTGATTTATGTTCTGTTTGTTGCTCAATAGTAATTTGAAAAGTGTGTAAAGCTTTACTGATTTTGTTCGGGGTTGGTGTTGCAGCGAAACACTATGTTGGATGAACGCCTAAATTGGAAATAGACATTTATGAGATTTGTTTAGCGGTGCGCCTGTGGCCTGTTGTAACGCTTCCTTTCCGCAAAAAGTCCAGAAAAGATGGAATGCAATGAAGATTCCAACTTTTCTGCACAATCACAGAAAGGGGGTTACCATTAGCTTCCGGTAGCTCAGTCGGTGGCATGAAGACATCTACAGGCGTGTAGCTGTCTGTCGACCATGGCATGGCTAGAGGATAGAAGAACAAACAGAACACAAAAATTTAACAGATTTTATTTAACAAAAAAAGCATTTTCATTACATTACAATTTTACAGTTTTAAAGAACAAAATAAGTTTTACATCTTTGGCGCTGCTATAAAACTATCAACTTATCTTTCGCTGGTCCATTTTGACTTTACTGAAGCGAGGATGGCCAGGTGCTTGAAGTGGAGGTCCCAGTTATGAGGGGTGACCTCACATATAGTGGCTTCAAAACCAGTTGTAGGCAAAGTTGAACTTAAAGGCGATGGCGCTGCCAAGGCACATGCATGGGTGAAGTGATAGGCCAAGCAATGCAAAGTCAAAGACAAAGGAAAAGGGAAAGAGAAAGAGAAAGGGGGTGGCCCCAATCTGAAAAAGAACCGTGTGCATTAGCAACGTGCCCTAATGGCCAAGGCATTTCCAATATCAGTCTGCCTCAAAAGAGAACCAACGATTTTCTAAGTTAGAATTACATTACATAGTTTGATAAAATCAAACCGAAAATTGGAAATGCCTTTCATAAAATAAAATCATGAAATAGCAAAAAAAAAGCGTAAAACAAGATGGTGGTCATCAAAAATTTCTCCACATGCTTCCGATATAAAAACACAAATATCGAATATTCATAATCAACGTACTAATTTCACTGAACTATGAATATATATACGCACACAGAGGTAAAATCGATGTGGATCGATTTCCACCTCGATTTGATTAAAGTTATGGCGAATGATCGAAGTAGTCGAAAATGACGTTCGATGGATATTTTAAAATCGTACAAGAAATAAACCACTTACATATCGATTATCTATAAACTACAGGCAGATCCAGCAATAAAACTGTATAGTATTATAAAACTCACCATTTTGTCCTATACGGACACACATTCTACAAAATTCTAGCACATGGTGCTATATGACCTTGTGCTACAGAGAAGAAAATTCTTAGCTCTTGCTAGATCGGCGGCTCAAGTGAAAAGGAGGCGCGAGGAAGATCGCAGATCAGGAACTCCTCATCAAGCGGGCTCCAAGCGGAAAATTTTCCAAGTAAAAAAGCTAGAGATGGGATTAATGAATTGCGATTCTGAAATGATAATCGAGAAGTGATTTAATAAATACAATCGGACGGTGAAACCGTTACACTGTCTAGAAACTGCGTCGATCGATGTTCAAAATCAATACCACACGTCCTGCATCTCTTCTCGCGTATGTGTCTACTTATGTTACTATATTGAATTCGTTTTAATCCCAGAGCGGCTGCACTATATGTGATAATTTACAACCATGTATTCCTGTACTTGTTTAGAACAAACATACATTATCAAAATAATTACGATTTAACAGATATAGTTTTTTCCGAGGATTTCCACCATTTCTACATACGATCAACACCGGTTCGAAAACTGAGAAAACAACTATCCCGTAAATTAAGTCGACAACGAAAGTCTGAAAAATAACTGTAACATCTACATTGAATTTCAAAAATCCCAACCCCTACTGAGCGGGGCCGTGGCAAATGCTTGTTGTATCCAACATACAACTTCTTTCCGTTAAAGTGATTGTGCACGTGTTAAGGAATACCTCAGTACCGATTGCCGGGTGGCGGTACAAGTCAGCCAACGGGCCACTTTACGTCTATTTAATATCATTAACACGCAAAAAGAAGTTGGTAGGCAAGGACCAGTCGACCGAGGCGGTACCACCCTATAGCTTTTCCCAGGGAGTCCTATAAATGCCGCATGTTCCCACACCTAACCTATGCAGTCGGTTATTTTTCAAAACAAAGAAATTAATGATGATGGTTTCCTCGAGTACTAAGAATTCCGGATGTAAGCTCACTCCACTCTCAGAATGTTCGGGTGGAGGGTGGACTCGAGGGAACAGCATCGAAGATAAAATTTGTTTCACGAACATCTGCGGGATTGACAGCAACATTGATGCTAGTCATCACTACTTGCAATCCAATCGTCCCGGCATGCTTTTCTTGGCGGAGGCAAAAATCTCAGAGTCCGCACCGATTAACCATCTTAGATTACCAAATTACGAGGTGCACTCCAATCTGAGAAGGAACATGGGAGTTGTGGCCTTTGTCCCCAGCAGTCTTTCCTGCTGCACAGATGTTTCTCTGGAATCAGTCCGGAAGGACATTCTGTGGCTTCGCCTCAACTCCAAAACATCCCCAAAATTTATTTGCTGCCTTTACCGCTCCCCTCGGACCATAACTGGGATAATCTTCTTGAATACCTCACCGTCAAGATCGACTTCCTGAACATCAATCACTCCGCTTCAGAGGTAGTTCTCCTCGGTGATATCAATGACCATAATTTGCTTTGGTTGGGCTCAAACAAGACCGATGCAGCAGATCGTGCAGTTAAAGCGTTCGCTGTTACTCAAGGTCTGACTCAGCTGGTGACGGGCCCTACTTTTTTTGCGCCGCGTCTCGTCACATGCCAGTATCCTGCTGGATCTCTTTCTTACCACGCATCCTATCCTTTACAACTCTGCTGTCCTGTCTCCCCTGGGTAACTCAGACCACTGTGTTGTGGAGGTTAGGTTTCGGTCAGAACTCGCTGTTTCAGCAGAAACTCGCACAGGCCGCAAAATTTGGCATTACGGACATACCGACTGGGGGGGGGGCTCAGAGAATTCTTCTCTACCTTTCCTTGGAGAAATGTCTGTTTCACTGACGTGGATGCGTCGGCTGTCTGTTCTTCGATAACCGAAGTTATCCAAGTCGGAATGGAGGAATACATGCCTCATACAGTGAAAGTGCCTGAGCCAGGGTCCAACGGCTGGTTTCACAAATCGTGTGACACTGCTCGCCAGCAGAAGATCAAGGCACACAGAACCTTCTCACAAAACCCCACTGTAGAGAACACACAAGCCGACGTCGAGTCCACAAACAAATATAACGAAGCAGTTCGCAACGCCAAAAACCAGCACGATATAAGAGTTAGGTACAGGGTAATGTCTCAGCCCAATGGCAGTCGGTCTTTCTGGACGCTGGCCAAGCAGATTGAAAAGAACTTCTCACACAGTAGCCTTCCACCACTTTCGTGTCAGGATGGAACGATTGTATCCGACTGAAAGGTCAAGGCGGAAGTACTTGCCAAGATCTTTGCCGCCAACTCCACCATAGACGTAACCCCCGACACCCAAGTGCCGACAATTCAAAGGGTTCCCTATACTATGCGAGAGGTATCATTTAGGCATAAGACCGTAAGACGAGTGCTCTTGTCGCTCGACGTCAACAAAGCTTCTGGCCCGGACTTGATTCCTTGATTCCTGTCATTATACTAGAGAGGTGAGCTTGCTCCAGTTCTTTCGCGTCTCTTCCAGATATCTTATGAATCTGGCACTTTCCTAGAAAACTGGAAATTCGCTCATGTACAACCCATCCCAAAAAAAGGATCTAAGATCGACCCTTACAACTACAGGCCTATAGCACTGTATTCTGTTATAAGTAAGGTGACGTAGAGGTGTCTAAATCTGGAGCTTCTGGACTACCTCGAACGTCACAGCTTCATTAGCGACAGGCAGTATGGTTCCCGTCACCAGCGATCCACATGGGACCTCCTAGCTGCTTACGTCACGTAATTGTGCAGTCAACTCATCCAATCTTATGGTGAGGCTTACGTCGTTGCTCTTGACATCACTAAAGCGTTCAATCAGCTGTGGCACGCTGCCCTTTTAAGGAAAGTTCCATACTATGTTCTCCCCGAAAAGCTTTGCAGATGACTTTATCTCTTTCCGCAAGATATCCGTCGTAATTGACGGGCTCTCCTTTTCATCCCACAACGTCAACGCGGGTGTTCAACAGGGATCGGTCTTGGCTCCGGCACTGTTCCTCTTACATATCAACGACCTCCTTTCCTGTACGATCGACCCAATCCACAGCTTTGCTGATGACAGCACTCTATATGCAGGAATAGAGTGACAAGCCGATCTCTACGACTGAACTGGAAAAAAGAAGACTCGCGACGACTTCCTCTCTGACGAGAGACCTGGACGTTATCACTGCGTCCTAAAGCTCATCCGGTTTCGATGGATAGCCGTGTTCTACCAAAGAGCCATTTATTTCGACAGGTCGGAGTCCAGATCACCGAGGACCTGATCTGGCAAGAACTCAAGAAGGTATAGTCATTTTTCAAACTTTTTCAATATGCTGCGTTATAGAAAACTTCGTGAACATCGACTTGTATAGTTATTTCAAAATCTGCATGAGCTAATCAGGAAAAGCTCTCCTTTTATTCGCGAAGTGCATCTGAAGCTCAACTTGAGTTTCGCATTTAGGTGTTAGGGTAGCCGAGTTGATGTATCTTGTAGTATAACAATTAATTAGCGGATATTTGATTTCTATAACATGATCATATGTTATATCATTTTTATTGTTTGCTACCAGGATCCTTACTTCATCTTCCGGCGTTTTCCTAAAACATGAGAAATCAACATCAACTGTAAGTTAATTGTCCAACGCAGCGTCATATCACTATAATATCATTTTTTCAAAATTCATTCCGTCAAAGCTTTACATATTGCCTGAACATAAAATAATATTCAAAGAACTAATGTATATTGTATATACCTCTTTGTATAGCTATCGGTTCTTTAAATTGATAGGATCAGAGGATCTTTTCTATGAGTACACCATCCGTAATTTTGTATTTAGATGCTTCGTAAGCTATAGATGCGGTAATCCTGCCATATCGTATCTCGAAGCACAATAGTCTCTCGTCGCTTTCTCTATCATGAAACATTGCTGTTCAGTAATATGGTGCTTGCAATACTTCATAAAATCGCTTACATCAAACTGAACATTGCTGCTTTTATATTTGCATATTAGACAGTGGAGTGAACTTGCATTTCCATGCTTGCTTCTTTACAGTACCTGCAGGTTCCTCGATTCTTTTCAAAACCCAGATCAAAAACGTTATTGTGTGTTTACATCCACCAAGCTTAGCAGCACAATTATGACACACAACAAATTCAATTTTTTCCTCACTTTAGTCACAGCCCAATGTACAGTGGTAAGGCATAGTTTTCACTTCATGTTCATTTTACAAAGCATTTAGTATCTTCACATTCCAAACGAAAATAACCAATAGCATCTCACGATACGAATCTCCACCTGCCCTGAAAAATATCGTGTCATATTCGTAAATCTGTACTCATATTAGGCAGAAACACTAATTTGCTTAAAACCTCAGTAGGGTATCGCACATTTTACAGCTAGTTGTGATAGTGTAGCAGTAGGCATAAATACTTACTTTCAAAGTTTAACACCTTTTATTTCCGCGCTTGTATATGATGGATTTGAAGAAATAAATTACATCACCGCATGAATGTTAATTTTGGGCAAATTGTCACTTAACTCTTTTACAAATCCGGCTTCCATAATGGTACGAACTTACACGCACAGGTGTGTCCTGAAGTGTTTAATTGACGCTGTCGCGCACCGACGTGGCACTCGGCTCCCCCGGCACTAGTGGAGTGTGACGTCAGACGCGAACTGCCGACAGCAATGATTTCGCGCCATAATGCGCCAAATCTAAGTAATAATTTCTCTGTCATTTATTGACAGATTTTTTCACAGGTTGATTATAATATTTCATCTATATTTTGCTGGTATGTAATTACTTATTCGATTCTGAACATCATGAAACTTCTCCATTAATCAAAATATTTATATATGGAATTTTGTTATGGTTATAAAGCGCGGAAGTTTTTATTTTGGTTTTAAAACATCAACTATCAATACCGAGTTCCCCAATCTTTTTTGGTATCTAAGGTTTGTCAGAGCACAGTTATAATAAACATTATTCAGTAGAATGCAATTTGTTTTTTAAATTCCAAGTATTATTTAAATATCCTTATAAGTCTTAATAAAATAATTCATTAAAACTAGGCAAACGCTAATACCTAAACTAATTAAAAAAATGTAATAAAATTAATTCTGTAGATTGTTTTACTTGGAGTAGATAAACTTATTTTAATAATTCATTAATTTTAAATAAATAGTTGTAATGAATCTGAGTAAACAGTTCAATAAATTCAATTATACAAATGCGTTTTGGATTACTTGAACTAATTTCATAGATTCAAGTGAACTGATAGTTGATTAAATTTGCCCAATGAAAAATTTTAATTGGTTCAATGACATTTTTTGTCAGTGTAGATATGTCGCCATTAAACACACTGGTAATATAGCTTTTGTCCATCCGACCACAGACGTATTACTATAGTACTAATATTTATTTAGGCTACTTTTGCTCCCAGTTCACCTTAATAAATATTCACAGAGGATACTGCACAATAATAAAACGATTTGCTTACAAAAAAACATGTTAATAACTGAAACATAATCAAACTTCATGACAAATGGTACTGGTTATGTGTGTCCTTTACTACCACTTTTATTGATCCAGCACTTCCCAAGTTACCGTTGTCAGTAAATAAAAATGATGCCTCCTCGAGTCTCCAAAATAATATCTTTAATTGGCGTTGATTCTATACGTCGCAGTATATGTATGACCCAGATTATTTGACAGAAGTGAAGTTCTAGATCGTGAATAAATTCAATTCATTCCTTTTGACTTTTAAACAGCCGATATACCGATATTTTTTTAGAAAATGGCTTGTTCAAGTGATATTATTAATCCTGCAGGAATTCTCCACCCTAGGAAAGTGACTTATTCTCCTGAAACTCATCAATTTTTAAAACGTAAGTACGCGCTTTGTAGCAATAATTAGAAACCACAAGGCAAACAGTCCAAAAAAATCTAACAAAAATCCATTACTGAATGATATTTTCTTGTTTAAAAAATGGAGCTAACAGGGCCTATCGTCAACTTCAGCGAAAACCAATATCAGAGTCGTGATCTACACGTGCGACTTAGCCAAAGCTTTGTTCCAACAAACCATCTAACTAGTTCTGAGCTGAACAAAGCATGCGCAGATTCAAACTTCGGTAAGACTATAGTTTAGCGTATGCTTTGTTAAGATCAAAAATGATATTATCGTAAAAGTTACATCATAATCTTTCATTTTAAAATAAGAAATGAAATATTTGCGATATGCGCTAAAGTATAGTTCAGTCAAAGGTTAAGAGGCTTCAACAAAACATTGTAAAACCTTAGCACAACACCTCTAAACAGTTTACTCAGAAGAATCCATCATTTAAGGAAGGTATGTACGGGTGTCCAGTGGGAAAGTTCACATTTCAAATTTGAATTATGCGGCAACCGTATACGCGACGAAGTGGGGAGAGGTCTTGATCGACGCGTTCAGCGTGCAGGTTAATAGTCACAGTCAGGAGTATGAAACGTCTTAAGGGCGAACTGGCGACACCAAGGTCATACTCTCCAGGCAAAATCGAGGTAATTGTATTACCGGCATCACGTCACGTGCTGCTTGCTGGGATTCTGGGTTGCCAGGCCTGGCGATTTTTCGCCAAAGTGCGATTTGACGGTTTCAAATGGATAGCTTGGCAATTGGCTACTTTAATGGCGCCCAATATCCAGCAAACTGGCGATGTCTGGCGATTTTTGACTTTTCTGACGCCAATTAATTTGTAATCGATTATTTTGCTGATATGTGTATACAAAGAAAACCAAATTTGTCTGACGGCTTGAGTTCAATGTGTACGAGAGAAAAGCGCGATAAGTGTGTATCAACACCTGTTAGAAAGAGATAGATGCCGGTTGAAGCCACACCGCCTAGCAAGCTTCCGCTTTGCCAAAATGTTACACCAGAAAATGTTCGCAGAGGCTTCTATAATAGGTTAGGTCTTTGTCAAACCCAAGAAGGAGGCCTATTTGAAGCAGGGCGACACTCCCCAATGCGCGCTAGATGGGTACTGACCAAAATCGCTCATCTATGATCACGGAGGTGGGAACCTTGCCTTGGAATGTACAAGATGTTGCAGGATTTATCACAATCTGACCTTTCATTCTGCTACCTAAAATGCAGCACCATTAGGGTCGACCCGGAAGCAATCCTAAACAGATTCCACACAATTCACAATTAAAAAATGTGTACGCTCAAAATGAAACCATTATTTGAGCGTAGAGGGTAAACTAACTCAAGTTTTCAACATGAACCTTAATTCAAGGAACTCGTGTAACATAATGGCAACGAGGCGGATTGCCGCATCAGCGTTGATAGTCAATGCGGTGGTGAGCTTGGCTATCCAGCCGGCTTCTATCTCTTTCTAGCATATGTGTCTATAGACACTTCTCTGTCGAACGCATTGAACTTAAGCCGTCAAACAAATTTGGTTTTCGGTGGAGATTTATGATACATGAAACTAGGACCAGCGGAAGTTCTGTTCTCTACGCACAATGACGCTTATTGTCAAATGTCATGTCAAGGTGTCGTGTTCCGAGCATATCAACAACATCCCATCCTAACACTTTTGACACATTGTTGCTTCATGTACGATTATTACAATGTTTGTACGATAACCGGGACAAGAGACAAAGAACCCCCCCCCCTCCAAAAAAAAAGATCACTGGGAAAGCTAAATACGCAGAAAGATATTGTCTCCCCGCTCTTCAATTTTCAATAGTCCTTAACCCTCCTCCCCGTTTTCCCATTGTCACAATATCACCGAACATGAGCATAAAATATAAAACAACACTGTGATGGTATACGTGAGATGTGTTGTGACTATTGTGGGAGATGCAGAAGTTTAGGAGACTGTCATATAAATTGCTACAGGTATGCTGTGAACTTAACATATCGACATGATGTATTTGAAAGATTATTTAAAATTGCATGTCTGGATTCACCCTCTTTATAATCCTTGTAGTTTGCACCGTTATATAAAGTATGAAAGGACAACAAATTAAAGGTATAGAACTGAGCAAACTAACTAAAAGTAACTAGCTTATTTACAAATAATTATGTATTATTAGGTAGTGTTTTCTATATTGTTTCAGAATGATCAAGAAGCTGTAACGGTTTCACCGTCCGATCGTATTTATTAAATCACTTCTCGATTATCATTTCATTAATCCCATCTCTAGCTTTTTTGCTTGGAAAATTTTCCGCTTGGAGCGCTTGATGCGGAGTTCCTGATCTGCGATCTTCCTCGCGCATCCTTTTCACCTGAGCCGCCGATCGAACAACGGCTAGAAATTTCTTCTCAGTAGCACAAGGTTATATAGCACCATGTGCTAGAACTTTCTAGAATGTGTGTCCGTATAGGACAAAAATGATTGGGGCCACCCCCTTTCTCTTTCCCTTTCACTTTGCCTAGCCTTGGCCAATATTTTCACCCATGCATGTGCCTTGGCAGCGCCATCGCCTTTAACTTCGCCTACAACTGGTTACGAAGCCACTATATGTGAGGTCACCCCTCACAACTGGGACCTACCCTTCAAGCCCCTGGCCATCCTGGCTTCAGTCGAGTAAAAATGGACCAGCGAAAGATAAGTCGACAGCGTTATAGCAGCGCCAAAGATGTAAAACTTATTTTGTTATTTTTGTAAAATTGTAATGTAATGAAAATGCCTTTTTTTTGTTAAATAAAATCTGTTAAATTTTTGTGTTCTGTTTGTTCTTCTATCCTCTAGCCATGCCATGGTCGACACACAGCTACACGCCTGTAGATGTCTTCATGCCACCGACTGAGCTACCGGAAGCTAATTGTAACCCCCTTTCTGTGATTGTGCAAAAAAGTTGGAATCTTCATTGCATTCCATCTTTTCTGGACTTTTTGCGGAAAGGAAGGGTTACAAAGCGGTACAACGAAGTGAGACACTTGTGCTTTGCAACACATAACATGCATTTGTAATAAATCTATCTATATTTTCATGTAATCAATTTTTTTTTACCATTGTCAACAGCATATGAATATTTTTTGAAACTAAATAAATTTGGAGCTTCATAATTAGGGTTGGATTTTATTATTCTGAACCTTTTTCTCTGCAAAACTGCTGAAAGAGAAATTACCCTTATTGGGTTCATGAAATATACCTGCAATATCGGAAATATAATTTTCAGCAGATTTCAAATCATGAACAAATGAAATCCCCGGCAGCCCGGTGCATTCCTAGCATTCCTTATTCCAGGCGCATTCTCGGCATTCTTTTGATAGTTCCTCTAGATCTCCAGACAAGTAGGCGGTGCAACCATCTGGCAAAACGTCAACGGTGTTGCCATTGTTTAACGTGCAGCTCCCACATCTTCAGTATTTTCTGTTTTGTGGTCACAATGGAAGGTTGAACCCATCTAGTTGAACCACAGCGCAACGTGCTTTTGGTATCGAGGATTACTTTACGAGTGGTGATTCATACGCAGCTGCCATTCGGAAATATTGTACACGATACAACATTCGCCGTCCAAGAGATGTCCCAAGTAAGAACCTATTGAAAAAGTGGATTAAGAGGTTCCGTGAAACTGGCTCTACTCTTAGTCAACCCGTTCCTGGCCCCACACCTACTGTATCAACCGAAGAAAATGCATTGACTCGAGAACGTTGTTTTCAGTGACGAGGCCCATTTTCACTTAACGGTTATGTGAACAAGCAAAATTACAGATATTGGGCACCAACGAACCCAGAAGAGAAACATCAACAACAGCTACATACTCCAAAGGTGACTGTTTGGTGCGCCGTATCCTCTAGCAGTATTATTGGGCCGTATTTCTTTGAAGATGAAAACTGTCATTCATTAACAGTCAATTCCGAGCGATACAAGGACTTGATTGACACAATTCGCCCTGTATAAGGGATTATTGACAATACGTCATATTTTTGCTCGTGAAAGTTTCCGAGTTTTTCAATAGGAAACCCGATTTAAAAACATGGAGATAGACTCTGGAGGTCAAAGTAATGATCCCCCAGGGTCCCCGATGATGAATGGACCCAGCCAAAAGGAGAGAACAGAAATTACCAAGAAATCAAAGGAATTGATGACACCAGCTGTAGCAGACGAAAAGGACGGAACCATCCAGCGCCAGAGCCTGATCATCGAAAGCCAGGCCCAGCAAATAAAGGAGCTGACTGAGACCATGAAATCAAAGGAATTGATGACACCAGCTGTAGCAGACGAAAAGGACAGAACCATCCAGCGCCAGACCCTGATCATCGAAAGCCAGGCCCAGCAAATAAAGGAGCTGACTGAGACAGTTAGGGACCAAAACAGTAAAATAGACTGCCTGACTACCCAGGTAACACAATTAATCAATAATGCAAATTTTAATTCTAAATCTGACAAGGCTATCAATTTAAAAAGACCTCTTGAAAATTCAACTGACGTGACATCGACCGACGATGAAATACATAATGACGGATTCATCCAGGCCAAGTCTAGGAACAGACGCATCGACAAAACGAACAAAACCGACAAGACGGATGTCTTCCCACCTCTTCCAAAAGCAAAATCAAAATTCAAGTTGACAGTCCCCTCAAAAACTTCTGCTTCATTAAACGTATCAACTTCTTCTGACACTTGTCCTACGACGGTCGATGCAGCGACCACATCTTCTCAATCTTTGGCCACTGCATCGACTGACGGTGCATTATCTCAACAATCTCACGTTGCTGGTGAGTTGACCAGCTCAGCACCCCGCCAGGGGTGAATCACGCTCATTGTTTTGCGTGATGCGACCAAGTGGCGACATCTAAACTACACCTTTATAAGCTTAGGCATTAAGATAGAACGCGCAGTTACCGTTGATGCGGGAATCAGGATTTTGCCGAAAACTGAGGATGACTACCGAAGAATCGTTCGCCTGCTAAGGGAGGAGGACGTGCCCCATCATACGTTCCCTCTTCCTTCAGAACGAAATATTCACGCTATAGTCAGAGGCATGCCCGCAATGTTTTCGGAACAGGAAATCAAAGGGGAATTAGAACAGAGGGGATATACTCCTCTCCACATTATCCGACTCAAACGCAGTGGCGGCGCACCCATGCCTTTGGTGGTCGTGATACTGCCCAAGATTGAAAAGTCCCAGCAGCTGTTCAATGAACATGAGCTGCTGGGTCTAGCAATCGGAGTTGAAGTTCAAAAGAACTCTAGACTTATTGGGCAGTGTCACCGCTGCCAATGGTATGGTCATCCGCAGTCTTACTGCACAGCACCTCCCAAATGTTTAAAATGTGCTTCCGATCACATGACACACGTATGCCCCCTCACAGGATAAGAGGAGCGAAAGTGTGCGAACTGTGGAGGGACACATCCCGCTAACAGTCCCACTTGCAGATTCACCCCGAGGCGAAATCTAGAAGTCATAGCGCAAAGACGCAGCAACTCATACGCGGAAGCAGCCCTCTCAACATCTTCGGTTGCCCCCTCTGTTCAACCCACTATGAACACGCAGAATGTGGACCTAGCAACTACGGTTAGGTCCCTTCAACAAATAAGTCCCCTGATTAGCGCCACTCAGGCATTGCAGACGATCTTTCCGCAGCCATTGAATGGCTAAGTACAATAGACAACCTGCATTTGTCATCTGTCAGGTATCTTGGAGTCATCATTGACAAGGGGTTGACCTGGCAGAAACATACTGATATTTTTTAAACAAAATTCCAAATTACCTTTTGGCAGCTTTATCCTCTGTTATGCAGAAATTCAAAATTAAGTTTGATCAACAAGATTCGGTTGTATAAAATGGTCAAAGACCCAAAATCACCTACGCATGCGCGGCTTGGTGTTTTCTTGCCAAGACGCCCATGCAAGTCCTGCAAAACAGAACCCTACGCACAATTACTAACGCCCCTTGGTACGTGTCAAATGAGACTATTCATATAGATCTTGAAATCTTATATTTAAGGGATTACGTAAAACAACAGGTGTAGCGGCGTTATAATCAAGCGGAACCGCACAGCAACCCTCTGTTGCGTGATTCAGTAGACTACACAGTCGAGCAAGTTCGCAAACATTCCAGGCCGCGCCGCGCACTGTGATCAAAATTAAATTGTAAATTCAGGCCAGCCAAAATTATTTCAGTATACAAAACCGATCAAAATCATTTTTTGGAGTTACAAAATAATTCGAGTAATCAAAGCAATAATGCTTAAGCTATTTAAAATGATTTACTTCTTTTCTTTGCTCTATTTCTTCCTTCCTTTTTTCCTTCTTTGCCTTTTCCCCTTAAATATGTTTGGTATCTGGGTAGCCAGACCTGACAGACTAACAGACCGACGAGACTTTTAACTAAGAGCAAACGTCCACCGGTCCGCTCTGACGAATAATGACGAATAGTAGTATATGATTGACACTTTATTTGCGACTATTGTAAGAACAGAATGTCGATTCAACAGAAACACATGGTTTCAACAGGATGGGGCCACTGTCCATACTTCCAGAGAATCCGTGGATGCGGTGGAAGAAGTTTTTCCTCAAAAAGTTATATCGAAGTTTGGAGACATTCACTGACCTCCTAGGTCGCCAGACCTGACGCCATGTGATTATTTTTTGTGGGGTTATCTAAAGTCAAAAGTGTATTCCAATAATCCACGAACACTGGACACTGGTGAAGCTTAAAGACGAGAAATAAACAACATCACTCTGGAACTCTGCAAGAGAGTGTTTCAGAATTTGCAAAAGCGATCAGAAGATTGTGTCCTAAGGGATGGCAAACATTTGGATGGAATATTTAAGAAAAAAACCCGCCGAGTTTACGAATATGTTAATAGTAATAAACATTTTCTTTTTTTTTTTTTCTTTCCCACTGGACACAAATTTGGAACTGTCAGTTTAGCTTATTATACGGCCAGTTTTTAACCTTTTTCTTTTAAAAAACGATTTTTTACAGTTTCACATCTATTTTCCTCAGTACTAGCTATATATTCAGCGTATGTTATATTGTTATAATTTAGGTCCATCCTTTTGTGCAAAGCATATAAAACAGTATTGCAGTGTGTAAATGCAGCTTTGAAGTTCTATAAAATAGCAAGCCCTAAAGATAAAAAGATATTTTCGTAAAAGTTACATCCTAATCTTTGATTTTAAAATAAGAAATGAGATATTTGCGATATGCGCTAAAGTATAGTTCAGCTCAAATTACCGTTTCAACAGACAATGGATCTGATTCCGTAACTGGCAGTTCTCCGTTCCAACAAATTATGAGAGAGAAATAAAAGCTCGAATGCATGCGCGCTTATACCCTCTCCAGACTCACGCGCGGATCATGGCGTGAAATCGCGGCGCGGATCGCGGTGCGAATCCCGAAACCTGCTCCTACAGTTCCACACTCGCAGATGTTCGTGCCAGCTTCTCAGTATAGTTCGCGCTCTTCACGAGTATGGATGGTGAAATTGCTATTGCTGCTGCAATGCTACTTTGCCCTTTGGCAATTTATAATTACACATACATAAGTAAAACTGAAACAGTTGAAAAGAAGTGGAAAAAACACAACCACTCCCGGCACTCGCTATGAGGCACGCGAATGGGATCCACACTCATGGGTCGCGGGTAGTTCGCGGCTTCGCGCGCGATTCGCGCGTGAGTCTGGAGAGGGCATTACAGAATAAATTTCGTCGATCTGCTGTTCATAGCTGGGAAGCTGGGCTTTGTGTCTGATATTTTGTCCTTCTTTAACTTTTACAATCATTTCATATATCAAAGCTAAATCTCAATAATTAGGAACACTATACTTACCTCGGGCATGCGCAGAAGAATAATTCGGAATTAGTTCTGAACTAGATCGGATCTGATTGTTGGAACAAACCTACTTATCTATTATCCAACCCGATGAAAACAGTCGCTACCTTCTAAAGCCCCACTTAGTGTTGGTGATAACGGTCTTCCAAAAACCATGTTTTGCAGTACTGATGGACGAAACCAAAATGTCAACAATGCAACGAAACAAAATGAACTACTACCTCCGCAACGGGGAACCTCTTCCCTCTCTCTCCAGGTCCAGATCCGGTCGGAATCCCCACATTCCTGATGTCACCATAAGACCAGGAAGTCCCAGGAGGAGAACTAGAGAAACTATCATCAGAAGCGGCGTTTACGAGAGGGAAAGCTTCAGACCGACGTATCCAGTTGTTGACAGGGAAAAGGAGAAAGAAAAATTGCAGAACAAAATGGCGTTCAATAAGGATATCACGGTCAATCCGGTGAAGGTCATGACTAAGATAGTGGAAAGTAAGATGGACAAGGATGAGCAGAATAGGTTTGATCAAAGTAAGTTGGTACGGTGATATGGTATTTTGTGAGGGTCCAGGGTTAAACAGACCTTTTACAATACAGGGTAGTACCAGTAGAAAAGATCGTATCAATGTGCATTCTAAATAAAACAATTCCGTTCTAATCGAACCTCATCGGTCCAGTTTTTTGTTCGTCGACTATGTGTTCCCTTTCACCGTCTGTTAAGAACAATTTCAGCAACAATCTCGCCGACTTAGTAATTATAATTTTTCCTCCTAATTGTTTATTGTTGCTATTTCTCAAAACTTGTTTTTTAGCTCCAGACGATGACGGCATAGACCATCAAAGTTCGAGTTGTAAGAGTGCACTTATGCAAAACTTTGTCTTCTACCTAAAGAAATTCAAGTATATTTTCTCCTAACAGTTAAGGCAATTAACTATGAATAATATATATATATATATATATATATATATATATATATATATATATATATATAACAAAAATATTCTATATATATATATATATATTTTCTCACTCACATTTTTAATATAAACTCACATAACCCATCTTTTCAAGGTAGTATCAATATCACACGTTCTTACACTCATACAAACTACACATGTTTTTTCCAAAACAAGTTATTCAGCATTTTAGTAATTTTGGGTGGAGGTTTAGCGAGCGTCCCATATACTTCATACCCAAAGCTGGACAGGGAGGTTTACAGTTCCACGGTCCGTCGCGTCAATCACTTGTCATCTGACCACGGTCCGTCGTGTCAATCACTTTTCATCTGTCGACGCTTTATCTTTCCGTGCCGTCCCCCTCTCCACGTGTAGCGGAAACAGAAGGTTAGAGACTGCATTCCGATTGTTTCAACAAAATGGCGTCTCACGTGTAATATTTTTAACTTGTTCGGGTGGATTGATATTTTTAACATTTAACGAAGGTATCTGTCGTTTTTCAACAAGCCCAATGTCCCCGTCCTTTGGTTTTTATACTGATTACAAGTTCGATCTTCTCTACGTTCGTTCTTGTGGCTGCAACCTCACCGACGAGTAAGTTCTCTGACAATTTAAATCTGTCCTATTTTCTTTGTTAGCATCACAATTGTATTTTCAGAATCCTGATGACGGCTCCATAGAGAATGCCGAAAGCTTGATTTTATCGTCAAAAGAGTCAACTTAAGCCTAAGAGATTTGCCAATTTCCCAATTAACAATTACTTGTATTTTGTACCCAACTCGTCGTTGGCTTTGGCAATGACTACTGCTCATATATATAACTTGAGACGTAGTCATTGTCGTCTAGATCAGTTAGGTGAAAGGCGGAAGCTATATATATACATATACAATTACTTATTAATTGGGAAATTGGCAAAACTTTTAGGCTTAACTTTTAACGATAAAATCAAGATTTCGGCATTCTCTATGGAGCCATCATCAGGATTCTGAAAACACCATTGTGATGCTAGCAAAGAAAACAGGACAGGTTTAAAATGTCAGACAACTTACTCGTCGGTGAGATTGCAGCCACAAGGTGTTTCAGAAAGAACGTAGAGAAGATCGAACTTGTGATTAGTATAAAAACAAAAGGACGGGGACATTGGGCTTGTTGAAAAACGACAGATACCTTCGTTTAAATTGCGAAAAGCTAGAACAGCTACATGTCCAAATTGATCCAACATCTTCACAAAATTAGAATACATTTTCTCACTCACATTTTTAATATAAACTCACATAACCCATCTTCTCAAGGTTGTATCAATATCACACATTCTTGCACTCATATGATCCACACTTCAGCATTTTAGTAATTTTGGGTGGAGATTTACCGAGCGTCCCTCGTATACTTCATACCCAAAGTTGGACAGGGAGGTGTATATTTCCACGGTCCGTCGCGTCAATCACTTGTCATCTGTCGACACTTTACCGTGCCTTCCCCCCAGTGCTGCCACCTCTACCGATTTATCGGTAGATCTACCGATTTTAGAAGAGATCTACCGATCTACCGATTCTAATAAAAAATCTCCCGATTTTTTTTGTTTCTAAATATGCATATTTTTAAATTACAATAATATGTTTTACCCTCTAAGCTACTTATAAATATTCTGTAGTTTGCTTAAAATATCCCAGTTTATTCTTCTTTTCTTATATTTAGCGACATCTAGTGGTACACGTCCAAATCGTAAAATGAATACCGATAACTGATTTCTACAAAATACAATTTATTTGGTAATTCCCCGACGCGACTCGGGTATTCCCCTGGCTAACACCAGCAGGACGCGATAGTCGATACACGATTTATATTATTAATACTCTGTTGGTGTTGGCTGTTTAGAAGTATGTTGAAGAGTAGTGATTAAATTTATATTCTCTGATATAAATTTTGATTTTTTCTGGATTTTAATTTTTATTAAACAAATATGGATAGTGATAGTGACAGTGCTGATAGTGGAGGTGAAGGAACCAGTTACGGTTTAAAAAAGAAGATGAAATACAGTCAGTCCTACAAATCAGATTGGGAGAAAGAACCACGCTTCACAGGTTGGCTTATTAAAAGCCAAAAAGGGAAAAATTTTGGATTCTGCAAGGCATGCAATAAAGATATTAATATATCCAGTGGAAAGGACTCACTTATAAAACATACACAGCGAAAAATCCACGAACAAAATGTAAAATCTATCAAAAATCAACCGTCCATGACTAAATTTGTTACAGACACAAAAAGGAGGCAAAGGGCTCAAGACACCAAAGAAGGTATACTTACGTTTTTCTATTTGGTAATTCCCAATGATTGATGCACTTATGTGCAGTACCTGTTATAAAATGTAGTACAAGATTCATTACAATGCTGAAAATATATTTTCTATTGGATGTCGGAATGCTACTGGAAGCTCTCTTTCCTTCCTCCAGACCCATCACGTGACTTTCTCCACCTTTTGTCTTAAGGTGCATCCAGACTATATAACATGTTGTATAACACGTCCGCACTGTTCAACATTGTTGTATAAAATTGCATCATTTAACAATATGATATAGTACTGCGTGCATCGATCATTGTAACATTATAATTGTGGCAAGGTTTTTTTATTCTATTCCATCATTTTTTAGCTGAGATACGGCTGGCGGCGTTTGTAGCTGAACATAATCTTCCATTTACCGTTATGGAGCATTTGCCTGATCTAATAAAAAATATATGTTCTGATTCCGAAATTGCTCGTGGTTTGGCTTCTAGCAGAACCAAAACAACGTCGATTGTAAAAAATGTAATTGGCCAGGAAGAATTTTTGAACGTTTGCGAAGATCTAAGGCAAAATAAGTTCTCATTAATAGTAGATGAATCGACGGATGTTAGCACCACTAAGCATCTTTGTTCCGTCGTGAGGTATCGAAAAAATAATGTAATAAAAGACAAATTTTTTGCTCTATTACCTTTATCAAATGCTGATGCAAAAACTTTATATAACGTTGTTATAGACCTTTTTAAAACTAACAATATTCTGTATAAAAATAATTTAATTGGATTTTCTGCGGATGGGGCTAATGTCATGATGGGCAAAACTAATTCATTAATGGTACTTTTAAAGAAAGATATTCCTTTTTTGTTTGTGATGAAGTGCATATGCCATTCATTCCACCTTTGCGCTTCTTACGCTTCACAAAAAATACCAAGGTTTGTCGAGGATCTTGTGAGGGATATTCATAATTATTTTAATTCTAGCCCAAAAAGAACTTTAGAATTCCGTGACTTTCAGGCTTTTTGTAACATAAAAACACATAAAATTCTGCACCCATCACAGACTAGATGGCTTTCTGTTCAAAGTGTAGTAAGTCGTATTTTAGAACAATACAATCCATTAAAATTATACTTTACTGACGCTGTTTTCCAAAATGATGTTTTAGCTTCGAATCAAATTTTGAAAAGGTTAAACGACCCTACTACTCTCTTATTTTTGCAATTTTTAGATTTTGCTTTGCCTTTTTTCAATAATTTAAATAAGGATATGCAAGCAGAGAGCCCAAGAATACATGTTATATATAAAAACATATCCACTGTTTTAAAAACCATGTTTGATTGTTATTTAAACCGCGATTATTTAACATCAACATCTCTAGAGAATATTGACTACAAAAATCCCAGAAATTACTTACCAATAGAAAATGTTTATTTTGGAGCTAATGTGGCAAAAACATTATCAGAAATTACAATATCCAGCGAGCAAATACATTTTTTTAGGCTTAGATGTTTAGAGTTTTATATTGAAAGTTGTGATCAAATCCTTACTCGTTTCCCGCTTAAAAATAATCCAATTAAATTGTTTAGTTTTCTCGATCCCGTAAATGTCAAAACAGGAGTTATACCTTCTATTTCAGATGTGGCCAGGATTTTTCCAAACTTAATTAAGGAAGAAGCGCTTCAATCACTTGATAACGAATGGCGTCTTTTGCGTAATACCGATATTGTAAAATTATCTAATCAAGTCGAGACATTTTGGCAGGAAGTAAGTGAATATCGCTTAGGTGACGATACGCCTTTGTTTCCAATTTTAAGCCAATTCGCTTTTAATATATTGTGTTTACCCCATTCTTCCGCCAATGTTGAAAGAAGGTTCTCAGAAATTAACCTAATGAAAACGAAACAAAGAAATTCTTTAAATACAAAGACAATTACGGGATTAGTACATACTAAACAGTACTTAGGTAATAATAAGTGTTTCAATTTTAAAATAAGCAAAGAACTTATTTTAAAAATGGATAATAAAACACTAAAAGGTATTGAAGAGAGTGAAAATGACTAAACAACTTAATAATTATCGATTTATATTGTTCTGTTGTTCTTGTTTTATTACGTTAACAATGTATATTTAGATTCTTTGTGTACTTCTGATACCCGAAACTGATCAGTAATGAATAAAATATATTTATTCATAAAGTATTTGTTTTTCATTGCTTCATAAAGTATTTGTTTTCCATTGCTCAAATACCTAAAAAAAATTGAAGAAAAACTGCTGATTAGATATATAAAAAAAAATTCGTAGAAAAAGCTTGCTTATTGCTTAACCTCATTTTTTATCTGTTAAAAGCGTTCTATCGGCTATCTACCGATTTTAAACCGAAACCTACCGATTTATTTTTTGAGATCTACCGACATTGGTGGGTAGAAGCGTGGCAGCACTGCTTCCCCTTCTCCACGTGTAGCAGTAGTAGAAGGCTGGGACTGCATCCGATTGTTTCAACAAAATGTCTCCCCACGTGTAATATTTTTAACTTGTTCGGGTGTATTGATATAATTTTTATTTTTTCTTAACTTTTAACGAAGGTATCTGTCGTTTTTCAACAAGCCCAATGTCCCCGTCCTTTTGTTTTTATACTAATCACAAGTTCGATCTTCTCTAGGTTCTTTCTGAAACGCCTTGTGGCTGCAACCTTACCGACGAGTCAGTTATCTGACATTTTAAATCTGTCCTGTTTTCTTTGCTAGCATCACAATTGTGTTTTCAGAATCCTGATGATGGCTCCATAGAGAATGCCAAAAGCTTGATTTTATCGTCAAAAGAGTCAACTAAAGCCTAAAAGTTTTGCCCAATTTCCCAATTAACAAGTAATTGTGTTTTGTACCCAACTAGTCGTTGGCTTTATATATATATATATATATACAGGGTGACTTTGAAGTTGAGTCATTAATTTTCAGATAATGATTGTAGAAGGAAGATAAACCAAAATATGTGTGTAAAAATAAAAAAAAAATGTTTACCTTGTTTTATAAAGTATCCTCCCGACAAGTATTTCAGTGCGGACCTGTATTTGATCGTGAGGTCCCCTGTGAGGTCTTAAGTCACCTGATTCACGAGCCCGTTGTACTACATTAACAAAGGCACGAGGGGTTGGTTGCACTCGATTGGGAAACCGATCCGCATAAACATGTGCCATTTTTTATTTCGTTTGAGCCACGCAACAGACACTATTCACACGCGTTACCGACTGACGACACTGACTGTATGTATAACTGAACTGAATAAAACAATTGTAAAAACATCGTTCCAAATTCTTTCGCTTTTTTGTTTCCGATGCGATGAACCGATAAGGTGGATTATATCCGTTGTTGCCAAACACGAGCACATGATATTATTGAGGCAGGGCGGTACTCAAACTTCCAAAGGGCTATAACTTTGTTACTTTAATTTTACCAGAAAAATGGTAAAGGAAAAAAACATTTCTTTTGATCAGATCTACTCACTGTTAAAATAAATGACTCAACTTCGAAGTCACCGTGTATACATATGAGCAGTAGTCATTGCCATTGCCAACGACCAGTTGGGCAAAAATACAATTAATTGTTAATTGGGAAATTGGCAAACTTTTTAGGCTTTATTAGCTCTTTTAAGGGTAATCTCGAGCTTTCGGCAATTCTCTATAGAGCCTTCATCAGGGGCTCAAAACACAATTATGATGCTAGCAACCAATACGGGAAATATTTAAATTGTCAAACAACTTACTGGTCGTTGAGCTTGCTGCCAAATGGTGTTTCAAAACGAACGCGGAGATGAGAGCACTTGTTACAAATATAAAACCAACCGGACGGAGGCATTGGGTTTATTGATAACGATGGATACCATCGTTAGGTGTTAACACTATATATATCAACACACCCAAACAGATTAAAAATTAACGAAAAGCAATTTTGGGGACAAAACCGGGACGTCCTTTCTAACCTCCTACATCTGTTTCACGTGGAGAAGATGAACGGAACAAAAAGATGATGCGTCGACCGATGACAGGTGATTGTCGCGACGGAATGTGAAACTGTAAGGCTGGGCGCCAGTGTAGCCAACCCTACAGTTTTAACTGTAGATCTACAGTTTTTTGGAAATTCTCTCAGTTTTTAGTTTAGGCCTCGAAATCTACAGTTTTTTATTTAGGCTGCTAGCGTCATCTATTTTATTTGCTACGTATTCCGTACACTAAGTCAGCTTCAGTAAAACTTACTACTATCGAACCGGAGGTAATGGGCAACCAATTTAATAGATGGCGCTGGTGGTGGACAGTTGTATATTGTTTCGGTCAATGTCTATTTTACCGACATTCTATTGTTTACTTATTCGGGAATCCCTCAATTCCGTCATTCGTCTGATTAGATTCTTTTTTGTTCGGCTGACGTTGTGAGCTTAGCAAAAAGTTAGGAATATGCATAGCTGCAGTAGTGATAGTGAGTCAGATGTTGGTAAATCCCCACCAAGAAAGAAGAAAGTAGTGAGATACGAGCAAAAATTTATTGACTCTTGGCTCAGCGACGAAAAGTTTAGTGGATGGCTCGCAAAAAGTAAAAAAGGTAACACTTATTTTTACGGCTCTGCATGAGACTGTGATCGTAAATGCGGAATTCAAGAATTGACGAGACACAAAAATTCGTCAAAGCACCAAGCAAACTGTAAAAAAATATAAAAGCAACCTAAGCTTACATCTTTGTTCGCATCGACATCAAAATCACAGGAACCGCAGCAAATGGCAAAAGTCGGTGAAATTAAACTAGCATGTTTTATTGCGGAACACAACCTTGCATTTAATGTTGCCTCACATCTGACTAATTTAATAAAATCGGTGTGTCCAGATTCAAAAACTGCTGAATATTTGTCTATGAGCCGACCAAAGGCAAGAGCTATTGTAGTAAATGTGACAGGAAAAACCGCTGAAGAAAACTTGATAAAAAATTTAAGGGAAAACGAGTTTGCATTGCTGGTAGATGAGAGCACTGATAAGTCGACAATCAAGCATTTAGCTTTAATAGCGAGGCTAGTCAACACAAATTATGAAGTGGAAGATAAATTTCTAACTGTGATACCGATCACCGACGGGTCAGCTAAAGTTTTGTACCAAAAAACTGTCGAATATTTTAATGAGAAAGAAATTCCATACAAAAAGAATTTGTTAGGATTTGCTTCTGATGGCGCCAATGTCATGTTCGGGGGGAATAACTCAATGATCACTCATTTGAAGAATGACATACCTAATCTTTTCACCATGAAATGTATATGTCATTCATTTGCGCTTTGCGCATCTCACGCATGTGAAAAATTACCGAGGGGTCTTGAAGATTTTTGCCGCGAAGTTTTCAATCACATCCAAAATTCACCTAAACGCATCGATGATTATAAAACTTTTCAGGCGTTTACAAATATAAAACCACATAAAATATTACACCCTGCACAAACCAGATGGCTATCGTTGAACGATGTGGTGAATAGATTGTTGGAACAACTTTCAGCTATAAAATTATATTTCCAATCAGCTGTGCTTACAGATCGTCTTCTTTCTGCCCAAAGTATTTTAACAAAAGCCATGGAACCGACAACAGAATTATACTTGGAATTCCTACGATTTGCTTTACCAATATTCACAGATTTGAATAAAGAAATGCAGGCAGAAAAACCAAAGTTGTACTTATTATATGATCAGATCTACACAGCATATGTGACAATTTTAGAATGCTTTATACAACCGGTTTATTTAGAACTAACAGAAGAAGAGATAAACAAAGCCGAAGATATCTTAAATGCCAAAGAACAAAAAATATTAAGTGTTGATGTAAATGACGTGCGGATCCATTTGCCGTTATTGGAAACATACGTTGGAGGAATGGTACCAAATTTGATTCGATTGAAAAGAGACAATCAAGAGTTGGACGACGATAAACTGTCAATTTTTTACAGGAAATGTAAAGAGTTTTACATTGAGGCAGTAGCCCAAACCAAACAAAGGTTTCCTTTCGCTGGTAAAGAACGTCAGGCACTAAAGTGTTTACAGATGTTGAACCCACAAGCGATTTTAGGTCATGACTTGAGCAAAAGACATATAACTTCAATTTCTGAATTATTATATTATTTCCCAAGTATTTGTCCAGAAAATGTAACGGAATTAGATAGAGAATGGAGAACTCTTCGCAGGACCAATTTTAATTTTGACGAGACTGAGACGCCCAGTGTAGATAAATTTTGGTGGCATATTTCCAAATTGAAAAAAGGCGACGGCTCTGCAATGTTTCCACTATTATCGACTTTAACCAGAAAGCTTCTATGTTTGCCGCACACATTCCATACTTACGTTGTTTGGGAAGCAAGCCCGTGCGTTCGTACAAACGGAAGGGATAAAACCATCAGGACATGTGTGAAGCAGAAGAACTAACATTGGCTGTTGAAAAGCACTAGTGCTTGTGGGATATTCATGACAAGGACTCTACCACAATAGAGATGTCAAAGATTTGGCGTGGGAACAAGTTTTCAAAGAGGTTATACAGGATTGCAACTCGTGCACAAAAGTGGAAACAGAAAACAAGAGTAAAATTACTTTTCTTTCACTTTTATTACAAAGACTATTGCCTACTGTACTTTTATTGTTGTAAATTGGTAATCCTTCCGTAATATAGGCATGATATTTCTCCTGCTGGCGTCATTAAGTATGGAGCAAACTCGTCTCTTATGCTTCGGCCTTGGTTTGTAGATCTATGTTGTGTATCCAGAGATAATATCGTCCAGGTATCTTGCTTCCTTAATTTATCACGTATGCCATTACGAAGATCATCGAAAGATTGTATTGACATCCGGTAGAAATCAATGAATTTATCTGGATGTGCTCATAACTTTGCTCTTTTTAGATAAAATGGACTGTCGTAGATTCTCCGACTGTTTAACGGATGCACTCAATACCGACGTTTCTTTTTTTTTGATAATGATAATAGAAGTGCAAACGCAATTAAATCGTCGATCTCTATGGCCAAGCATTCACAGAACCGCCACTGAATGTACTGGTAATATAATATTCACTCCAAAAAATTGAACGTTTGCGCTAGGCTCACGGAATTCCGTATACGGAAAATGAATGTATGCGCCCAGCCTAAACGTCATTGCCTAAAACCTCATCCTAATTACCAAACTGCTGAATTAAATTTGTTATGTTCATATGAGTGTACGAGTGTAAGATGGTGATACACGCTTGAAAAGATGGGTTGTGTGAATTTATATTAAAATTTATTATTTGCGTGAGTGAAATGTTTCAATTAACGGGATAAATAATTGTAATTGTATTTTAATTTTGGAAGGACGTTAGATCGACTGGGATTTGTAGACGTTCTATCTTTTCGCAATTCAACAGGTAGGAATAAATGACACTAAGCTGCTTAACATCAGCCTTTTTATCCATGCAATGATCTGTCATGAAAATGTGGGACATTTCTAAAAATAGACGTTTTGAGAGTTTTTTTTGCCTTGTCAAGAACCTCAATACTGCCATAATTCATAGAATGAAGGGAATTATACAGCCTGACCAATTTTGGTGTTAATTCTTTGACGTAGGGCAAGACAACATAATTAACTCTGGAAATAGAAGCATCCACTGTAGTGCTGTCATTCTCATTAGTTGAAGAATTCATAGGGGTCGGGTGGACAGGACAGTGTTGTCATTGTCACTATTGTTATTCGCAATTGGCAAAATTTTCGGAAGAGAGCTGAACAGGATTCTGTTAACCAAATACTTCGGATAACCATTATTAATGAATAGGACTGAAAGCTTCCTTAAATTGGAAAGATGGAAATGATGATCAGAGATGGATCGGAGATTTTTGTTACCCTGTTCTTCATTTGTTTCACCAAGTTTATTTTTATTTTAAGTTCGTGGTAAGACCTGACGTTCAGGAACCTTCCAGAGGAAATTGGTTTCCTGTACCAGTCTACTAGTAATATATTGCCGATGGTGCGAATCAATCTTAAATCCAAAAAGGGAACTGATTGATTGTCATTTTCTTTTTCGATGGTGAACTGGATGTAGGGATCATAGCTGTTAAAAACTTTAGCAATATCATCCACCCTTTCATAAGGAAGACAAACGATAATATCCTCCACATATTTTTTATGAAGATTAGATTGTATGGCAATACCCGCATCACAATATCAAGCAGGTCATCCATCACATATTCTGCCAAAATTGGAGATAACACAAAGCCCATGGGGCAACGATGTGTTTGTGAGAACACTTTGTTTTGTTATTAAAAGTGGAATAATTGTTCTGGAAAAGGTACTCTAAGATATTAATGAAAGAACCCAAGTTAGGCTGCTGTGTTGGCATATTTGATCCCAATGTTTGTTGATGGATCTAATGCACGCTTCCAAATAAACATTACTGAACAGTGAAACTACATCTAGGCTAGCAATAACATGATATTTGATACCTATGAAATTGTTGACAAACATCAAAAGAGTCTTTTATAAAGTATACTCCTTTGATGTGAGCTGACTTTAAAGTATCTGCAATTTATGAGGATAAAGCTAGTGTCGCTGATTCAACAGAAGCCACAATAGGTCATGCAGAATTGTATCTATTGCAGACTTCTTATAAGCAGGCTTTTGTATAGTTCTGGCTTGCATGTCGGCCATAAAAAAGATATTTCTGTGACGAAGCCAGATCATCATTTCTGCTTTGGTTGTTGAGGAAGCTGGGCTTTTTTCTGTTTGTTTATTATGATATGGTGCGTTGTATATCACAACCACGCATTTGGGAGGTAGGTTTGGACCACTTTTTATAGTTTTTTTTTTTGGTAATCGCCTGTACTACTCGTAGATTTCCATCACTCATACGCATTAGGTATGAATCGATTTTTACTGCCGGCATGGATAATAATCAATCTGTCCCCTTTGGATACCGGTTTTTTATTCCTTCCGTGGAGCCATCTACCCAGGTTTTGTTGTTTGTATGGGAAGCGTGTATATATGTCTCGTCAGTATAGATTACTGGACGCCCTTCTTGTCTATATTTCTGCATACTCCTCAAGAACATTATTCGTAAATGGCGAATGTCTGGATTTTTCCATTAATAGCTTCCTATTGGTCTCAAATAAACCCTAATTTATGAATTTCTTTACGCAATGTTTCTTTGCTTCCTCGATATCCTACTAGCTCAATCATCTTCCTGTGTACACATTGCAAGGTAGGTACTCGTTTTTCGGTTACATGAAAGTTTATTATTGCTGTTCGTAACAATCCTCTGTCGAGACCATCCAGAGCCACCTTACTATTAATATTTCTCCTTTTGTATATTTAACGCTTCCTTTTTAATGCGTTTGATGGTACTCACACTGACACCTGTAGCTGCAGAGACCCGTTCTTGTATCTATAATTTACAATAGTTTTGAATAAAAAAAGACCCATTTTGTACACAGGCTTTGATATGCTATTCAACCAAGATGTTAACTCTCACCGCTGCTCAAACGGGCAAGTAATATTATACTCATCATGAATGCTAAAGATAATTTGAAATCTTTCTGCTATAAAGTGCTATATTGTACTTTCATTAATAGTTAAAACTATATGCAAAATTTCGTGAACGGACATAGGCATTTTAGACAAAGTCTTCTAAAGGTAATTTATTTTTCATTGTTGCTTAAATTTTCGAATCTGCATAGTAATAATAATAATACTCATAGTAATAATCGCAATAGTAATCGTAATTTATTGTAATCGTAATTATATTTACTCTGTGTAAATGAACAGCCACTCCATTTTTAGCCTCATTCTGCATGAATCTTAATACCGAGGCAACAATTTCTCGGCTTTGCCCACTTAAAACATTATTTGCAACTTTACTCTCCATTTTTCAGAACCTTCGAGTATAAATTAAAACAACCTATAGCTCGCAATTAAAATTTTTACTGGAGCTGTACACATGATGCTACCTCGATCGCTGCTGGTTTGTACTGGGGTCCTGGGGTGTCCCCACTACATTCCGCCGTGTCTACCGCGCATCTGACCTTGGGAGACTAAGCTAGATTTGTCAAACTGTACTAGGCGGATTGCAGCCCAGTTACCATGTTCCCAAAGTCTTGTGTTGAGAATTTTAAATCGGGAAGTTTTACATTCTTACCATCGGCATAATGTGCAATGTCCGCAACCCGGCGACGAAGTGCAGCATCGAAATTTTTGTGAGTGGTTACTGCAAATGCACAATCAAAATGCAGATTCTATTGATTTATAATTCTCATAATGGACATATTTATGTGGTCATTAGAATATCCCCGTTCTGTAAGAACTGACACTTGCTTTTGTAATCTAACACCATTGTGTTACTTTCTGACACATCATGGCGACAGAGGCATACTAACTATAGCTATAGGAACTGAGCATTGCGATTTTTTGGTATCCTTTGGTATTCCAAATGCTATCCCTCTTTGACATCACTTACGTTTACAGCACAATTCTTACAATTTATATGTATATATACGAGTATTATGAGTTGTGAGAAATCTAAGTCTGAGTAATATATCAGCTATACAGACTGCACTTAAAAAGTGATTTATGTTCCGTTTGTTGCTCAATAGTAATTTGAAAAGTGTGTAAAGCTTGACTGGGTTTGTTCGGGGCTGGTGTTGCAGCGAAGCACTATGTTAGATGAACGCCTAAACTGGAAATAGAATAGAAGTAGTCATTTATGATATTTGTTTAGCGGTGCGCCTATGGCATGTCCAGAAATATTGAATCCGTTTAAATCACAGAGCTTCTGCACTGCACGTGAATTAAAAATTAAAAAACATTAAGAAGAAAAAGGAACATCCCTGAATTCCTGTACTTGTTTCATACAAACACACATTATCAAAATAATCACGATCTAACAGATATAATGTTTCCCAAAGATTTCCAACAATATTACCCGCGATCAACACCGATTCGAAAACTGAGAAAACAACAACTATGCCGTAAATCCAAGTTCGACAACGAACGTCTGAAGAATAACTGCAACATCTATTTTGAATTTCAAAAAATAATTGACTATGCCTATTGATATTGTGTCAGTATTTGCACCAACTACTTGACTTGTTTAATGGGCAGTTCAGAGTCTTAATCCTTAAGCTTCGTACACACTAATAGACCCCTTTGCGCAATTTGTCTATAGGCAGTCTGAAGACGGTCTCAAGACACGATCTATAGATGGTCTATAGACATACTTCTTTGTCTCTAATTATAAACGCCACGTACTTATTTTGTTCTCATATAATGAAATATTGCCTGTCTGAGGATTTTTGAGCATTTTCTATGTTTTTTTTTTCAAGCTAACATTGACCAGATCGAATACAATGGATTTAAGGAGCAATAATAAGATAAATTCTAATAAGTTCCAATGAGGTTGAAACATTACCAGCCCCAAATATCGTTTGCGCCCCACCCTCTAGACGAAATCCTAAATCCGTCCTTGATCCACTCGTTTCAACACCGATTTTCTAGAAATGTCTACTGCGGCATTTTCTATGGCCAACTGTTTATGCACGGATTGCCACAACGTTTAAATGCACACTCATACTTAGCTTTTCTAGAGAATTACATAGAAAATGTGTTAGATGATGTTTCGTTAGCAACGAGAGTACGAATGTGGTTTCAGCACGACGGTGCCCCACCGCATGTTCGTCGTGGCATAACCACATGGTTAAATAATAATTTTAGACAACAATGGATTGGCAGAAACGGACCCGTACATTGGCTTGCGAGGTCTCCTGATTTGAACCCCCTGGATTTGTTTTTGTGGGGCGCTTTTAAACAACTAGTGTATGCTGAACAAATTAATACTGTTGATCAGTTACAAGAAATCATAGATAATGTGTTTCATCAAATTCAAGCCACAAGAAAGTTTGCGGAAATACGTTTTTCTTTATTAAAGAGATGCCGCACTTGTATCCGTCAGAATTGTTGCCTTTTTGAACATTTATTGAAATAAAGCTTTAATTATTTATTTAATTTGCTTTTTTATGAAAACAATGCACTCTACGACAAAACACAAGAGTAATTATTTGTAGAAAATTGAAGGTAGAATTCGAAAAATTGCAACAGTGGCGTACTACTTTTATTTGGAAAAATAATGCCACTAATCCGCTGTATCTCCGCCACTGGTGCACGTTAATTTTAAGTAAAGACTTTTGAATGTGTACAATACTCAGGTAAATCCAAACACCCAGTTTTAGTTCATTCCAGTTGACGGTTTTGAGGATATTAAAAAAATCGTTTTTTTTTTATTTTGAAACTTCAACCCCGTATCTTTTTAACGAAACCCTCGAGGAAAAAATGTTACATAGAAGACCCTCCTTAAAATGCGGTCCTGTGTGTGAAGTTTCATTTTTGGTCACGACTTAATCAGTTGCCATATTTTTGACAAAAACCCTTCTTTTGAACTGAAGTTGAAAGTAGTTCTGGCAGATTATTAATGGGCAACTCTAGACTAAGGTCTTTCCCTATTATCTAATTTTGATATAAACCGCTTTAGCTGGTAACTGGTGTAGCCTCAAAAATTTTATATGTTTGATTGTAGTTATGGAAGAAATTAAGGAGAGAGAAAAGTGGCTGAAAGAGATGGAATTCTTAGGAGAAGGAAATAAGTACAGACACATCATTGCACAGCAGATACAAGAGAAAGTTCGTGAAATCAGTAGATTGAAATTGGACGACCAATAAAATATATTAGATAATGTCGTTGGTTTTATATTTCTACAGTATGATACTTGGACACTATATTACGTGGTCATACCAATTTGTAATGACCTCATCTACAACGTCCTTTAAATAATCTGTAAGTTTGTATAATTTTCTTGTGACAATTCCGAGAGATTAGCACCTTACTTTGATCATAATAACTAGGTAACTAGGTTTTTGGCAACAATAAAATACACATTATGTAAATTAAATAAAATAGGCGACGAACCACTTCAAAAATTATTTATTGAGAAGTTGAAAGTTGTATAGCAAAGTATAGTATTATCTCTAACAATATGCGTATTTTTAATAAATCGGTATCTTGAAGGAATTTTTTGTGATGGGAAGGTACAATACATTTACTCGTCAATATAAGAAAGTCTTCACAGATATCATTAACAAGAACTCATAGGAAAAGTAACTACTGGGAATATACAAGAATAATAAGATATTTACTCAATATACGAGGGTGATATCATAATGTATACGATGTTACACCTAATATAAGGACGAGTGGACGGCCCTCTAGATTCGGCAGTAAAGTGGTTTGTAGAACATCGTCAACATAACGAGTAGCAGTCATATTGGCTTGAACAATCGGCTACCATAGGCAATCGCCCCTCAAAGCATTACTCCAACAGTCCTGGGCCCTCTCATCAGTAAATCCAATATCACCCCGTTCTACCCGGCGGCGTCTTACCCTTCTACGACCATCGTGCTTACCTACGTACCTAGACCGAATCGCGATATATCGCTGAAGATGAAATTATGCCATTCTGCCTCCCAATGTTGCCGTTCTTTGCTCCAGTTCAAATGTTGACGACAGTGGTCCCCAGTCAGAGGAAGCACTAACCGTGGACGGTATGAAAAAGGTCGGCTCGAATGCGGCGATAGAGTGCACGCATAATAGCAGGTCTACCTTCTTCTCCAAACCATTGGTCAGCGATCTGACGCATAGTAGCAAAACGGTCTCGTAGGGCTAGTGGTCTGGAGCGCCTATCTTGGATGGCCTTCTTCGTGTTTGTCTTCCTTCTTCTATCTTCACACGATACAAACGCATTACCGTTATTGCAGTACAATTAATACAGCGGCCAATTTCGCGATAGTAGAAACCAACATCTATTGTAGATAGGCAGTAATTCTACCCATTTTGTTAAGCTCAACACTAGTAAATTAAAGGGCAATAATTAAAAATATCTGTACTACTAAGCTCTTATCAGAAACTGCTTTCTTCACAAAAACTAAGAGATAACATTTTAACAAAGGTTACCAAAAACAAAGATAAAACGTTGACATTGTTGCCACAGCTTGCTTCAAATGAAGTCTATATCTTGTTGAAGAAATTATTTTTTTCTGGGTGTAACACTTCTAATGTCACTAGGTATATTTAGCTAAATAAAAATGCATCTACATGAGGATCTTTAGATTTTATCGTGAATGAAATTTATTTTCCAATGAATGGAGGCCCACTGTAATATTAAATATTTTAATAAAAACAATTAATAAATTCGATGCGTCCTGTCTGTTATTTATATGTTCCTTCTACCGTTCCATTTACTATAACTTTGCGTATCATATACATCTAACACATTTTAATGCAATAAATGATTACGACTATAAGCAGGAAATGTCGCGTACTCAGATGTGATGTAGCGATGAAGCAGTGTATCAACCTGTTATCGTTAATATTACTGATAAAGTTCCATCAAAACATAGGATGTCTTCAACAAAAGTAGTAAGTAACACCATTTTAGATATTATAAATACAATATCCCATAAGAGGTACGATCAAATAATAAAATAATATAAATAGAAAACGTGGTTGTTGCCAAAAGCGTCCAGCTTCAAAGTGCTAAATTTTCTTGTTATAAAACTTAAATGGCCGAGCTCACTGTATTTTACGATACTAATTCAAAAACTCCTTGCATAGTTTCTAAATCTAGTTTTTAGTTTAGAAGCAACCACTGCCGGGGATTCTAAACAACTGACAATTTTTTTATTTTATCGTTTTATATTTTAGTAACCCATTTTCTAAAGAGGATCATAGAGCTGCATTAGTTCTGGCTAGAGGCGGATCTAAAGGAATCAAATTGAAAAATCTTGCAAAAATTCACAATCAGACACTCTTAGAAATATCACTGAAAGCAATAAAGAAAGTGAGAAATTTTGATTCGATATGGGTATCAACAGATCATCAAATGATTGCTGAAACTGCAGAAAAAGGTAATATTTATACAGAATATATGGTTCAATTTTCCTCATATTTCTAGCATATACAGAAAAACAAGTATATGTTGTCGACACGCTTATTGTTGACGACTTAATGTATGGTAAAATCCAAAGTATACTGACTCAACCAATACAAATCGAATACTGCATTTTTTCGTCCACATAAGCCGCAAACAACCTTGAAACTTGTCTTATCTGGCCTCGGCCGATACAAATCGATGATTTTCTTAGTAGAATCAGCCACCCAGAAATACCTTGACGCTGATTTGTCGGATATGAAAGAATTTTTCATAGATTTTGGTACCAGGATACTGTTTATCTGGAACTATACAGTGTGTTCCAGATTCGCTTCTCTATACAGGGGTCTCGGCTCCTGTTATAACTACAGCAAAGGTTAAATGGGGACAGTTTTAGAAGTAACTTAGTACATTCGATAGCCGCGGCTTCAGATCCACGATCGGTCAATTTGTTTTCGAAATATCGGCGAAAAACCGAAAATGTCGAATTTTGTTTTTGTCAGTAAATCCGAAACGGTTAATTATTATTAATAGACATTTTTTTAAGGCAAATAAGATAGAGATTTCCAGCCTAGTGATGTCTCACAAGTGCATAAAAGACTTAGTCTAATCATATAAGACGAAAATACCCGTGGTTTGCGAAATAATTGTAAAGTCTGGTTTTATTGTTGTTCAAGAGAGTATTTTAAATATGGACGCATATAATGGGTACACCAATTTTTGTGGGAAAACTTTTTATTTGACAACAAAGAATGAGAAAACGTGTTTTTTGCGATTCAATCGATGGTGTTGGCAGGAACGAAAAAACTCTACAAACAAGATTTCTAGGTATCTATGAGACCTACAAAATGAGATCACACGTAAAAAGATCCGTCTGATAGTAAAGAAGTTATGGCCGAAAAACGAGGCAAAATGCAGGTTTTGGGACTTGCTGCTAATGCGACGATAATTCCACACAGCTACTTGAAATTCTTCATATCCGCAGGCTTCATACTTTTTAGTAACCACAACAAACTTGGAGTCGATTGGTCAAGTAGTCTTTGAGAATTTCTAATTGTTTATCCCCAAAACACCTCTCTTCAAGCCATCACTACTAGTTTACTGAGCAATATACAGGGTTCGTTCAAAGGGCATTTTATAGCAAAATACACGGGTTTACCTTGCCGATATAAATTATAGGCCATTCCAGAAGATAATTGTTGTTTTTATGCGAAAAACGAAGGGTTCCCTTTTTTCTTCTAAACAAATTCAAACATTTCGTACTTGTGAGTAATTGAACAGATTCGCTACGATATTAGTAAAACATAGGTTATTATACACATTTTAAGACAAAGTGGATGTGTCCATTATCTTTTGTTGCGAAGAAAACATTTTTTCTTTCGAGATTTTTTCATACTCTTCTGTATGCATATTTAGAGCTGAAATTCGTACACGGCCACAGATGAGCCCTAAAGTTTATAAAAATAAATATTTGATACCTAAATGCGCTGAACTATTTATAAATATAGCTCGCAAAATTAAGATACAATTGTTTCAAACTGCCTTAGACTAGCGAGTATGTAGCATGTGATAAATGGCTGCATATTGATCACTGCATGACTTTGTCAAATAAGTAGGTCACGTAATCCAGTTCCTCTACGAAGAAATATAATTCCCTGGACTTGTTTTCCAAGTGTTTTAGTATACCTGTATACGTCTGTTTTCGAAATCTCGTACGATTAAAATGACTGCGAGTTCAAAATATTGGAAAATAAACTCCAGAAAACAAAAAAAAACAGTAGACAAATTACAACCAATTGTAGCGAACTGTCCATCTTCAAAATTAGGAAAAATGCTCGGTATTAGTCCCTAATACATTATTTAAAGTTTCAGCATTGTACCTTGCATAGTTTTCAAGAGTATTCCAATTGCTTATAATAGATTTGATATGCCTTTAACATTTGCTTGACATTTGTCAGTTTCAAGTGTAGTGGTATAAGGATCCAGTAAGCCAAGAAGCGTCGTAGCGTAATGGGAGAGAACGGCGATTTCTGAAACGCAGGACGGAGGTTCAAATCCACAAAGCTCCTTTTTTTGCTATCATTTTTTTTAATTTGGAGAAATAAATGTTTTTTCACATTATTCGCACGGGATAGAGAATGTAAGCTTGCTTGTTGTCGAATAAAAGGTTTTCCCGCAAAAATCGGTGTAGCCATTTTATGCGTTCATGTTTTAAATACCCCCTTGAACAACTTGCATAAATAAAACCAGACTTTACAATTATTTCGGGGAAATTTGCTAATGACTAACTGGAGTATCATCGAAATATCATCATGTAACGGTTTCACCGTCCGATTGTATTTATTAAATCACTTCTCGATTTTCATTTCAGAATCGCAACTCATTAATCCCATCTCTAGCTTTTTTACTTGGAAACATTTCCGCTTGGAGCGCGCTTGATGCGGATTCCTGATCTGTGATCTTCCCCGCGCTTTCTTTTCACTTGAGCCGCCGATCTAACAAGAGCTAAGAATTTTGTTCTCTGTAGCATGAGGTCATGTAGCACCATGTGCTAGCATTTTGTAAAATGTGTGTCCAAATAGGATAAAATGATCGGGGCCACCCCCTTTCCCTTTCCCTTTTCCTTTCCCTTTGCCTTTGTCCTTGACTTTTGCCTTTGTCTTTGACTTTGCCTTTGCCTTTGTCTTTGACTTTGCATTGCTTGGCCTATCACTTCACCCATGCTTGTACCTTGGCAGCGCCATTACCTTTAAGTTCAACTTCACTGCATCCTTCGCCTACAACTAGTTTTGAAGCCACTAAATGTGAGGTCACCCCTCATAACTGGGACCTCCACTTGAAGCACCTGGCCATCCTCGCTTCAGTCCAGTCAAAATGGACCAGCTTAGCGAAAGATAAGTGTATAGTTTTGTAACAGCGCCAAAGATTTAAATCTTTCATTTTGTTCTTTAAATTTTCAATTTCAAATGTAATGAAAATGCTTTTTTAGTTAAATAAAATCTGTTAAATTTTTGTATTCTGTTTGTTCTTCTATCCTCTAGCCATGCCATGGTCCACACACAGCTACACGCCTGTAGATATCTTCATGCCACCGACTGAGCTACCCGAGGCTAATGGTAACCCCCTTTCTGTGATTGTGCAGAAAAGTTGGAATCTTCATTGCATTCCATCTTTTCTGGACTTTTTGCGGAAAGGAAGGTTTACAATCACACGTAATGTTATGTAAGTATAATTGTTTTCTAAGGAGGCCGTGATTTATTTGTTAGAAAATAAAATTAATAAGTAACGCATTTTTTCATCTAAGGAGGCTCTGACTTTGACGTCAAATAATTCAAAGTATTAAAATTGTGTTTCAATGAGTAGTAGGTACTTTTCTCTCATTAAAATCATAAATCTGACAAAAAAAAATTGTCAAAACCTGTTGAAAATGGCCGGTATTCCCTACTCAAATGAAGAAAATGTTAGCGCTGTACTTGCAGTCACACAGAAATGCCGACATTACCTCAGCAAGGTACTTGGAGATGTACCATGAAGGACGGCAGCCTTATAAAAACTCAATTTAGAAAAATAGTAGTCAATTTAATAAACCATGGGCCTCTGAACAACCTAGAAGCGGATACCATATTGAAAATGAAAATCGCGACAGAAACATTTTACAAGCTGTCAACGAAATCCCTAGTGCATCAGTAAGAACTACCTATAAAACGAGCAAATGGTGTGTCAAAATCAACAGTACATAGAGTGTTAAATAAGAATAAGAACCATCAATACAAACCTACAACCGTTTAAGGACTTAAGGAAAATGATTTTCCAAGGCGCATGCGCTCCTGTGAGTGGTATACTAGGAAGTCCAATCAAAATCCCGATTTTGTAAATCATGCCTTGTGGTCCGATGAGAGTAGGCTTACGAATTGTGGAGTTTTTAATAAGCATAACACTCATCATTTAACCTCTTAAGAGTTTGATGAAAGAATAATTTCATTAAATGGTTCAGTATCTTGGCCTCCTAGAACCTCTCACCTTTCACCCTTGGATTTCTACCTCTGTGGTCACACAAAGAATGAGGTCTATGAATTTGATCCTCTCTCGACTATAGAAATCCTGACACAAAGAATTTTGAGCACAGTTAGAAACATTAAAGAAATACACTAGCTAAAGTTGTACGAAATACAGTCACCAATTGTCAAAAATGTCTGGATGCAAATGAACGTTATTTTGCAA